GGTAAGTGGACATTTGCTGGCCAGTGTTGAGCTAAAGCCTGGAGGTAAGTGGACATTTGCTGGCCAGTGTTGAGCTAAAGCCTGAAGTAAGTGGACATTTGCTGGCCAGTGTTGAGCTAAAGCCTGGAGGTAAGTGGATATTTGCTGGCCAGTGGTGAGCTAAAGCCTGGAGGTAAGTGGACATTTGCTGGCCAGTGTTGAGCTAAAGCCTGGAGGTAAGTGGACATTTGCTGGCCAGTGTTGAGCTAAAGGTAAGTGGACATTTGCTGGCCAGTGTTGAGCTAAAGTCTGGAGGTAAGTTGACATTTGCTGGCCAGTGTTGAGCTAAAGCCTGAAGTAAGTGGACATTTGCTGGCCAGTGTTGAGCTTAAGGTAAGTTGACATTTGCTGGCCAGTGTTGAGCTAAAGCCTGGAGGTAAGAGGACATTTGCTGGCCAGTGTTGAGCTAAAGTCTGAAGGTAAGTGGACATTTGCTGGCCAGTGTTGAGCTAAAGTCTGGAGGTAAGTGGAAATTTGCTGGCCAGTGTTGAGCTAAAGCCTGGAGGTAAGTGGACATTTGCTGGCCAGTGTTGAGCTAAAGGTAAGTGGACATTTGCTGGCCAGTGTTGAGCTAAAGTCTGGAGGTAAGTTGAAATTTGCTGGCCAGTGTTGAGCTAAAGCCTGGAGGTAAGTGGACATTTGCTGGCCAGTGTTGAGCTAAAGTCTGGAGGTAAGTTGACATTTGCTGGCCAGTGTTGAGCTAAAGCCTGGAGGTAAGTGGACATTTGCTGGCCAGTGTTGAGCTAAAGCCTGAAGTAAGTGGACATTTGCTGGCCAGTGTTGAGCTTAAGGTAAGTTGACATTTGCTGGCCAGTGTTGAGCTAAAGTCTGGAGGTAAGTGGACATTTGCTGGCCAGTGTTGAGCTAAAGGTAAGTGGACATTTGCTGGCCAGTGTTGAGCTAAAGTCTGGAGGTAAGTGGACATTTGCTGGCCAGTGGTGAGCTAAAGCCTGAAGGTAAGTGGACATTTGCTGGCCAGTGTTGAGCTAAAGTCTGAAGGTAAGTGGACATTTGCTGGCCAGTGGTGAGCTAAAGCCTGAAGGTAAGTGGACATTTGCTGGCCAGTGTTGAGCTAAAGGTAAGTGGACATTTGCTGGCCAGTGTTGAGCTAAAGTCTGGAGGTAAGTGGACATTTGCTGGCCAGTGTTGAGCTAAAGTCTGGAGGTAAGTGGAAATTTGCTGGCCAGTGTTGAGCTAAAGCCTGGAGGTAAGTGGACATTTGCTGGCCAGTGTTGAGCTAAAGGTAAGTGGACATTTGCTGGCCAGTGTTGAGCTAAAGTCTGGAGGTAAGTTGACATTTGCTGGCCAGTGTTGAGCTAAAGTCTGGAGGTAAGTGGACATTTGCTGGCCAGTGTTGAGCTAAAGCCTGAAGTAAGTGGACATTTGCTGGCCAGTGTTGAGCTTAAGGTAAGTTGAGATTTGCTGGCCAGTGTTGAGCTAAAGTCTGGAGGTAAGTGGACATTTGCTGGCCAGTGTTGAGCTAAAGGTAAGTGGACATTTGCTGGCCAGTGTTGAGCTAAAGTCTGGAGGTAAGTGGACATTTGCTGGCCAGTGGTGAGCTAAAGCCTGAAGGTAAGTGGACATTTGCTGGCCAGTGTTGAGCTAAAGTCTGAAGGTAAGTGGACATTTGCTGGCCAGTGGTGAGCTAAAGCCTGAAGGTAAGTGGACATTTGCTGGCCAGTGTTGAGCTAAAGGTAAGTGGACATTTGCTGGCCAGTGTTGAGCTAAAGTCTGGAGGTAAGTGGACATTTGCTGGCCAGTGTTGAGCTAAAGTCTGGAGGTAAGTGGAAATTTGCTGGCCAGTGTTGAGCTAAAGCCTGGAGGTAAGTGGACATTTGCTGGCCAGTGTTGAGCTAAAGGTAAGTGGACATTTGCTGGCCAGTGTTGAGCTAAAGTCTGGAGGTAAGTTGACATTTGCTGGCCAGTGTTGAGCTAAAGTCTGGAGGTAAGTTGACATTTGCTGGCCAGTGTTGAGCTAAAGCCTGGAGGTAAGTGGACATTTGCTGGCCAGTGTTGAGCTAAAGGTAAGTGGACATTTGCTGGCCAGTGTTGAGCTAAAGCCTGGAGGTAAGTGGACATTTGCTGGCCAGTGTTGAGCTAAAGCCTGAAGTAAGTGGACATTTGCTGGCCAGTGTTGAGCTAAAGCCTGGAGGTAAGTGGATATTTGCTGGCCAGTGTTGAGCTAAAGCCTGGAGGTAAGTGGACATTTGCTGGCCAGTGTTGAGCTAAAGGTAAGTGGACATTTGCTGGCCAGTGTTGAGCTAAAGTCTGGAGGTAAGTTGACATTTGCTGGCCAGTGTTGAGCTAAAGCCTGGAGGTAAGTGGACATTTGCTGGCCAGTGTTGAGCTAAAGCCTGAAGTAAGTGGACATTTGCTGGCCAGTGTTGAGCTTAAGGTAAGTTGACATTTGCTGGCCAGTGTTGAGCTAAAGTCTGGAGGTAAGTGGACATTTGCTGGCCAGTGTTGAGCTAAAGGTAAGTGGACATTTGATGGCCAGTGTTGAGCTAAAGTCTGGAGGTAAGTGGACATTTGCTGGCCAGTGGTGAGCTAAAGCCTGAAGGTAAGTGGACATTTGCTGGCCAGTGTTGAGCTAAAGTCTGAAGGTAAGTGGACATTTGCTGGCCAGTGGTGAGCTAAAGCCTGAAGGTAAGTGGACATTTGCTGGCCAGTGTTGAGCTAAAGTCTGAAGGTAAGTGGACATTTGCTGGCCAGTGGTGAGCTAAAGCCTGAAGGTAAGTGGACATTTGCTGGCCAGTGTTGAGCTAAAGGTAAGTGGACATTTGCTGGCCAGTGTTGAGCTAAAGGTAAGTGGACATTTGCTGGCCAGTGTCAAGCTAAAGCCTGGAGGTAAGTGGACATTTGCTGGCCAGTGTCGAGCTAAAGCCTGGAGGTAAGTGGACATTTGCTGGCCAGTGTTGAGCTAAAGTCTGAAGGTAAGTGGACATTTGCTGGCCAGTGTTGAGCTAAAGGTAAGTGGACATTTGCTGGCCAGTGTTGAGCTAAAGGTAAGTGGACATTTGCTGGCCAGTGTTGAGCTAAAGCCTGGAGGTAAGTGGACATTTGCTGGCCAGTGTTGAGCTAAAGCCTGGAGGTAAGTGGACATTTACTGGCCAGTGTTGAGCTAAAGCCTGAAGTAAGTGGACATTTGCTGGCCAGTGTTGAGCTAAAGCCTGGAGGTAAGTGGACATTTGCTGGCCAGTGTTGAGCTAAAGTCTGGAGGTAAGTTGACATTTGCTGGCCAGTGTTGAGCTAAAGCCTGGAGGTAAGTGGACATTTGCTGGCCAGTGTTGAGCTAAAGCCTGGAGGTAAGTGGACATTTGCTGGCCAGTGTTGAGCTAAAGTCTGGAGGTAAGTGGATATTTGCTGGCCAGTGTTGAGCTAAAGTCTGAAGGTAAGTGGACATTTGCTGGCCAGTGTTGAGCTAAAGGTAAGTGGACATTTGCTGGCCAGTGTTGAGCTAAAGGTAAGTGGACATTTGCTGGCCAGTGTTGAGCTAAAGCCTGGAGGTAAGTTGACATTTGCTGGCCAGTGTTGAGCTAAAGTCTGGAGGTAAGTTGACATTTGCTGGCCAGTGTTGAGCTAAAGTCTGGAGGTAAGTTGACATTTGCTGGCCAGTGTTGAGCTTAAGCCTGGAGGTAAGTGGACATTTGCTGGCCAGTGGTGAGCTAAAGGTAAGTGGACATTTGCTGGCCAGTGTTGAGCTAAAGCCTGGAGGTAAGTGGACATTTGCTGGCCAGTGTTGAGCTAAAGCCTGGAGGTAAGTGGATATTTGCTGGCCAGTGTTGAGCTAAAGCCTGGAGGTAAGTGGACATTTGCTGGCCAGTGTTGAGCTAAAGGTAAGTGGATATTTGCTGGCCAGTGTTGAGCTAAAGTCTGAAGGTAAGTGGACATTTGCTGGCCAGTGTTGAGCTAAAGGTAAGTGGACATTTGCTGGCCAGTGTTGAGCTAAAGTCTGGAGGTAAGTGGACATTTGCTGGCCAGTGTTGAGCTAAAGCCTGGAGGTAAGTTGACATTTGCTGGCCAGTGTTGAGCTAAAGTCTGAAGGTAAGTGGACATTTGCTGGCCAGTGTTGAGCTAAAGTCTGAAGGTAAGTGGACATTTGCTGGCCAGTGTTGAGCTAAAGTCTGGAGGTAAGTGGACATTTGCTGGCCAGTGTTGAGCTAAAGGTAAGTGGACATTTGCTGGCCAGTGTTGAGCTAAAGGTAAGTGGACATTTGCTGGCCAATGTTGAGCTAAAGCCTGGAGGTAAGTTGACATTTGCTGGCCAGTGTTGAGCTAAAGCCTGGAGGTAAGTTGACATTTGCTGGCCAGTGTTGAGCTAAAGTCTGGAGGTAAGTTGACATTTGCTGGCCAGTGTTGAGCTAAAGTCTGGAGGTAAGTTGACATTTGCTGGCCAGTGTTGAGCTAAAGTCTGAAGGTAAGTGGACATTTGCTGGCCAGTGTTGAGCTAAAGTCTGAAGGTAAGTGGACATTTGCTGGCCAGTGTTGAGCTAAAGTCTGAAGGTAAGTGGACATTTGCTGGCCAGTGTTGAGCTAAAGTCTGGAGGTAAGTGGACATTTGCTGGCCAGTGTCGAGCTAAAGCCTGGAGGTAAGTGGACATTTGCTGGCCAGTGTTGAGCTAAAGGTAAGTGGATATTTGCTGGCCAGTGTTGAGCTAAAGCCTGGAGGTAAGTGGAAATTTGCTGGCCAGTGTTGAGCTAAAGCCTGGAGGTAAGTGGATATTTGCTGGCCAGTGTTGAGCTAAAGGTAAGTGGACATTTGCTGGCCAGTGGTGAGCTAAAGGTAAGTGGACATTTGCTGGCCAGTGGTGAGCTTAAGTCTGAAGGTAAGTGGACATTTGGTTATCAATGTAAGTTCTTTCCTCACACGTTAAAAGCGTCAGTGTTGAGCACACTGATCCAATTCTATGTAAAGCCTACATGTTGATGGATCAGACTGGCAGTATCTATTGTCTCCCTAGAATCACTGAACCATTTCCAACATCGCCTGTTCTGTGCCATCAATGGCTACCAGGATCTGTTGTACCCTAAAGAAACACACCACAACACTGAGGAGGTCAGGATGGTTTATTGTCTGCATGCCCTCAACCACATTCTCAAGTAAGTAGCCAGATAGGTGTGAAAACTATCATTTTGGGTATTTTAATGGTAATCTAAAAACTGTTTTTTTTATGTTAATTCTAAAAACTTTTGTGTTGTTTTTTTTTAATGGATCTAAAATCTAGGTGTTTTTTTTCTATGTTAATCTAAAAACTGTTTTGAGGTTAATCTAAAACTTTTTATGTTGGATCTAAAACTTTTTGTGTTGTTTTATGTTGGATCTAAAACTTTTTGTGTTGTTTTATGTTGGATCTAAAACTTTGTGTGTTGTTTTATGTTGGATCTAAAACTTTTTGTGTTGTTTTATGTTGGTTCTAAAACTTTTTGTGTTGTTTTATGTTGGATCTAAAACCTTTCAGGACCAGAAGTCGTGTGGTGGCTCACAACACAAAAATAAAGAGCAAGAAAAACAAGGATGATGATGAGTATGTCCTGATGTTCAATACACAAATTTATTTACATCTAATAATGGAACTCTCATTGCTTATACTAACAAGATTTTGAAGATACTGGCAGAAATAGGAAATAATAAGTTTTATTTATCTTGTTTTCTTGTAGTTTTATCACTAGTGGCTCATTTTCTTAGGTTTTTTTAAAAAAGTTACAATATAATTAGTTAAATAATATAATTAGTTAAATAAAATAGTTAAATTTTAAGTTAGTTAAATAAAAGCAATATAATTAGTTAAATAAAATCTAATTAAAATGCCTTTTTAAATTTTTTGTTTTAGTTTTTAGCATTTAAAATACATTTTTATAGAAATATTAGAATTATTGTTTTGTTTGCTTGTTTTTGCGATCAATGTCATTTATATTTATCATTAGTAAACTATTACACGTTTTAATCTCATACAAAATAAAATCTGACCAATTTTGTGTATAATGCTTTTAATCTTACATTTTAAAAAATAAGTGGTTATTTTTAAATGATTTATTATTTTAACGTGCCGTGGTTGAAAACAGCATCGTCTTTTTGCCCAGCTGTAGGGGAATTAAAATCGTTTTGATGCCCTGGGCAGGAAATGGTTTAAGCAAAAATTATCAGCTTTTTTAATTGTGCTCTCAGTGGCCATGAGTCACCATTGTTTCTGTTTCTACTTCTCTCTCAGTGGCCACCATTGTTTCTATGTTTCTACTTCCAGTGTAGAGTACAGGGACCAGGGCCTGACCCGCCCCAAAGTTCTCATCCTGCTGCCCTACAGAGACCGCGCCCTCAAGGTGTTCAACATGATCATCAGTTTGTTGTCCTCATCAGAGAAGGTAAAGATTGGCAGTTTACTTGTGACAGCTGTCTCAAGTCATAAATGTATTTATGTATTTAGTTCCCCACCATATCAACTGTCAGTCAAAGATTAATTTAGCCTGTGCCCCACCATATCAAAGATTAATTTTGCCTGTGCCCCACCATATCAAAGATTAATTTAGCCCGTGCCCCACCATATCAAAGATTAATTTTGCCCGTGCCCCACCATATCAAAGATTAATTTTGCCCGTGCCCCACCATATCAAAGATTAATTTTGCCCGTGCCCCACCATATCAAAGATTAATTTTGCCCGTGCTCCACCATATCCCTCCATGTTTCAGGTGGGTGTGAGCAGCAGGAAGAGATTTGAGAGTGAGTACTCAGAGCTGGACAAGTCCAACCTGGCAGAGAAAACATACAAGCCAGGTAAACTCAGGAGTTGTTGGTTTTTTTTAAAGTATTATGTATAAAAAAAAATTTTATCGACTGACGTGAACACAAACAGCTTATAGGCTACAGAGTGTACTTAATGTTTCTCCACAGATGACTTTAAGAAAACATTTGAAGGCAACATTGATGACAACTTCCGTGTTGGTCTAAGCATAGCTAAAAAAAGTGTGCGTCTCTACAGCCCATTCTATGAGTCTGACATCATCTTGGCCTCACCACTTGGCCTCCGCACAGTCATTGGCCTGGAAGGGTGAGTTTTCATTGGCCTCAGGTCAGCTGTCATTTGGCCTCAGGTCAGCTGTCATTTGGCCTCAGGTCAGCTGTCATTAAGGGGAGTTAGCCTCCCAGGTCCAGAACAAGCAGGCAAAAAGATTTTCTAGCGTAAAATGAATGAGTTCTCATTTGTTTATGTTTGTAGTGACCGTGATCGAGATTACGACTTCCTTTCATCAATTGAAGTTTTAATCATTGACCAGGCAGACATCTTTCTCATGCAGAACTGGGATCATTTCACGGTGAGTCAGGTTGTATGTTGCTGGTGTTACTAAAGTCTTACCTCATCAGTTTTCTACCACCTATCCCAGACTTTACAAATGTTTTTATCTAACATCCCTTAACCCTTTACAATTTTACCTATGAAGTATTTTTTAACAACAGCACCTTTTTTTTTTTTTAAAATATCCACATACACTAAAAAAAAGTTAAACAAAAAGCATTATACAAGAAAATGGTCTCAGTTTATTATGTATAAGGTTAAATAACATAAATAACATTACTCCCAGAAAAAAAATAAACAAAATAAGCAACTTCTAATATAATTGCAATAAATGATTTTCAATGCAAAAAAATATGTGATCACTGGTGCTACTTTCTATTTCTAAATATCTTTCTAAATATCACAGTATTAGTTCCTTTATGGATAAAGCCTAATCAAAAGTAGATTTTGTATTAGCAGATTTGTATTTTATTTTGTATTATTTCAAAAATTCAATTGCCCATAATAAATAATAAAGTTCTTAAGTTAAAAACTTAGTAGAAACTTAACTGCTAGTGATGGCACCAGAAGAAAATGATGTCAACAAAACTAGTTATTCCATGCCTGTGCCAGCATCTTCTGTCTTGTTACCAGCGAGAGTTCAGTCATTAAACGTACATAAATGGCATGCATCAGACTTATCACACAAGAAAATTCTTGGGCAATTGTGGCCGTATCAGACAGTAAAGGGTTAATATGGCTTATCTCACTTCACAAAAATTTTACAAGTAAAAAATAACTCAACCTCCCTAAAATAAACATTACTTAAACAAAATAATAATAGTTACACTAACCCCACTGCTGCTTGTGTTTCTGTAAGATAATTTGTGCCTCCCCCCACAGCATGTGATGAATCACCTCCACCTACAGCCCAAAGAGTCCCATGGAGTGGACTTCTCTCGTGTCAGAATGTGGGCCATCAATGGCTGGTAGGTGACAAACTTTACTTCTGGTTCAGTCTAGTTAGATGTCAGGTGGGCCATCAATGGCTGGTAGGTGACAAACTTTACTTCTGGTTTAGTCTAGTTAGATGTCAGGTGGGCCATCAATGGCTGGTAGGTGACAAACTTTACTTCTGGTTCAGTCTAGTTAGATGTCAGGTGGGCCATCAATGGCTGGTAGGTGACAAACTTTACTTCTGGTTTAGTCTAGTTAGATGTCAGGTGGGCCATCAATGGCTGGTAGGTGACAAACTTTACTTCTGGTTCAGTCTAGTTAGATGTCAGGTGGGCCATCAATGGCTGGTAGGTGACAAACTTTACTTCTGGTTCAGTCTAGTTAGATGTCAGGGGACAGACATGGTAGATGTCAGGGGGACAGTCAAGTTAGATGTCAGGCCTAGGACTCACATCTCCACCTTTTTGTGGTGCTACATCTGATTTAATTCCCCTACAACCACCAAGTGTAACTAACTAATGCTGTAACTTTCCTCAGGAGTAAACATTTCCGTCAGACTTTGATGTTTAGCAGTGTGATACTGCCTGAGCTGTTGATGATTTTTAACAAACACTGTCACAGTATCCTTTGTGTGTGGGTAAATGGAGTGTCAGTTTTGGGAACATAAAGTATCAGTGTGTGGGAGAATGTTTTACCAGCATAAGCTAAAACTAGCAATTATAACTTGCCTAGCTGCTGAATGTGTATTTAGTTGACCACAGGATGGAAATAATAGTTTAAATAAAAATACTCAAGTGTTGTGTTGACCATCAGGCCAGTTTTTCTTCCTTGACTTTCTGAAGATTTCACAGGCAAACTTTTGGTACAGAGAGATATTAAGACTGGAACAATCAGGTCATGTGTGTCAGACACACCACAGGTATACACACAATTTTCTCCACTTGTACATTTTTTGTGTCAAACTTCTGTTCCAACCAACTTTTCTTCTAACAAGCTTTCTTCTAAATGTGTGTGAAAACAAATGAGAAAAAATGTTTTCTATTTAAAATGCCCAGATATTTCATCGTGTACCTTGTGATGCTCCAGATGGCCTGACCCAAAGAAAAGCCAAGTTTGAATACTTCAAGAAAAAAGTCAGTGCTCCTTCATTACATATCATATAACAATTAAGTTACACATGTCATGCAACAGTTAAGCTTTGAAAAGCTCATGTAGAATTTGCACTATGATAATCAGGTGTAATCTAATTTTAAAAAGCGTGTCAGTTTAGACTGCTGTGACATGCCGGCCTTGTGATTCTCTCCCCCAGATTGTGCCCTACCACACATCAGCAGGGATGAAGCAGACATTGATCTACTGCAACTACTACAGCTTTGTCATGCTGCGCAACTACTTCAGGGAGACAGAGGCAGACTTTTTGTTCATCAATGAGTAAGTCAATATCTGGTGTGTGCAAGTATCCCACCAGTTACATTGGTTTCTCATCAGATAGAGCTAATTGTTATTCATCTGAATATTTCACACAGTACTTAACCAAAAATTCACAAATTTATATGGCATTTTAAAAAAAGATAAACCATGTCATGTATCATTTGATTCTGTTTTAGATATGACACAGAGAAACACATGAGGAATGCCAGAATTCACTTCAGAAAACGCCATCCACACTTCATGCTTTACACAGAGAGGCTACATTTTCACTATAGGTAGGTTCTTGTCTGCTGTGTTCTCAATAGGTATGGTAACTTCATGTGGAATTGTTGTAGATTTACTGTCTGGCTTGTGCTCAATAGGTATGGTAATTTAATGTGGAATTGTTATAGTTTTATTATCTGGCTTGCACTCAATAGGGTAGTTTATTGGTGGAATTGTAGTTTTTAAAATGATAGAAAAATGCACCTATTAAAAGTTAAAGTATTTGTGTGTCCATGAGATCTTATTAAAATGCCTTTGATAAACTAGGCTTTGATTATCAATATCATGTTCCAATACCCCCAGTATAAGTCTGAATTCTATAATTTATGCAGAATTTTTTTTAATAGCTATGTGTGCAAAACTAAAAAATTGAGCTTGGCCTAAGAGCTAGAATGTATTTTTTCTTTCTGTCAATTGGACAGGTTTAGACTGCGAGGTATCCACCATATCCTGTGGTTTGATCTACCCCAATACCCCCAGTTTTACCCTGAGCTGCTAAATCTGATGGAGACAGACAGACAATCTTGTACAACCACAGCCTTGTTTACTAGGTAATTTCTTTCATTCCTAGGTAGAACCAGTCTACAGTCCTAACCTAATGGGCCAATTAGGTCTGCAGTCCTGCCACGTGGGCCAGTTAGATCAGCAATATGGCCTCATTGGCCAGTTCAGGCCCACAGTCCGGCCTCGTGGCCCAGTTGGGTCCACGGTCCGGCCTCGTGGGCCAGTTGGGTCCACGTTCCGGCCTCGTGGGTCAGTAGGGTCCACTGTCCGGCCTCGTGGGCAAGTAGGGTCCACGGTCCGGCCTCGTGGGCCAGTTGGACCCATGGTGTGGCCTAGTGGGCCAGTTGGACCCATTGTCTGGCCTAGTGGGTCCACGGTCCGGCCTCGTGGGCCAGTTGGACCCATGGTCTGGCCTCGTGGGCCAGTCGGGTCCAGTCTGGCCTAGTGGGTCCACGGTCCGGCCTCGTGGGCCAGTAGGGTCCACGGTCCGGCCTCGTGGGCCAGTAGGGTCCACGGTCCGGCCTCGTGGGCCAGTAGGGTCCACGGTCAAGCCTCAACCAGTAGGGTCCACGGTCCGGCCTCGTGGGCCAGTAGGGTCCACGGTCTGGCCTCGTGGGCCAGTTGGACCCATGGTCTGGCCTAGTGGGTCCACGGTCCGGCCTCGTGGGCCAGTAGGGTCCACGGTCCGGCCTCATGGGCCAGTAGTCTGGCCTCGTGGCCCAGTAGGGTCCACGGTCTGGCCTCGTGGGCCAGTTGGACCCATGGTCTGGCCTAGTGGGTCCACAGTCCGGCCTCGTGGGTCCACTGTCCAGCCTCGTGGGCCAGTAGGGTCCACGGTCCGGCCTCGTGGGCCAGTAGGGTCCGGGGTCCACGGTCCGGCCTCGTGGGCCAGTAGGGTCCACGGTCCGGGGGTCCACGGTCCGGCCTCGTGGGCCAGTATGGTCCACGGTCTGGCCTAGTGGGTCCACGGTCAAGCCTCGATCAGTAGGGTCCACGGTCCGGCCTCGTGGGCCAGTAGGGTCCACGGTCCGGCCTCGTGGGCCAGTTGGGTCCACGGTCCGGCCTCGTGGGCCAGTAGGGTCCGGGGTCCATGGTCCGGCCTCGTGGGCCAGTATGGTCCACGTCCGGGGGTCCACGGTCTGGCCTCGTGGGCCAGTAGGGTCCACGGTCTGGCCTAGTGGGTCCACGGTCAAGCCTCGATCAGTAGGGTCCACGGTCCGGCCTCGTGGGCCAGTAGGGTCCACGGTCAGGCCTCGTGGGCCAGTTGAACCCATGTCTGGCCTAGTGGGTCCACGGTCCGGCCTCGTGGGCCAGTAGTCTGGCCTCGTGGCCCAGTAGGGTCCACGGGCCGGCCTCGTGGGCCAGTTGGGTCCACGGTCCGGCCTTGTGGGCCAGTTGGGTCCACGGTCAAGCCTCGTGGGCCAGTAGGGTCCACAGGCTGGTCTCGTCCTCAGCTGCCTCATGGGCCATTCGGGTCCAGTCCGGCCTTGTAGGTCCACACTCCGGCCTTGTCGCTCCTCAATCCGGCTTTTCGAGGGCCAGTCTAGGCTTGAGGGTTAGACTGTTTTTTTTTTATATGATCCACAGGTATGATGCCCAGAAACTGGTTGAGATCATTGGCAACAAACAAGCAGCACATATGTTAAACTCTGAGAAGTCTGTCAACATGATCACAGTATCTTGATGTCACATGATCACTTGATGACTGAACTGGATGACACCAAGATATTTTAAACAACGCTGTCTACATGATTCTTACACAAGGCTTTATAGACCACAAATTGTGGCCATCAGTAATGTAAATAAATGTTTATATTAAACACTTATTATTCTGTTATTGTCACTTTTATCTCTGTGGTCAATCTTGTAGATTCACTTCTGATGCTAACACAATATCTAATTTATAATCTAATTAGATACTAAAATTGATTGTAAGTTTTCTAAATTAAAAAATGAACACTGTGGTAGAATGTTGAGCTTATGACAGCCAACCAGAGTTTGAGGTTACATTTTTCAATTCGTAAAAAGTAGAAGAAAAGTTAAAAACCCTGATTATAAAAACTTTAAAATGCAACCAAAAAATACGAAAAGTTGTGGTTGCTCAAAAGTAGAAGATATTTCATGAGCGATCAATGGTTTTACTGAAGTGTAATTATAACTTATAAGCCTGTTTTTAAATTTAATTTCTTTTTTTACCAATATCTAGACACAATAACTGTTGTAACAAGAAAAATATGAATGTTAGATTTATTTTTAACATGTTAAGTACAAAATAAAATCACTTGTAAGTAGTTAAATCTGTTAAGTGAAAATCTCTGGCATATTATATTATATGACATACACAACTCATTTTTCCCCAAGCACACAGATTAAACCATTTATAAAAACATGTACTTCTAAACACTTAATGAGTCTATGGACTGATGAACATCATGCTTCAGATTAGTTGTGTGACAGGTATCACTTTGATGATAAATAAATTAAACATGCAACATGTGATTTACATTAAGTCATTTTACATCAAATAAATTGCTTTTAAAATAAATAACTTACTGCCTAAAAGGATTACTAAAATAAGGTATTACAATCTACATATTAACCAGTTTAACCAGATATATGTGACCACATAAAATGTACATAAATTCTACAAGTGTCTTGTGGCAAACAGTTTTGTTAGAGACAAAACTTGAGCTGCTCTATGAAGATTGAGAATGGCTTCATGTTAAACTGGTGTAGGGGTGTTTAATAAGATTGAGAATGGCTTCTTGTTAAATTGGTGTAGGGGTGTATAATAAAATTGAGATTGGCTTCATCTTTGATGTAGGGGTGTTTAATAAGATTGAGAATGGCTTCATGTTAGACTGGTTTAGGAGTGTTTAATAAGATTGAGAATGGTCCATGTTAGACTGGTTTAGGGGTGTATAATAAGATTGAGAATGGTTTCATGTTAGACTGGTGGAGTGGGGTGTATAATAAGATTGAGAATGGTTTCATGTTAGACTGGTGTAGGGGTGTATAATAAGATTGAGAATGGTCCATGTTAGACTGGTGGAGTGGGGTGTATAATAAGATTGAGAATGGTCCATGTTAAACTGATGTAGGGGTGTATAAGATTGAGAATGACTTCATGTTAGACTGGTGGAGTGGGGTGTATAATAAGATTGAGAATGGTTTCATGTTAGACTGGTGTAGGGGTGTATAATAAGATTGAGAATGGTCCATGTTAGACTGGTGGAGTGGGGTGTATAATAAGATTGAGAATGGTCCATGTTAAACTGATGTAGGGGTGTATAAGATTGAGAATGACTTCATGTTAGACTGGTGGAGTGGGGTGTATAATAAGATTGAGAATGGTCCATGTTAGACTGGTGTAGGGGTGTATAATAAGATTGAGAATGGCTTCAGGTTAGACTGATGTGGGGGGGGGGGGGGGGGGTGTACTACAAACATTTTCTGGTGAATAACTCTGCTCTGATAAAACAAAAAGCGAAGTATATTGTACTTTATTAACTACTTAGAAAAGGGAATAAATATCCATTGAAGACGTCTATGATAAATACAGGTTTGCCTCCCCCTACATCCAGTGGATACATACACTAAATTTAAACTGGCTAAAATTTACTTCCATATATTTAAATTAGCCCCTCCACCCCCTTCTTTTTGGGACATCATAATGTATTCAGTAAAGGACCTGAGCATGTGGTGAGTTGTAAAATGTTAGCAGTACAAAACCTAACCTGTGAATGATTTGTTATAAATGTGTGTCTGTGAAAACTGTCTGCTCTTTGGTGTAGCTGTAGGTGTTTCCACTAGAGCTTTCATCATCAAGGTCATCAAACTGGTGAAAGGAAACAAAAAGATCATGTGACTACATCTGACACATTTAATTGGACTAGAGACATGAATCTTATGGGTGTGAAGTTCACATCCTCTTCACAGTAGCTTATTATAAACAATTATTATTGATATAAGTTATATAAATAGTAATTTTTTTCTGACAAGGATAATAAGATTGAATTAGGATCTTATGTATAAGTTATATGGGATAGTATTGATTAGATAATTTCGATTGAAATTTGTATCTGGAGTTATTGAAAAAAACGCCTCAGTACAAGAATCTACCAGGAAGTGAAGCAGTGACTTACTAAACCACTGTCATAGGCCCTGTTCCACCTTAAGTCATCATCATCATCATCAATATACTTGGGTGTCACCCTGCTCAGCTTGCTGGGTGAACCTCTAGTCTGGTCAGCAAACGCTGGGTTGACCACACCAATGCCAGGACCTTGATAGAAGTTGTGTCTGTTGGCTCTATGAACTGGTGTCATACTCTGTGGACAGACAGTGGGGACATCATTACCTCAACAGGTCAAGTCAGGTCAGCATCAGGTACAGTTAAGCCATTAAGTATTTTTAAAAGATTTAAATAAACTTTACCAAAATTAAATACAAATGAGAAATAGCTAGTAAATGTTATTCTTGTTTCAAAGACCTGTATAAATTTACCAGTGAATTTAATTTTTTGTTTACAAACTGTGTAGTAGTTACAATTTTTCATCTGGATATTTTATAATAGAATGTTGTTGATATATAACTCTAGACTGAAACTAAGTAATAGTCTTACGTTAGCATCAATGACACTGTAATAGTCTTACGTTAGCATCAATGACACTGTAATAGTCTTACGTTAGCATCAATGACACTGTAATAGTCTTACGTTAGCATCAATGACACTGTAATAGTCTTACGTTAGCATCAATGACACTGTAATAGTCTTACGTTAGCATCAATGACACTGTAATAGTCTTACGTTAGCATCAATGACACTGTAATAGTCTTACGTTAGCATCAATGACACTGTAATAGTCTTACGTTAGCATCAATGACACTGTAATAGTCTTACGTTAGCATCAATGACACTGTAATAGTCTTACGTTAGCATCAATGACACTGTAATAGTCTTACGTTAGCATCAATGACACTGTAATAGTCTTACGTTAGCATCAATGACACTGTAATAGTCTTACGTTAGCATCAATGACACTGTAATAGTCTTACGTTAGCATCAATGACACTGTAATAGTCTTACGTTAGCATCAATGACACTGCCGTCTGTTGCATCTATGACATACAGGCCCCGAGGCAGGTTACGCTGGTCATGTCTGGTCAGTGGCATCCTCTCACGTATGTAGGGCTCTCTAGAGCCAGTGCACCTCATACAGAGGGCCAGCAGGACAAAGAGTATGACCAGAGCCAGGATACACATGAGGACAATGAACCAGACCTCCTGGTAGACAGGTGTGGAGCTTGAGATGGCTGCTGGCACTGGGGGCAAACTGGTGGTACCTGCATGTTGGTGTACAGACAACCTTACATGTTTTACACAGGCTCTTGCTTCTTTTTATAGTAAAAGTTCAATCTAGCAGTTAGCTGTTTGTATAATAGCAATTAACCCTTTGAACCTGACATTTGCAATTTACAATGAAAATATAGTTGGTAAATCCAATTATCACCTTTTTTATCTTTGTCCACACCTACCTATGTCTAAAAGAAGGGTCTACCTGCTAAGACTGGCATACTAAACAAGAGTACTTGCCATAATCCCACAATTAGAATAATAAAAATAATCTTATTTTTTATTTTCATTTTTTATTGAGAGTATTTTGTGTACATTTTCCTCAGAAGCCCAAGGGTTCAAAGGGTTAGTTTTATATACTAGCACTAAAAGACTTTATTTAATACAAGTCTGCTAAATGATAAGTAAATGATAAGTAACATTTTAAAATTGCGCTGACCAAAAAAAAAAATCTCTTTGGAAGCAAATGTTTGTTATAAACGTTATGAAATTAAACTCAAAGCTAATTCTCCAAACTTTTTTCTAACTGTAGAAGCTGCAACATACCAATATTATCAACAGCATCAGGATCAAAGACTATACTGGGGGTCTCTGCTTGTCCAACATCTGTCACAGCCTGGATGATGAAACTGACCACTGAAACAGACAAAAATTGATGGGAGATTTTACTTGGCAATAGGACAGTGTTGTTGAATGGCAGAGCGTTTGACTAACCCAGAAGTCTCAAGTTTGGATCCCAGACTTCAGTTTGTAGGATGTCCCTGAGTCCACCCAGCTCTAATTGGTACCATACTCACATTAGGGAAAGTAAGGGGGCTGGGTATTGTGCTTACAACACTATTCCTTCATTTGTCAATGAAACATGTTTCATTGACGGCTATGTTTGAAAGGGCACTTTACTTTTACTTACTCAATTTGCCAAATAAAAGTTTAGATTTCTGGTAACTCTCATCTCTCCCCTGATGTGGTGACACCTCTGACCTACCTTGAGTTTTGGTTGCCCTCTCCACCCCCCCCCCCCTGATGTGGTGACACCTCTGACCTACCTTGAGTTTTGGTTGCCCTCTCCTCCACCCCCCCTGATGTGTTGACACCTCTGACCTACCTTGAGTTTTGATTGACCTCTCCACCCCCCCCCCCCTGGTGTGGTGACACCTCTGACCTACCTTGAGTTTTGGTTGCCCTCTCCACACCCCCTGATGTGGTGACACCTCTGAATATAACTTTGCCATCAGCCAGGAGAATGTATTCTCTCAGTCGGCCATTTAATGTGAAGGAATTTGGCCAAGATATCATGGCCATAGTGCCATTTTTACTGAGTGTAGGATAGTTGCTGTAGACTGGGGCTGAAATTAGAGAGAATAAATCCTTACAAAAATGTGTTGAAGCTTGAATTATTTTTACTTATTGAATGATGATGGATATGAAATTAGGGTAAATACATTACAAAGATCGAAATTTTAAAAAGCTGGTAACTAATGATACATGGATTGAATACCAGAAAAGATCACTCAGGATATATTACCACAGCCAGTCAGATGTCTCACCTGACTTGAGTGTCTCCACCTGAACCCAATCAGGTGTGTCTGCTCCACCTTTATCATTGAAGCACTGAACCTGAAACTCATACGCAGTGTAAGGGTTAAGGTCAGTTGCCTTTGAGGTCAAGTTGAGTCCAGTGTAGATAATGAGGGTGTCTCCTGTTATACAGGTCTGGTTGAAGGGCTGGGGCGTGGGTGGGCAGCTGGTCCTCTTGTATACCTCATACCTGCATGGTCAACATAGGTTTAGGTTTGTTTTGTTACACAGGTTTAGGTTTGTTTAGTTACACAGGTTTAGGTTTGTTTTGTTACACAGGTTTAGGTTTGTTTTGTTACACAGGTTTAGGTTTGTTTTGTTACACAGGTTTAGGTTTGTTTTGTAACACAGGTTTAGGTTTGTTTTGTTACACAGGTTTAGGTTTGTTTTGTTACACAGGTTTAGGTTTGTTTTGTTACACAGGTTTAGGTTTGTTTTGTTACACAGGTTTAGGTTTGTTTTGTTACACAGGTTTAGGTTTGTTTTGTTACACAGGTTTAGGTTTGTTTTGTTACACAGGTTTAGGTTTGTTTTGTTACATAGGTTTAGGTTTGTTTTGTTACATAGGTTTAGGTTTGTTTTGTTACACAGGTTTAGGTTTGTTTTGTTACACAGGTTTAGGTTTGTTTTGTTACATAGGTTTAGGTTTGTTTTGTAACACAGGTTTAGGTTTGTTTTGTTACACAGGTTTAGGTTTGTTTTGTTACACAGGTTTAGGTTTGTTTTGTTACACAGGTTTAGGTTTGTTTTGTTACACAGGTTTAGGTTTGTTTTGTTACACAGGTTTAGGTTTGTTTTGTTACATAGGTTTAGGTTTGTTTTGTTACATAGGTTTAGGTTTGTTTTGTTACACAGGTTTAGGTTTGTTTTGTTACACAGGTTTAGGTTTGTTTTGTTACACAGGTTTAGGTTTGTTTTGTTACACAGGTTTAGGTTTGTTTTGTTACACAGGTTTAGGTTTGTTTTGTTACACAGGTTTAGGTTTGTTTTGTTACACAGGTTTAGGTTTGTTTTGTTACACAGGTTTAGGTTTGTTTTGTTACACAGGTTTATTTTAAAGGTGCTTAAAGGCTATTGGCGCAGAACCTATTTTTAAACCCTTTCCTTAAAGTACATCTCACAGATGTAAAATGTATCTACTGCTACTTTAAAAGCATTAAATGTTAAGGCAAGCTTTAGTAATATAGGATAACACAATGGGTCCAGACATACAAATGTGTTGTCCTGTTATATCCTACACATCACATACCCAACACTCTGTACTGATTGGTACCGTAATTAAACATAAAAATTGCTGAATAAACAAAGAGGAGATGTCTGTCATAATGAAACAGGCTACTACCAACCTGAGAATGTCACAATGAAACCTTAGGCTACTACCAACCTGAGGCTGTCACAATGAAACCTTAGGCTACTACCAACCTGAGAATGTCACAATGAAACATTAGGCTACTACCAACCTGAGAATGTCACAATGAAACATTAGGCTACTACCAACCTGAGAATGTCACAATGAAACCTTAGGCTACTACCAACCTGAGGCTGTCACAATGAAACCTTAGGCTACTACCAACCTGAGGCTGTCACAATGAAACATTAGGCTACTACCAACCTGAGAATGTCACAATGAAACCTTAGGCTACTACCAACCTGAGAATGTCACAATAAAACATTAGGCTACTACCAACCTGAGAATGTCACAATGAAACCTTAGGCTACTACCAAACCAACCTGAGGCTGTCACAATGAAACATTAGGCTACTACCAACCTGAGAATGTCACAATGAAACCTTAGGCTACTACCAACCTGAGAATGTCACAATGAAACATTAGGCTACTACCAATCTGAGACTGTCACAATGAAACATTAGGCTACTACCAACCTGAGACTGTCACAATAAAACATTAGGCTACTACCAACCTGAGAATGTCACAATGAAACATTAGGCTACTACCAACCTGAGAATGTCACAATAAAACATTAGGCTACTACCAAACCAACCTGAGACTGTCACAATGAAACATTAGGCTACTACCAACCTGAGACTGTCACAATGAAACATTGGGCTACTACCAACCTGAGACTGTCACAATAAAACATTAGGCTACTACCAACCTGAGAATGTTCCCATTTGGATTCTGTGGAGGAGACCACTCAAGGCCCACGCTGTCATTGGCCAGACTGGTGGTCCTGATGGGGGCCAGACCCCTGGGCCGGGCACTGTCAGTTATGGCCATGAGGCCATCACTGGTGCTGCAGCCACCTGAAGTACACACCTGAGAGCGCAGCAGGTAGCTGGTGTAGGGGAGCAGGGGGTCTGACATGCCAACTACAGCTTGTCTTGATGATGGGGAGGATGAGGCCTGGATGGGATGGACACAAGTGCTTGACAAATATATCACGTGCTTGAAAAACTTAACATTTCAGATATACAAAAGCTGACCTAAAGTGTCCTAAAATAATATGAGATTAAAACTAGTTCTAAAAAAAACTTTGGACGTGTGGAAAAAGGACCACAACTTCTAGTGACAATTATAAAAAGGAATATCTCCTCTTATGTCCCTTACTAATAATTTTGTAATATAATATGAAGCCTATTACAATTACATTTTAAGTTTAAGAGTCTTGAACAAGAAAAACCATTAGTAGTATATTGAGTAATGTTTGTTTTTAATTCATTATATTACATACTCATAAATAGAGAATGACATTAACTGAGAGATATTTCATATCAACACTGTTCCAACTGTCCAGTCTTTCTATTATAACCTTAGTGACTGAGCAATATTGACCAATCTATACCAACTCCAGTAGCTGAGCATCAGACTGACTTACCACTGTGTTGTTGACCAGCACCCTGTATGAAGTGATGAGACCATTAGGGACTAATGGGTTTGGGATGGACACTGTGATGGTGTTGGCAGTGCTGGACTGTGGACAAGGTCAAGGGTTAATCAGAGACTGAAATAAGCCTAACTCAATTTGTTCATAGAAAAGAATAGCTTTAAAAAAAAAGCTTAACATAAGCTACCTATTAAAAATATTTTTTTGCTAGACCAGCCAGTAGAAAAAACCATCAGGTCTTACATTAACAATGGGTGGCAGGACCCCCTGTGGTGGAGCTTCTCTAGTGGTCACTGTTGACCATGTGCTGGCCACCTTGCCCACTGAGTTGACACCTATGACCATGTACTGGTACTGGGAGAAGGGCTTCAGGTCTGTAGAGTTGTCAATGTACTGTCTGAAGCTTGTGCTAGCCACAGGGACGGGGTCACCATAGGTCAGTTCAGCACCTGAATAGATAGAAGGGTCACTAAAGGTCAGTTCAGCACCTGAATAGATAAATAGAAGGGTCACCATAGGTCAGTTCAACACCTGAATAGATAGAAGGGTCACTAAAGGTCAGTTCAGCACCTGAATAGATAAATAGAAGGGTCACCATAGGTCAGTTCAGCACCTGAATAGATAGAAGGGTCACTAAAGGTCAGTTCAGCACCTGAATAGATAAATAGAAGGGTCACCATAGGTCAGTTCAGCACCTGAATAGATAAATAGAAGGGTCACTATAGGTCAGTTTAACACTTGAATAGATAAATAGAAGGGTCACTATAGGTCAGTTCAACACATGCATAGATAAATAGAAGGGTCACCATAGGTCAGTTCAGCACCTGAATAGATAAATAGAAGGGTCACTATAGGTCAGTTTAACACTTGAATAGATAAATAGAAGGGTCACTATAGGTCAGTTCAACATATGCATAGATAAATAGAAGGGTCACCTTAGGTCAGTTCAACACATCATAAATAAATAGCAGGGTCACTACAGGTCAACTCATCAACAGCATAAATAAATAATAGGGACAATTTTGGTCAATTCAGCAAGACATGCCCCACTCTACCAGCCACACCCCACCAGCAAGACATGCCCCACCCAGCAAGACATGCCCTACTCTACCAGCCACGCCCCACCCAGCAAGACATGCCCCACCCAGCAAGACATGCCCCACCCAGCAAGACATGCCCCACCCAGCAAGACATGCCCCACCCAGCAAGACATGCCCCACCCAGCAAGACATGCCCCACCCAGCAAGACATGCCCCACCCAGCAAGACATGCCCTACTCTACCAGCCACACCCCACCCAGCAAGACATGCCCTACTCTACCAGCCACACCCCACCCAGCAAGACATGCCCTACTCTACCAGCCACACCCCACCAGCAAGACATGCCCCACCCAGCAAGACATGCCCTACTCTACCAGCCACACCCCACCCAGCAAGACATGCCCTACTCTACCAGCCATGCCCCACCCAGCAAGACATGCCCTACTCTACCAGCCACACCCCACCCAGCAAGACATGCCCTACTCTACCAGCCACACCCCACCCAGCAAGACATGCCCTACTCTACCAGCCACGCTCCACCCAGCAAGACATGCCCTACTCTACCAGCCACGCTCCACCCAGCAAGACATGCCCTACTCTACCAGCCATGCCCCACCCTCCCAGCCATGCCCTACTCTACCAGCCACGCCCCACCCAGCAAGACATGCCCTACTCTACCAGCCACGCTCCACCCAGCAAGACATGCCCTACTCTACCAGCCACGCTCCACCCAGCAAGACATGCCCTACTCTACCAGCCACGCTCCACCCAGCAAGACATGCCCCACCCAGCAAGACATGCCCTACTCTACCAGCCACGCTCCACCCAGCAAGACATGCCCCACCCAGCAAGCCACGCTCCACCCAGCAAGACATGCCCTACTCTACCAGCCACGCTCCACCCAGCAAGACATGCCCTACTCTACCAGCCACGCTCCACCCAGCAAGACATGCCCCACCCAGCAAGACATGCCCTACTCTACCAGCCACGCTCCACCCAGCAAGACATGCCCCACCCAGCAAGCCACGCTCCACCCAGCAAGACATGCCCTACTCTACCAGCCACGCTCCACCCAGCAAGACATGCCCTACTCTACCAGCCACGCTCCACCCAGCAAGACATGCGCTACTCTACCAGCCACGCTCCACCCAGCAAGACATGCCCTACTCTACCAGCCATGCCCCACCCTCCCAGCCATGCCCTACTCTACCAGCTACACCCCACCCAGCAAGACATGCCCTACTCTACCAGCCATGCCCCACCCAGCAAGACATGCCCTACTCTACCAGCCACGCTCCACCCAGCAAGACATGCCCGACCCAGCAAGACATGCCCCACCCAGCAAGACATGCCCTACTCTACCAGCCATGCCCCACCCAGCAAGACATGCCCTACTCTACCAGCCACGCTCCACCCAGCAAGACATGCCCTACTCTACCAGCCACACCCCACCCAGCAAGACATGCCCTACTCTACCAGCCACGCTCCACCCAGCAAGACATGCCCCACCCAGCAAGACATGCCCCACCCAGCAAGACATGCCCTACTCTACCAGCCATGCCCCACCCAGCAAGACATGCCCTACTCTACCAGCCACGCTCCACCCAGCAAGACATGCCCCACCCAGCAAGACATGCCCCACCCAGCAAGACATGCCCTACTCTACCAGCCATGCCCCACCCAGCAAGACATGCCCTACTCTACCAGCCACGCTCCACCCAGCAAGACATGCCCCACCCAGCAAGACATGCCCCACCCAGCAAGACATGCCCTACTCTACCAGCCATGCCCCACCCAGCAAGACATGCCCTACTCTACCAGCCACGCTCCACCCAGCAAGACATGCCCCACCCAGCAAGACATGCCCCACCCAGCAAGACATGCCCTACTCTACCAGCCACGCTCCACCCAGCAAGACATGCCCTACTCTACCAGCCACGCCCCACCCAGCAAGACATGCCCCACCCAGCAAGACATGCCCCACCCAGCAAGACATGCCCTACTCTACCAGCCACACCCCACCCAGCAAGACATGCCCTACTCTACCAGCCACGCTCCACCCAGCAAGACATGCCCCACCCAGCAAGACATGCCCCACCCAGCAAGACATGCCCCACCCAGCAAGACATGCCCTACTCTACCAGCCACACCCCACCCAGCAAGACATGCCCTACTCTACCAGCCACACCCCACCCAGCAAGACATGCCCTACTCTACCAGCCACACCCCACCCAGCAAGACATGCCCTACTCTACCAGCCACACCCCACCCAGCAAGACATGCCCTACTCTACCAGCCATGCCCCACCCAGCAAGACATGCCCTACTCTACCAGCCACACCCCACCCAGCAAGACATGCCCTACTCTACCAGCCATGCCCCACCCAGCAAGACATGCCCTACTCTACCAGCCACGCTCCACCCAGCAAGACATGCCCTACTCTACCAGCCACGCTCCACCCAGCAAGACATGCCCTACTCTACCAGCCACACCCCACCCAGCAAGACATGCCCTACTCTACCAGCCACACCCCACCCAGCAAGACATGCCCTACTCTACCAGCCACACCCCACCCAGCAAGACATGCCCTACTCTACCAGCCATGCCCCACCCAGCAAGACATGCCCTACTCTACCAGCCACACCCCACCCAGCAAGACATGCCCTACTCTACCAGCCATGCCCCACCCAGCAAGACATGCCCTACTCTACCAGCCACGCTCCACCCAGCAAGACATGCCCTACTCTACCAGCCACGCTCCACCCAGCAAGACATGCCCTACTCTACCAGCCATGCCCCACCCAGCAAGACATGCCCTACTCTACCAGCCACGCTCCACCCAGCAAGACATGCCCTACTCTACCAGCCATGCCCCACCCAGCAAGACATGCCCTACTCTACCAGCCATGCCCCACCCAGCAAGACATGCCCTACTCTACCAGCCACGCTCCACCCAGCAAGACATGCCCTACTCTACCAGCCACGCTCCACCCAGCAAGACATGCCCCACCCAGCAAGACATGCCCTACTCTACCAGCCACGCTCCACCCAGCAAGACATGCCCCACCCAGCAAGACATGCCCCACCCAGCAAGACATGCCCTACTCTACCAGCCACGCTCCACCCAGCAAGACATGCCCCACCCAGCAAGACATGCCCTACTCTACCAGCCACGCCCCACCCAGCAAGACATGCCCTACTCTACCAGCCACACCCCACCCAGCAAGACATGCCCTACTCTACCAGCCATGCCCCACCCAGCAAGACATGCCCTACTCTACCAGCCACGCCCCACCCAGCAAGACATGCCCTACTCTACCAGCCATGCACCACCCAGCAAGACATGCTCTACCCAGCAAGACATGCCCTACTCTACCAGCCACACCCCACCCAGCAAGACATGCCCTACTCTACCAGCCATGCACCACCCAGCAAGACATGCTCTACCCAGCAAGACATGCCCCACCCAGCAAGACATGCCCCACCCAGCAAGACATGCCCCACCCAGCAAGACATGCCCTACCCAGCAAGACATGCCCCACCCAGCAAGACATCCCCCACCCAGCAAGACATCCCCCACCCAGCAAGACATGCCCCACCCAGCAAGACATGCACCACCCTGCCACAGAACAAAGAGTTACCACTCAAGATGTTCCTCCTCTGGACCTCGTATGATGTAATGATCCCATTAGGTTTGGCTGGAGGATCCCAGGACACCAGCACGCCTGTGTGAGCTCCCTGTTCATTGGCCAGGGCCACCAGCGCTGGGGCAGGCTGACCTTCAGGGATGGCTGGCAGGGTCGTGTTGACAGCTGGCTGACTGAGTAGACAGCCCCGACTAGTGCAGGCCTCTACCCTGAAGCTGTAGGAGGTGAAGTACTGGAGCCCTGGGACAGTGTAGCTCAGCTGGGTGGAGGGGCCAGAGTACACCAGGCGGGTCCCTTAGTTCAACAGGGAAGATTAAGTTGTTAGTAACATGTTATTTCATTGGTTCAACAGGGAAGATTAGGTCGTTAGTAACATGTTATTTCATTGGTTCAACAGTGAAGATTAGGCTATTAGTAACATGTTATTTGATTGGTTCAACAGGGAAGATTAAGTTGTTAGTAAAATGTTATTTCATTGGTTCAATGGGGAAGATTAAGTCGTTAGTAACATGTTATTTGATTGGTTCAAAAGGGAATATTAAGCTGTTAGTAACATGTTATTTGATTGGTTCAACAGTGAAGATTAGGCTGTTAGTAAGCAATTTTAAGAATTATATGATCTTTAAGCAGAGGACTATTAGTTCGAATATAAGATTAATTTTTTTCCATTTTATAAAAAATGTGCTTAAACTGACCTTCATAGATGGAATAGTTGGTCAGTTGACCATTAGGGTTGGCAGGGGGGAGCCAGTCGACCTTGATGGAGGTGGAGGAAATAGGTGTGAGTGTTGGGGCAGCCAGACCAGTGGGAGAGCTGGAGTAAGTCATGGCTTTGGCTGGGCTACTCTCCACGCTGCCTTTTCTGGGGACACAGGACATATTTTTACAAATTTTACTCACAACTAGCTTTTATTTTCAACACACTATTTATAGCTAGGCTAAGTAGAAATGAAATGAAAATATAAATGTATAATTTATAAGCAAGGATAACAGACCTATTCCTGGCCACTACAACATAAGAATACTCCTCCCCAGGCTCAAGGTTGTTGTCAGTAAAAGACAGAGCCAGAATGTCAGAGAGGGCTATGCTGTTGGTGTAGATCAGGCGACCATCTCGTCTCAGTTCATATGAAGAAATTACCCCATTGGGACGGTTGGGTGCGGTCCATGTGACTTCAATGGCAGTAGAACTAATGACTCTAGGCAGTGGGGCAGACAACCCAGTGGGTGGGGCATCATCAGTTCTGCCAGTGACCTCCCCTGACTCAGTACACCCTCCATTAGTGCAGGCAGTGACTGTGAAAACATGCTGTTGATATGGAGCCAGTCCTGAGACAACATAGGCCACATCCAGCCCAGTGTAGACCACAGCCCCGTCCATCTTGAGCCTGTACTGCTTCATCTCACCATTGCTCAGGTCTGGGGGCTTCCAGGACAACCTCAAGGCTGTAGAACTCAGGACCTCCACTGTTGGAGGAGCCACCAAAAATGGTGCGGCCTCTAAAGTTCTGATGGTTGCTGGCTCACTTGTGGTGCAGCCCCCACCAGTGCAGGCGGTCAGTCTGTAGGTGTAGACGGTGTACGCCGTAAGCCCAGTGTCCACAAACTGACGCTCACTGTCAGGCTGGAAAGACAGGGGGAGGCTAGAGTTTCTCTGGACCAGGTACCACAGCAGGACTCCATTCAGCTCGGTGGGCGGGGACCAGGCCACACGCAGGCTGTTGATGCTGTTGTCTATGTAGGACAGGACTGGGGGCTGGACACCGTCCGGCGCAGCTTGTTGTGTGGTCACTGTCTGCCATGGTGAGTCTGTGAAGCCCAGAGCATTGGATGCTCTGATGCTGTACTGGTACGTCTTGTACGGCTGTAAGCCAGAGTCCGTGTATGTGTAGTTGTCTTGGGTTGTGTCTGTGGTTCTGTACACAACCTGAGGAACTGTGACTGTCTGGCGTCTGGGGCGTCCATTAGACTCCATTACAAAGTTGTTAAAGCCATCACTATGGTGCATTGACATCAGTGGCCAGCCTTCAAAATACTGGAAATTTATTACGTGAGGGCAAAGTTCATACTGTCCTATTGTGTCTTTGTTATTTGTGGTATTAAAATCTGGGTAGTCAATGTCCCTTTCATGTCTATTGACCATGAGATGGTCAATGCCCCTTTCATCATGTCTACTGACGTGGCCAATGTCCCTTCTGCGTCTGTTGGTACTGGCAAGTCTGAGAACTTCATAAGATGTAATGATTCCATTAGGATTAATAGGAGGTGTCCAGAAGAGCTGGACATTGGTGCCATTGACCTTGTTGATAACTGGACTAGGCTGGGATGCAGGGGGGACCTCCGCTGTGTAAAAGGACTGGACTCTGCCCAGACTACAGCCAACACTGGTACAGGCTTCCAGCTTGACCAGGTACTGTGTGTAAGGCTGCAGACGTCGGAACTCAAACAACTGGGCAGCTCCACTGTACAGGGGCACATCTGAGCCAACTTCGTAGATCCTGTATGTGGTTATAACCCCATTAGGTTTCTGTGGAGGGCTCCAGCTTAGAATGACTGAGGTACCAGCTGTGACCTTCTCCACCCTGAAGTCAGACAGTCCTGATGGGTAGCCTTCCTTCGTGGTCACCCTCACAGCTGTGGACCTGACACTCCCAGCCACATTCCCAGCTTCCAGAGACAGTAAGTAGTTGGAATAAGCTTCCAGCCCACTGAGTAAAGTGCTAGTCACATTACCCCCTACACTGATGTACACCTCAGCACTGACACCCAGTGAGCTCAGTCTATAGTAGATCCTGTACTCTTGGATGATCCCATTTGGACTGGAGGGGGGTGTCCAGGACAGGGAAACTCCATAGCTGCTGATTAAATTGACAGTTGGGGGGTTTAAACCAATGGGTGTGGACTCTAATGTTCTAACAGTTGACCACCCACTTTCAGCTTGTCCTTTTGAGTTGAAGGCAATCACCTGTTAGAGGTCAAATGCCAGTCATTTCATATGAAAACAAAGTTATATCTTATGGATGCATCATATAGTGTACTCTTACAAAAATTTTAAAGAAAGGTATTTAATTTAATTAAATTTTAGAGGGCTACTTTTAGGTTAGTATTTTTTCTGATATTGTAAAAAGTTAAAAGCTAACCTGGTATTCATACAGCTGGTAAGGCTTAAGGTTACCACCAGAATGTGTGAACTGTAGGGTGGTACCAGCCACATCATTGACCAGCACTGCAGAGATTACCCCTGGAGTCCTCTGATAGATCATGTACTTGCTGATGATGCCGTTGGGGACAGTGGGGGGCTTCCACTCCACACTGATGGTGTTGTAGGAGACAGGTGTCAGCTGGGGGGGCAGCATGCCGCGGGGCACGTCCTCCAGGGTGGTCACCACTGTCCCATTGCTGGTGCCACAACCATTGAGGACATTACGCAGACAGGCCTGGAGCCTGACCTCGTATTGGGTGAATGGCAGTAACGGGGAGATGTCAATGGATGTTGCAAGGCCCACACCCCTCTCAACCTACAGCAGCAAAATGTCTATCATTAACTGGGAGTTTACTTAATCACTTTCATTAGTTAACAATCTGCAGTAATTATATTTTGGTCAGCCAACTCAAATATGGGCTACTACAGCAGTACAAAGTAGGACATAGGAAAGCACTTATGATAAAAATAGGCATCTGGCAAGTCAAATACAGACAAGTGAGAATAGTATGTTAACATGTAATATGGCTCGTTCTGTAAAAAGTATTCTGTTTAATTCATATTATTATTTTAGTCTCAACACTAAGGACAAAGCAACTTACCTCTGTGTCCAGTCCAGAGTTGAGCAGAACTCTGTAACCATCAATCTCCCCCTGGTCTGATGTGATTGGCCGCCATGTGACCCTGACAGACGTGGAGCTTAACACTTCCACAGACTGTAAACAACAACAATTTTTTATAACAAGTTACAATTTTAGCTGACCCTGACAGACGTGGAGCTTAAAACTTCCACAGACTGTAAACAACAACAATTTTTTATAACAAGTTACAATTTTAGCTGACCCTGACAGACGTGGAGCTTAAAACTTCCACAGACTGTAAACAACAACAATTTTTTATAACAAGTTACAATTTTAGCTGACCCTGACAGATGTGGAGCTTAAAACTTCCACAGACTGTAAACAACAACATTTTTTATAACAAGTCACATTATTAGCTGATTGCAGGTTTAACATTTGGCAAGCAGGCGTATTGGAAATATTGAGCTATATGAACACAAAGTGTGTCTAAATTAAGAAGTAATTCTATTTAAACACAAGTTGTGTCCTTGTTATTTATAATGTAGCCATGGTACACAAGTTATGTCTAATCAATAAAAAAATTAACCCGGCCTCAAACCTGTGGCGGTGGTACAGTGAATGGTGCTACCACTGGCATGACAATCTCCCTGGGTGTACTGGTCACAGAGCCAGCATTATTCTGGACCTCCAGCTGGTACATGTACGACTGACCAGGGGTCAGTGAAGACAACCTGAGCATGGTGTTCATCCCAAAATACACCTGTGTCACTGGTGTTGGTCTGGTCTAAGAAAAGTGAAACCTCATCTTTTAAAAGCTTGAACCTAAATAATGTCCATTGTAAGTATTATCTCAACCAGGCAGAACTAAAAACAGTAAATAATGTCCATTGTAAGTATTATTTCAATCAGGCAGAACTAAAAACAAACGTGTAGGACTTTGATAAAATTTTCTTAATACATTTCAGCTTTTATATATTTGAAGCCAATGATTGAACCTGTATAAGTTTGTATCCCAGCAGGATGCCATTTGTTTGGTTGGGAGCTTTCCAGTATACATCAATGGTCCTAGAGTTGATGACAATTATCCTGGGTGGGGACAGGCCTGGGGTGAACAACAAGCGACAAAATAACTGACTTAAGGGTTTGATTATTTTAGTGGTAATTTTATGGGAACAGTCTACAATAGAAACCAATTAGCTAAGAGATTAGTTATGGAAGATAAAGACAAGATGTAGACAGTCTACAGTACAAACAAATTAGCTAAGAAATTAGTAATGTAAGATAAAGACAATATGTAGACAGTCTACAGTACAAACCAATTAGCTAAGAGATTAGTTATGTATAGAAATTTGTATAAGTTAACAAGACTAGAAACGGACCTTGAGGCAAATCCTCCATGGTAGTTACAGTGACATTAGGGCTGACAGAGCAGCCTACAACAGTACAGACTTTCATCATCACAGTGTAGTTGGTGAATGGTGTCAGATCTAATCAGAGGCATTTCACATTTTTATTTTAATAGCATCCCCCAGATCTAAATACTTGTAAGCATTAAACATTTTATAACTGTACAAATATTAAGTGTTACTGTCTAAACCAGGACTTATGCAACATATGTAATAATTTAGGAAATGTACATGTAAAATACTGTTCTAAAATGGAAATTTTTTTTAACCATGTGTCTGGAGTGGATCATAATTAAATCAGCCTGATATGTTTAAAATGGGACAGAGTAGTCTAGCGGTAGAGAGCTGGACTGCTAACCCGTAAGTCTCCAGTTTGAATCCTGGTTCAAATCAGTAGACTGTCCCTAAGTCCACCCAACTCTGATGGGTACCTAACTCACAATAGGTAAAGTAAAGATGTCTGGGCATAGTGCTGACCACACTATCTCTTCATATGCCGAGGTCACAGAAACATGTGAACTCTACTTTTGAAAAGGGAACTTTTTCACTTTATATGTATAAAAAACTGTGTAAATCAACTCAAATTATAAAAATTTGAAAGCTCTAATGTTTGGCCTCAAGTTAAACAAATGATTTAAGTTTTGATATACTGTGTAGCACCAACCTTGGATAATAAATTCTTGTGGGCTGGTTGAGTTGAAGACCTGGTCCACACCTCTGATGTAGATTGTGTAGGACTGAATGACCCCATTGGGGTCACCTGGTGGCTGGGCCAGCACTTTGATCTGGGTAGAGCTCATTACTTCCACATATGGGGGGAGCAGGATCTCTGGCACTGTCTGTGCTGTGGCAACTTTGATCTAGTCCAACAGAGAAATCACTAGCTAGGTTTGATGGTAGGGGTTTATAGTAGCTGGATATGGACTTTGATCTAGTCCAACAGAGAAATCACTAGGTAGGTTGATGGTAGGGGTTTATAGTAGCTGGATATGGACTTTGATCTAGTCCAACAGAGAAATCACTAGCTAGGTTTGATGGTAGGGGTTTATAGTAGCTGGATATGGACTTTGATCTAGTCCAACAGAGAAATCACTAGGTAGGTTTGATGGTAGGGGTTTATAGTAGCTGGATATGGACTTTGATCTAGTCCAACAGAGAAATCACTAGGTAGGTTTGATGGTTGGGGTTTATAGTAGCTGGATATGGACTTTGATCTAGTCCAACAGAGAAATCACTAGGTAGGTTTGATGGTAGGGGTTTATAGTAGCTGGATATGGACTTTGATCTGGTCCAACAGAGAAATCACTAGGTAGGTTTGATGGTAGGGGTTTATAGTAGCTGGATATGGACTTTGATCTAGTCCAACAGAGAAATCACTAGGTAGGTTTGGTGGTAGGGGTTTATAGTAGCTGGATATGGACTTTGATCTAGTCCAACAGAGAAATCACTAGGTAGGTTTGGTGGTAGGGGTTTATAGTAGCTGGATATGGACTTTGATCTAGTCCAACAGAGAAATCACTTGGTAGGTTTGATGGTTGGGGTTTATAGTAGCTGGATATGGACTTTGATCTAGTCCAACAGAGAAATCACTAGGTAGGTTTGGTGGTAGGGGTTTATAGTAGCTGGATATGGACTTTGATCTAGTCCAACAGAGAAATCACTAGGTAGGTTTGATGGTTGGGGTTTATAGTAGCTGGATATGGACTTTGATCTAGTCCAACAGAGAAATCACTAGGTAGGTTTGATGGTAGGGGTTTATAGTAGCTGGATATGGACTTTGATCTGGTCCAACAGAGAAATCACTAGGTAGGTTTGATGGTAGGGGTTTATAGTAGCTGGATATGGACTTTGATCTAGTCCAACAGAGAAATCACTAGGTAGGTTTGGTGGTAGGGGTTTATAGTAGCTGGATATGGACTTTGATCTAGTCCAACAGAGAAATCACTAGGTAGGTTTGGTGGTAGGGGTTTATAGTAGCTGGATATGGACTTTGATCTAGTCCAACAGAGAAATCACTAGGTAGGTTTGGTGGTAGGGGTTTATAGTAGCTGGATATGGACTTTGATCTAGTCCAACAGAGAAATCACTAGGTAGGTTTGGTGGTTGGGGTTTATAGTAGCTGGATATGGACTTTGATCTAGTCCAACAGAGAAATCACTAGGTAGGTTTGGTGGTAGGGGTTTATAGTAGCTGGATATGGACTTTGATCTAGTCCAACAGAGAAATCACTAGGTAGGTTTGGTGGTTGGGGTTTATAGTAGCTGGATATGGACTTTGATCTAGTCCAACAGAGAAATCACTAGGTAGGTTTGATGGTAGGGGTTTATAGTAGCTGGATATGGACTTTGATCTAGTCCAACAGAGAAATCACTTGATAGGTTTGGTGGTAGGGGTTTATAGTAGCTGGATATGGACTTTGATCTAGTCCAACAGAGAAATCACTAGGTAGGTTTGGTGGTAGGGGTTTATAGTAGCTGGATATGGACTTTGATCTAGTCCAACAGAGAAATCACTAGGTAGGTTTGGTGGTTGGGGTTTATAGTAGCTGGATATGGACTTTGATCTAGTCCAACAGAGAAATCACTAGGTAGGTTTGATGGTAGGGGTTTATAGTAGCTGGATATGGACTTTGATCTAGTCCAACAGAGAAATCACTTGATAGGTTTGGTGGTAGGGGTTTATAGTAGCTGGATATGGACTTTGATCTAGTCCAACAGAGAAATCACTTGATAGGTTTGGTGGTAGGGGTTTATAGTAGCTGGATATGGACTTTGATCTAGTCCAACAGAGAAATCACTTGGTAGGTTTGATGGTAGGGGTTTATAGTAGCTGGATATGGACTTTGATCTAGTCCAACAGAGAAATCACTTGGTAGGTTTGATGGTTGGGGTTTATAGTAGCTGGATATGGACTTTGATCTAGTCCAACAGAGAAATCACTAGGTAGGTTTGATGGTAGGGGTTTATAGTAGCTGGATATGGACTTTGATCTAGTCCAACAGAGAAATCACTAGGTAGGTTTGATGGTAGGGGTTTATAGTAGCTGGATATGGACTTTGATCTAGTCCAACAGAGAAATCACTAGGTAGGTTTGATGGTAGGGGTTTATAGTAGCTGGATATGGACTTTGATCTAGTCCAACAGAGAAATCACTTGGTAGGTTTGATGGTTGGGGTTTATAGTAGCTGGATATGGACTTTGATCTAGTCCAACAGAGAAATCACTTGGTAGGTTTGATGGTTGGGGTTTATAGTAGCTGGATATGGACTTTGATCTAGTCCAACAGAGAAATCACTTGGTAGGTTTGATGGTTGGGGTTTATAGTAGCTGGATATGGACTTTGATCTAGTCCAACAGAGAAATCACTAGGTAGGTTTGATGGTAGGGGTTTATAGTAGCTGAATATGGACTTTGATCTAGTCCAACAGAGAAATCACTAGGTAGGTTTGATGGTAGGGGTTTATAGTAGCTGGATATGGACTTTGATCTAGTCCAACAGAGAAATCACTAGGTAGGTTTGATGGTAGGGGTTTATAGTAGCTGGATATGGACTTTGATCTAGTCCAACAGAGAAATCACTAGGTAGGTTTGATGGTTGGGGTTTATAGTAGCTGAATATGGACTTTGATCTAGTCCAACAGAGAAATCACTAGGTAGGTTTGATGGTTGGGGTTTATAGTAGCTGGATATGGACTTTGATCTAGTCCAACAGAGAAATCACTTGGTAGGTTTGATGGTAGGGGTTTATAGTAGCTGGATATGGACTTTGATCTAGTCCAACAGAGAAATCACTAGGTAGGTTTGATGGTAGGGGTTTATAGTAGCTGGATATGGACTTTGATCTAGTCCAACAGAGAAATCACTAGGTAGGTTTGATGGTAGGGGTTTATAGTAGCTGGATATGGACTTTGATCTAGTCCAACAGAGAAATCACTAGGTAGGTTTGATGGTAGGGGTTTATAGTAGCTGAATATGGACTTTGATCTAGTCCCACAGAGAAATCACTAGGTAGGTTTGATGGTTGGGGTTTATAGTAGCTGGATATGGACTTTGATCTAGTCCAACAGAGAAATCACTAGGTAGGTTTGATGGTTGGGGTTTATAGTAGCTGGATATGGACTTTGATCTAGTCCAACAGAGAAATCACTAGGTAGGTTTGATGGTAGGGGTTTATAGTAGCTGGATATGGACTTTGATCTAGTCCAACAGAGAAATCACTTGGTAGGTTTGATGGTAGGGGTTTATAGTAGCTGGATATGGACTTTGATCTAGTCCAACAGAGAAATCACTTGGTAGGTTTGATGGTTGGGGTTTATAGTAGCTGGATATGGACTTTGATCTAGTCCAACAGAGAAATCACTTGGTAGGTTTGATGGTTGGGGTTTATAGTAGCTGAATATGGACTTTGATCTAGTCCAACAGAGAAATCACTAGGTAGGTTTGATGGTAGGGGTTTATAGTAGCTGGATATGGACTTTGATCTAGTCCAACAGAGAAATCACTAGGTAGGTTTGATGGTTGGGGTTTATAGTAGCTGGATATGGACTTTGATCTAGTCCAACAGAGAAATCACTAGGTAGGTTTGATGGTAGGGGTTTATAGTAGCTGGATATGGACTTTGATCTAGTCCAACAGAGAAATCACTAGGTAGGTTTGATGGTAGGGGTTTATAGTAGCTGGATATGGACTTTGATCTAGTCCAACAGAGAAATCACTAGGTAGGTTTGATGGTAGGGGTTTATAGTAGCTGGATATGGACTTTGATCTAGTCCAACAGAGAAATCACTAGGTAGGTTTGATGGTTGGGGTTTATAGTAGCTGGATATGGACTTTGATCTAGTCCAACAGAGAAATCACTTGGTAGGTTTGATGGTTGGGGTTTATAGTAGCTGGATATGGACTTTGATCTAGTCCAACAGAGAAATCACTAGGTAGGTTTGATGGTAGGGGTTTATAGTAGCTGGATATGGACTTTGATCTAGTCCAACAGAGAAATCACTAGGTAGGTTTGATGGTTGGGGTTTATAGTAGCTGAATATGGACTTTGATCTAGTCCAACAGAGAAATCACTTGGTAGGTTTGATGGTTGGGGTTTATAGTAGCTGGATATGGACTTTGATCTAGTCCAACAGAGAAATCACTTGGTAGGTTTGATGGTTGGGGTTTATAGTAGCTGGATATGGACTTTGATCTAGTCCAACAGAGAAATCACTAGGTAGGTTTGATGGTTGGGGTTTATAGTAGCTGAATATGGACTTTGATCTAGTCCAACAGAGAAATCACTTGGTAGGTTTGATGGTTGGGGTTTATAGTAGCTGGATATGGACTTTGATCTAGTCCAACAGAGAAATCACTAGGTAGGTTTGATGGTAGGGGTTTATAGTAGCTGGATATGGACTTTGATCTAGTCCAACAGAGAAATCACTAGGTAGGTTTGATGGTAGGGGTTTATAGTAGCTGGATATGGACTTTGATCTAGTCCAACAGAGAAATCACTAGGTAGGTTTGATGGTAGGGGTTTATAGTAGCTGGATATGGACTTTGATCTAGTCCAACAGAGAAATCACTAGGTAGGTTTGATGGTAGGGGTTTATAGTAGCTGGATATGGACTTTGATCTAGTCCAACAGAGAAATCACTAGGTAGGTTTGATGGTAGGGGTTTATAGTAGCTGGATATGGACTTTGATCTAGTCCAACAGAGAAATCACTAGGTAGGTTTGATGGTAGGGGTTTATAGTAGCTGGATATGGACTTTGATCTAGTCCAACAGAGAAATCACTTGGTAGGTTTGATGGTTGGGGTTTATAGTAGCTGAATATGGACTTTGATCTAGTCCAACAGAGAAATCACTAGGTAGGTTTGATGGTAGGGGTTTATAGTAGCTGGATATGGACTTTGATCTAGTCCAACAGAGAAATCACTTGGTAGGTTTGATGGTAGGGGTTTATAGTAGCTGGATATGGACTTTGATCTAGTCCAACAGAGAAATCACTAGGTAGGTTTGATGGTAGGGGTTTATAGTAGCTGGATATGGACTTTGATCTAGTCCAACAGAGAAATCACTAGGTAGGTTTGATGGTAGGGGTTTATAGTAGCTGGATATGGACTTTGATCTAGTCCAACAGAGAAATCACTAGGTAGGTTTGATAGTAGGGGTTTATAGTAGCTGGATATGGACTTTGATCTAGTCCAACAGAGAAATCACTAGGTAGGTTTGATGGTAGGGGTTTATAGTAGCTGGATATGGACTTTGATCTAGTCCAACAGAGAAATCACTAGGTAGGTTTGATGGTAGGGGTTTATAGTAGCTGGATATGGACTTTGATCTAGTCCAACAGAGAAATCACTAGGTAGGTTTGATGGTAGGGGTTTATAGTAGCTGGATATGGACTTTGATCTAGTCCAACAGAGAAATCACTAGGTAGGTTTGATGGTAGGGGTTTATAGTAGCTGGATATGGACTTTGATCTAGTCCAACAGAGAAATCACTAGGTAGGTTTGATGGTAGGGGTTTATAGTAGCTGGATATGGACTTTGATCTAGTCCAACAGAGAAATCACTTGGTAGGTTTGATGGTTGGGGTTTATAGTAGCTGGATATGGACTTTGATCTAGTCCAACAGAGAAATCACTAGGTAGGTTTGATGGTAGGGGTTTATAGTAGCTGGATATGGACTTTGATCTAGTCCAACAGAGAAATCACTAGGTAGGTTTGATGGTTGGGGTTTATAGTAGCTGGATATGGACTTTGATCTAGTCCAACAGAGAAATCACTAGGTAGGTTTGATGGTAGGGGTTTATAGTAGCTGGATATGGACTTTGATCTAGTCCAACAGAGAAATCACTAGGTAGGTTTGATGGTTGGGGTTTATAGTAGCTGGATATGGACTTTGATCTAGTCCAACAGAGAAATCACTAGGTAGGTTTGATGGTAGGGGTTTATAGTAGATGGATATGGACTTTGATCTAGTCCAACAGAGAAATCACTAGGTAGGTTTGATGGTAGGGGTTTATAGTAGCTGGATATGGACTTTGATCTAGTCCAACAGAGAAATCACTAGGTAGGTTTGATGGTTGGGGTTTATAGTAGCTGGATATGGACTTTGATCTAGTCCAACAGAGAAATCACTAGGTAGGTTTGATGGTAGGGGTTTATAGTAGCTGGATATGGACTTTGATCTAGTCCAACAGAGAAATCACTAGGTAGGTTTGATGGTTGGGGTTTATAGTAGCTGGATATGGACTTTGATCTAGTCCAACAGAGAAATCACTAGGTAGGTTTGATGGTAGGGGTTTATAGTAGCTGGATATGGACTTTGATCTAGTCCAACAGAGAAATCACTTGGTAGGTTTGATGGTTGGGGTTTATAGTAGCTGGATATGGACTTTGATCTAGTCCAACAGAGAAATCACTTGGTAGGTTTGATGGTTGGGGTTTATAGTAGCTGGATATGGACTTTGATCTAGTCCAACAGAGAAATCACTAGGTAGGTTTGATGGTTGGGGTTTATAGTAGCTGAATATGGACTTTGATCTAGTCCAACAGAGAAATCACTAGGTAGGTTTGATGGTAGGGGTTTATAGTAGCTGGATATGGACTTTGATCTAGTCCAACAGAGAAATCACTAGGTAGGTTTGATGGTAGGGGTTTATAGTAGCTGGATATGGACTTTGATCTAGTCCAACAGAGAAATCACTAGGTAGGTTTGATGGTTGGGGTTTATAGTAGCTGGATATGGACTTTGATCTAGTCCAACAGAGAAATCACTAGGTAGGTTTGATGGTAGGGGTTTATAGTAGCTGGATATGGACTTTGATCTAGTCCAACAGAGAAATCACTAGGTAGGTTTGATGGTAGGGGTTTATAGTAGCTGGATATGGACTTTGATCTAGTCCAACAGAGAAATCGCTAGGTAGGTTTGATGGTAGGGGTTTATAGTAGCTGGATATGGACTTTGATCTAGTCCAACAGAGAAATCACTAGGTAGGTTTGATGGTTGGGGTTTATAGTAGCTGGATATGGACTTTGATCTAGTCCAACAGAGAAATCACTAGGTAGGTTTGATGGTAGGGGTTTATAGTAGCTGGATATGGACTTTGATCTAGTCCAACAGAGAAATCACTAGGTAGGTTTGATGGTTGGGGTTTATAGTAGCTGGATATGGACTTTGATCTAGTCCAACAGAGAAATCACTTGGTAGGTTTGATGGTTGGGGTTTATAGTAGCTGGATATGGACTTTGATCTAGTCCAACAGAGAAATCACTAGGTAGGTTTGATGGTAGGGGTTTATAGTAGCTGGATATGGACTTTGATCTAGTCCAACAGAGAAATCACTAGGTAGGTTTGATGGTTGGGGTTTATAGTAGCTGAATATGGACAGGGTGGGTCTCTTGGTCTAAAACAATTTGGCTTGGACAGTGTGGGTCTCTTGGTCTAAAACAACTGGGCATGGATAGTGTGGGTCTCTTGGTCTAAAACAACTAGGCATGGATAGTGTGGGTCTCTTGGTCTAAAACAACTGGGCATGGACAGGGTGGGTCTCTTGGTCTAAAACAACTGGGCATGGATAGTGTGGGTCTCTTGGTCTAAAACAACTAGGCATGGACAGTGTGGGTCTCTTGGTCTAAAACAACTGGGCTTGGACAGTGTGAGTCTCTTGGTCTAAAAAAACTGGGCAAGGACAGTGTGGGTCTCTTGGTCTAAAAACTGGGCTTGGACACAGTGGACATAGGAGTCTTACATAGCTGGATATGGACACAGTGGATCTTGTCCACCCCCCAACACAAGCAAATTTTAAAACTAAATTGAAACTGAAAAAATCTACTTTAACCCCCTTGAAAATTGTAAAAACTAAAGTTTATCATCTCTCTCACCATTTCACTATCAGCGCAGCCAGCAAGATTGCAGGCAGTCAGGATGTATGAGTAGCTGCGGTAGGGCAGAATGTTCTGGTCATCTGTGAAGTTCATGGCTGGTCCAGTGTACAGCTCCATCCCATCACGCCTCAGGGAGTACCTGGTTATCACACCTGAGACAGACATGTCCAACAATATACTACCATCCTCAACACAGCTACCTAGACATGTCCAAGTATATACTACCATCCTCAGCACTGCTACCTAGACATGTCCAAGAATAATATCCTACCATTCAGCACTGCTACCTAGACATGTCCAAGAATAATATCCTACCATTTAGCACTGCTAACTAGACATGTCCAAGAATAATATCCTACCATTCAGCACTGCTACCTAGACATGTCCAAGAATAATATCCTACCATTCAGCACTGCTACCTAGACATGTCCAAGAATAATATCCTACCATTCAGCACTGCTAACTAGACATGTCCAAGAATAATATCCTACCATTCAGCACTGCTACCTAGACATGTCCAAGAATAATATCCTACCATTCAGCACTGCTACCTAGACATGTCCAAGAATAATATCCTACCATTCAGTACTGCTACCTAGACATGTCCAAGAATAATATCCTACCATTCAGCACTGCTACCTAGACATGTACAAGAATAATATCCTACCATTCAGCACTGCTACCTAGACATGTCCAAGAATAATATCCTACCATTCAGCACTGCTACCTAGACATGTCCAAGAATAATATCCTACCATTCAGCACTGCCACCTAGACATGTCCAAGAATAATATCCTACCATTCAGCACTGCTACCTAGACATGTCCAAGAATAATATCCTACCATTCAGCACTGCTACCTAGACATGTCCAAGAATAATATCCTACCATTCAGCACTGCTACCTAGACATGTACAAGAATAATATCCTACCATTGGGTTTCTGTGGCTCTGTCCAGGTGAGATAGAAGGCAAAAAGTTCACCAGGTGCAACTCTGGTAGAGGGTGGAGTGACCAGTTCAGGTGGGGCCTCAGTGGTTCTCACATCTGTGGAGGGGCTGCTCACTGTGCCAGCACTGTTCACTGCTAACAGGTAGTACTGGTACTGGGTGTAGGGGCTTACATTCCCATCTAGAACAGATAGGTATAGAGATTTAGAGTCTCACATCTAGAGCATACAACTGGTTTAAACATTGTGCTACATTATTCAATATTAGGGAGTTTGTAACTAAATGTGTTTCGTGTTCTATTTTAAGAGCTTATTTTTTTTTAAAATTTGAATCGTATAAAATCAGAAATTTAAATTTTGGAACAGAACAATAATGGTATTAATTTTTATAGAAACATGTCGCTTTTTGTTTTAATTGCTTTTACTTACACCTCACTCAATTGGAAAAACATGAAATAATTTCAACTGACCAGTGTACGTAAGGTTAGGTCCAGAATAAATTCTTCCAGTGTCAGTTGTACAGGTCAAGCTGGTGTTGAGACTGACAGTTTGGTTGGTGATGGAGCTGTTGACAGCACCACAGGTACGTTTAGAGCTGTCAAAGTCACACCTGTTGCAGAAGGCTGTTGACTGTTGGCTGATGGGGCAAACCACACCTGTACCACAACCTGGAGAGATTTACAACATTAAAACAAATACATCAGCTGAATGTAATCAACATATCTTATTCAACTCTACTGAATGTAATCAACATATCTTGGAACATCTAATCAAAAAACAAGGAGCTGATGACAGAGGACAATGTTCACCTATGTAAAATATTGTGCCATAGACCTCCACACTTAGGTATTGGAATGTACTTGTGGTAGATTTCTAGCTCATTAAAATATTAAAATGAAAGTAGAAGTGAACTCTACCTGTGAGCAGCTTGGATCTGTCAGCACACACCTGTGTGAGGGGGTTAAAGCCCAGGTTGTTACAACAATGCAGGTTTGTGCTGATGCGACTCTGGCCACAGCACTTGTCTGAGGACACCAGCTTTTCTGTCTCACTCCCATAGTAGTGTGTCTGTCAGAGGGTGAGTATAGTTAAAGTAGGTGTGTCTGTCAGAGGGTGAGTATAGTTAAAGTAGGTGTGTCTGTCAGAGGGTGAGTATAGTTTAAAGTAGGTGTGTCTGTCAGAGTTTAAAGTATAGTTTAAAGTAGGTGTGTCTGTCAGAGTTTAAAGTATAGTTTAAAGTAGGTGTGTCTGTCAGAGTTTAAAGTATAGTTTAAAGTAGGTGTGTCTGTCAGAGTTTAAAGTATAGTTTAAAGTAGGTGTGTCTGTCAGAGTTTAAAGTATAGTTTAAAGTAGGTGTGTCTGTCAGAGGGTGAGTATAGTTTAAAGTAGGTGTGTCTGTCAGAGGGTGAGTATAGTTAAAGTAGGTGTGTCTGTCAGAGGGTGAGTATAGTTAAAGTAGTGTGTCTGTCAGATGGTGAGTATAGTTAAAGTAGTGTGTCTGTCAGAGGGTGAGTAACAGTTTAAAGTAGGTGTGTCTGTCAGATGGTGAGTATAGTTAAAGTAGGTGTGTCTGTCAGAGGGTGAGTATAGTTAAAGTAGGTGTGTCTGTCAGAGGGTGAGTATAGTTAAAGTAGGTGTGTCTGTCAGAGGGTGAGTATAGTTAAAGTAGGTGTGTCTGTCAGAGGGTGAGTATAGTTAAAGTAGGTGTGTCTGTCAGAGGGTGAGTATAGTTAAAGTAGGTGTGTCTGTCAGAGGGTGAGTAACAGTTTAAAGTAGGTGTGTCTGTCAGATGGTGAGTATAGTTAAAGTAGGTGTGTCTGTCAGAGGGTGAGTAACAGTTTAAAGTAGGTGTGTCTGTCAGAGGGTGAGTATAGTTAAAGTAGGTGTGTCTGTCAGAGGGTGAGTATAGTTAAAGTAGGTGTGTCTTTTAAAGGGTGAGTAACAGTTTAAAGTAGGTGTGTCTGTCAGATGGTGAGTATAGTTAAAGTAGGTGTGTCTGTCAGAGGGTGAGTATAGTTAAAGTAGGTGTGTCTGTCAGAGGGTGAGTATAGTTTAAAGTAGGTGTGTCTGTCAGAGGGTGAGTATAGTTTAAAGTAGGTGTGTCTGTCAGAGGGTGAGTATAGTTAAAGTAGGTGTGTCTGTAAGAGGGTGAGTATAGTTAAAGTAGGTGTGTCTGTCAGAGGGTGAGAATAGTTAAAGTAGGTGTGTCTGTCAGATGGTGAGTATAGTTAAAGTAGGTGTGTCTGTCAGAGGGTGAGAATAGTTAAAGTAGGTGTGTCTGTCAGAGGGTGAGTATAGTTAAAGTAGGTGTGTCTTTTAAAGGGTGAGTAACAGTTTAAAGTAGGTGTGTCTGTCAGATGGTGAGTATAGTTAAAGTAGGTGTGTCTGTCAGAGGGTGAGTATAGTTAAAGTAGTGTGTCTGTCAGAGGGTGAGTAACAGTTTAAAGTAGGTGTGTCTGTCAGAGGGTGAGTAACAGTTTAAAGTAGGTGTGTCTGTCAGAGGGTGAGTATAGTTAAAGTAGGTGTGTCTGTCAGAGGGTGAGTAACAGTTTAAAGTAGGTGTGTCTGTCAGATGGTGAGTATAGTTAAAGAAGGTGTGTCTTTTAAAGGGTGAGTATAGTTAAAGTAGGTGTGTCTGTAAGAGGGTGAGTATAGTTAAAGTAGGTGTGTCTTTTAAAGGGTGAGTATAGTTAAAGTAGGTGTGTCTGTAAGAGGGTGAGTATAGTTAAAGTAGGTGTGTCTTTTAAAGGGTGAGTATAGTTAAAGTAGGTGTGTCTGTAAGAGGGTGAGTATAGTTAAAGTAGGTGTGTCTGTCAGAGGGTGAGAATAGTTAAAGTAGGTGTGTCTGTCAGAGGGTGAGTATAGTTAAAGTAGGTGTGTCTGTCAGAGGGTGAGTATAGTTAAAGTAGGTGTGTTTGTCAGATGGTGAGTATAGTTAAAGTAGGTGTGTCTGTCAGAGGGTGAGTAACAGTTTAAAGTAGGTGTGTCTGTCAGAGGATGAGTAACAGTTTAAAGTAGGTGTGTCTGTCAGAGGGTGAGTATAGTTAAAGTAGGTGTGTCTGTCAGAGGGTGAGTATAGTTAAAGTAGTGTGTCTGTCAGAGGGTGAGTAACAGTTTAAAGTAGGTGTGTCTGTCAGATGGTGAGTATAGTTAAAGTAGGTGTGTCTGTCAGAGGGTGAGTATAGTTAAAGTAGGTGTGTCTGTCAGAGGGTGAGTATAGTTAAAGTAGTGTGTCTGTCAGAGGGTGAGTATAGTTAAAGTAGGTGTGTCTTTTAAAGGGTGAGTATAGTTAAAGTAGGTGTGTCTGTCAGATGGTGAGTATAGTTAAAGTAGGTGTGTCTGTCAGAGGGTGAGTATAGTTAAAGTAGGTGTGTCTGTCAGAGGGTGAGTATAGTTAAAGTAGGTGTGTCTGTCAGAGGGTGAGTATAGTTAAAGTAGGTGTGTCTGTCAGAGGGTGAGTATAGTTAAAGTAGGTGTGTCTGTCAGAGGGTGAGTAACAGTTTAAAGTAGGTGTGTCTGTCAGAGGATGAGTAACAGTTTAAAGTAGGTGTGTCTGTCAGAGGGTGAGTATAGTTAAAGTAGGTGTGTCTGTCAGAGGGTGAGTATAGTTAAAGTAGGTGTGTCTGTCAGAGGGTGAGAATAGTTAAAGTAGGTGTGTCTGTCAGATGGTGAGTATAGTTAAAGTAGGTGTGTCTGTCAGAGGGTGAGTATAGTTAAAGTAGTGTGTCTGTCAGAGGGTGAGTAACAGTTTAAAGTAGGTGTGTCTGTCAGAGGGTGAGTATAGTTAAAGTAGTGTGTCTGTCAGAGGGTGAGTATAGTTAAAGTAGGTGTGTCTTTTAAAGGGTGAGTATAGTTAAAGTAGGTGTGTCTGTCAGAGGGTGAGTATAGTTAAAGTAGGTGTGTCTGTCAGAGGGTGAGTATAGTTAAAGTAGGTGTGTCTGTCAGAGGGTGAGTATAGTTAAAGTAGGTGTGTCTGTCAGAGGGTGAGTATAGTTAAAGTAGGTGTGTCTGTCAGAGGGTGAGTATAGTTAAAGTAGTGTGTCTGTCAGAGGGTGAGTAACAGTTTAAAGTAGGTGTGTCTGTCAGAGGGTGAGTATAGTTAAAGTAGGTATGTCTGTCAGAGGGTGAGTATAGTTAAAGTAGGTGTGTCTGTCAGAGGGTGAGTAACAGTTTAAAGTAGGTGTGTCTGTCAGAGGGTGAGTATAGTTAAAGTAGGTGTGTCTTTTAAAGGGTGAGTATAGTTAAAGTAGGTGTGTCTGTCAGAGGGTGAGTATAGTTAAAGTAGGTGTGTCTGTCAGAGGGTGAGTATAGTTAAAGTAGGTGTGTCTGTCAGAGGGTCAGTATAGTTAAAGTAGGTGTGTCTGTCAGAGGGTGAGTATAGTTAAAGTAGGTGTGTCTGTCAGAGGATGAGTAACAGTTTAAAGTAGGTGTGTCTGTCAGAGGGTGAGTATAGTTAAAGTAGGTGTGTCTGTCAGAGGGTGAGTATAGTTAAAGTAGGTGTGTCTGTCAGAGGGTGAGTAACAGTTTAAAGTAGGTGTGTCTGTCAGAGGATGAGTATAGTTAAAGTAGTGTGTCTGTCAGAGGGTGAGTAACAGTTTAAAGTAGGTGTGTCTGTCAGATGGTGAGTATAGTTAAAGTAGGTGTGTCTGTCAGAGGGTGAGTAACAGTTTAAAGTAGGTGTGTCTGTCAGAGGGTGAGTATAGTTAAAGTAGGTGTGTCTGTCAGAGGGTGAGTATAGTTAAAGTAGTGTGTCTGTCAGAGGGTGAGTATAGTTAAAGTAGGTGTGTCTTTTAAAGGGTGAGTATAGTTAAAGTAGGTGTGTCTGTCAGATGGTGAGTATAGTTAAAGTAGGTGTGTCTGTCAGAGGGTGAGTATAGTTAAAGTAGGTGTGTCTGTCAGAGGGTGAGTATAGTTAAAGTAGGTGTGTCTGTCAGAGGGTGAGTATAGTTAAAGTAGGTGTGTCTGTCAGAGGGTGAGTATAGTTAAAGTAGGTGTGTCTGTCAGAGGGTGAGTAACAGTTTAAAGTAGGTGTGTCTGTCAGAGGATGAGTAACAGTTTAAAGTAGGTGTGTCTGTCAGAGGGTGAGTATAGTTAAAGTAGGTGTGTCTGTCAGAGGGTGAGTATAGTTAAAGTAGGTGTGTCTGTCAGAGGGTGAGAATAGTTAAAGTAGGTGTGTCTGTCAGATGGTGAGTATAGTTAAAGTAGGTGTGTCTGTCAGAGGGTGAGTATAGTTAAAGTAGTGTGTCTGTCAGAGGGTGAGTAACAGTTTAAAGTAGGTGTGTCTGTCAGAGGGTGAGTATAGTTAAAGTAGTGTGTCTGTCAGAGGGTGAGTATAGTTAAAGTAGGTGTGTCTTTTAAAGGGTGAGTATAGTTAAAGTAGGTGTGTCTGTCAGATGGTGAGTATAGTTAAAGTAGGTGTGTCTGTCAGAGGGTGAGTATAGTTAAAGTAGGTGTGTCTGTCAGAGGGTGAGTATAGTTAAAGTAGGTGTGTCTGTCAGAGGGTGAGTATAGTTAAAGTAGGTGTGTCTGTCAGAGGGTGAGTATAGTTAAAGTAGTGTGTCTGTCAGAGGGTGAGTAACAGTTTAAAGTAGGTGTGTCTGTCAGAGGGTGAGTATAGTTAAAGTAGGTATGTCTGTCAGAGGGTGAGTATAGTTAAAGTAGGTGTGTCTGTCAGAGGGTGAGTAACAGTTTAAAGTAGGTGTGTCTGTCAGAGGGTGAGTATAGTTAAAGTAGGTGTGTCTTTTAAAGGGTGAGTATAGTTAAAGTAGGTGTGTCTGTCAGAGGGTGAGTATAGTTAAAGTAGGTGTGTCTGTCAGAGGGTGAGTATAGTTAAAGTAGGTGTGTCTGTCAGAGGGTGAGTATAGTTAAAGTAGGTGTGTCTGTCAGAGGGTGAGTATAGTTAAAGTAGGTGTGTCTGTCAGAGGATGAGTAACAGTTTAAAGTAGGTGTGTCTGTCAGAGGGTGAGTATAGTTAAAGTAGGTATGTCTGTCAGAGGGTGAGTATAGTTAAAGTAGGTGTGTCTGTCAGAGGGTGAGTATAGTTAAAGTAGGTGTGTCTGTCAGAGGGTGAGTATAGTTAAAGTAGTGTGTCTGTCAGAGGGTGAGTAACAGTTTAAAGTAGGTGTGTCTGTCAGAGGGTGAGTATAGTTAAAGTAGGTATGTCTGTCAGAGGGTGAGTATAGTTAAAGTAGGTGTGTCTGTCAGAGGGTGAGTAACAGTTTAAAGTAGGTGTGTCTGTCAGAGGGTGAGTATAGTTAAAGTAGGTGTGTCTTTTAAAGGGTGAGTATAGTTAAAGTAGGTGTGTCTGTCAGAGGGTGAGTATAGTTAAAGTAGGTGTGTCTGTCAGAGGGTGAGTATAGTTAAAGTAGGTGTGTCTGTCAGAGGGTGAGTATAGTTAAAGTAGGTGTGTCTGTCAGAGGGTGAGTATAGTTAAAGTAGGTGTGTCTGTCAGAGGATGAGTAACAGTTTAAAGTAGGTGTGTCTGTCAGAGGGTGAGTATAGTTAAAGTAGGTATGTCTGTCAGAGGGTGAGTATAGTTAAAGTAGGTGTGTCTGTCAGAGGGTGAGTATAGTTAAAGTAGGTGTGTCTGTCAGAGGGTGAGTATAGTTAAAGTAGGTGTGTCTGTCAGAGGGTGAGTATAGTTAAAGTAGTGTGTCTGTCAGAGGGTGAGTAACAGTTTAAAGTAGGTGTGTCTGTCAGATGGTGAGTATAGTTAAAGTAGTGTGTCTGTCAGAGGGTGAGTATAGTTAAAGTAGGTGTGTCTGTCAGAGGGTGAGTATAGTTAAAGTAGGTGTGTCTGTCAGAGGGTGAGTATAGTTAAAGTAGGTGTGTCTTTTAAAGGGTGAGTATAGTTAAAGTAGGCGTGTCAATAATATAGTGTCTAAAATTGTAGTCACATTCATGTTTGTTAAAATTTAAAAATAAGAGTATAAATAACAAGAGTTTATCTAAAATTTTAGTCACTTCTCATTTTTTAGCAATATCTGGAAACCAAGACTGAAGCTGATTTCTGTAAGCAAAAGTTCAATGCACAAGCATCTTGAAAATAAATTACTTTTATGACCCCCCCCCCCCCCTCCCTCCAACACAATTAATGCCAAGTTAAAATTAAAATTAACAACATACATAACAAATTATGCACTAAAATGAAATACTATCTGATTATTTCATTGGTTAGGGAGATAATAACATATTATAAGGGTTTATTTCAAAATCTCAAAGAAATGAGGCAAGCATTAAAATAAATCAATGAACTTTTTCCATATATAACGAATAATTTTAAAATACTAAATTTATTTGAAGATGTGCAAAAGTCAAGTTTTGGACAAATATATAAATATTTAAACTCCAGTGTATTTGAGTATTATATCAATTAAAGAAGGATCAATCATCCTGTAAAAAACTATTAGCCTAAGCACTAAAGCTCACCTTGCTATTAGCCTAAGCACTAAAGCTCACCTTGCTATTAGCCTAAGCACTAAAGCTCACCTTGGATTTGCCTGTGTCACTTGTGCAACACATGGTCAGCTTGGCCTCCACATATTCCTGACCACAGCAGACATAGCCTGCTTGAGGTAGATACATCTGACCATTGTCCATGTTGCCACAGCAAACTGTTGAGTCATAGATGACCCGCCCACCGCAACAGCTGCGCCCCAGCTTACCCATAAGAACACCTGAGGAGAGAGGAGAGTTAACACACATATAACAACTCTACTGCACCTTTTATGGTCATTGTTCTTTATATGCCCAGAACATATTCCTATTTGTTCAAAATTAGATGTAAACATTGTGTCAAATAGAAAATGTCAAGTTAATAAATTGTAATGTAAAGTTTTAAGAAAGCTTTGGCTGACTAAAGAAGTAGATAAGGACAAAAGTCCTACCCTGACAACACATCTGAGCACCAGATGAAGAGAAGGGGATGTTACCACAACAGGCATCACCCTGGCTGATAGACAACCTGTCCTCATTGACATCAGGGCAACATGTTTCACCTGGCAACACCTGCACATACCTAGAGGGAGAAGGAGAGGTGTTAATGTAAGGGAAAGTATTCAAGGTTTGAGACCTGGGTAACATTTTTTACAATGCTATATCAATGTACAACTCACAATTTTACTTTGCTCAAACGTATCTACTGTCCTGTGGAAAGTGGTTAGACATAGATCTAATAATAATTCACATACTGAAGTTAAAGAAATCATAACTATTACAAAATCAGAGATTTATTTTTAAAATTTTAAGGCAACACAAGCTGAATGAGAAATTGTTGACAGTACTGGTCAGTTGATAAAAAAAGATAGATGACCTTTGACCACAGCAGGTGTAGTTGTCCCTAGGTTCATAAAACTGACCACTGCAGCAGACATAATTTGGTTGGGGCTTCAGCACATAGCTGTTCCCACAACACTCATAGCCTGGCAAGGCAGGGAAGAGTTTTCCATCACAGCAAGCCTGGTGGAGACAGATGCAAGGTACAAGATTATAGAACATAAAATCCTGGTCAGGTGTAATATCAAAGCTTATAACATTTTGTTCTTTTAATACTGATGTGTATAGACTTGAGGAAACTCATCTAGAGAGGTTTAAAAACTAGTCAACCAAGTAAAGGTCAAAAACCAATGGACAAAGGCAGCCGTAGAGCCATGTCTGATACACACTAGGCTTCATGGCCTACCATGTATCACAAGTTAAAAATTGTCAGTAATCTACAACAAAATACTACTGATTGTCCTACCTTAGCCCCAGTATAACACTGAGTCCCACAGAGACCCTCAAGCACTCCACATTCAATGTAGGAACATTTTTGTAAGTCAGCATCAGAGCTAGGAGCTGGGCTGTGATACAGTTGATGAAATGTCATGTAGCAGTGGAAAATAAAATTTCAATACACAATATTTTTACGTCAGGTTAATTAGTATGACTTTTCTTGCTTAACTAATAGCTGAATGTAAGTAAAAAGTTTCACGTAATGCAGTCATGTGACTGATGATTGACATACATCTTGGCACAGCTTTCCAAAGTTTTTCTCCACAGTTCATATCTTTGGATGATTCCATTAGGCCTGTCTGGTGAAGTCCATTGAACAACAACCTTGTTATAAAAAAGCATTTTAGTTTTTTAACTAATACATTTTTACAAATACTAATAGACATTTTTAATAAAATGACACAATAATTATTAAAATGATCTTGTTATGACTTTGATTTGTATAAGATTAAAGCAGCCTAAGACTTAAGACAGAGTGAAACAGCAGCACACCTGAGTAGCTGTGAGTGAGACAATGTTGGGGGCAGCTAGACCTTGTGGCAGGGCTTCAGCTGTGGTCCCTAGTGTACTCTTGCTGACAGTGCAGGCAAATACTGTGCAGGCCTCAACCTGTAGAGTGTGTAGCATAGACTTTTCAACAGTTTGAAATGAAATGTTTAAGTAAGCTGTGGTTTGTAGAGTGTGTAGCATGGACTTTTCAACAGTTTGAAATTAAATGTTTAAGCAAGCTGTGGTTTGTAGAGTGTGTAGCATAGACTTTTCAACAGTTTGAAATGAAATGTTTAAGTAAGCTGTGGTTTGTAGAGTGTGTAGCATGGACTTTTCAACAGTTTGAAATTAAATGTTTAAGTAAACTGTGGTTTGTAATTTGAGTGAGCAGACAACTCTACAAAAAAAATATTAGAAATCTTTTTCCATGTCTGAAACACTATCAAGGGGGTGAGGGTTCCAACTGTGATGATAAGATGATAAGTGGTTTGGTTTTGAAAGCATTCCATTGTTTATCATCATTTTATGGGCAACACTATATAAATATAATTAGGCCCTGATAAATTGTAAGTTTAAAATATGCTCAAGGCAAAGTAAGTGGGAAAAAACAGTATAAGACTGACGATCAGGCAAAGTGGGAGGGAAAATAGTTGACAAAGTATCTCAAGACAAAATACTTCTAAGCAAAATATCTAAGGATGAAATAATTCTTCTAGACCAATTTCTAAGGACAAGTTAATTGTTGGCAAAGTATCTCTGGCCAAAACCAATCCTAGCTTAAAGTACAAGATGGACCAACCTTAACATCATAGACAGTGTAGGGCTGCAGGTTGGACACAACAGTTGACCCAGGCAGCTTGAAGCCTGTTGCTACCTTCACATCATTTATGTAGATGTTGTAGGCCGTGATGTCACCATTTGGTTGGCTTGGGGCTGTCCAGGACACACGTAGAGATGTCGTGCTCATGACAGTCAGCTGAGGGGGACTCAGGCCACTTGGGGCTGTAACATAGGTCAAATATACTTGTGTACACAGATGTAGGGGGTGGGGGTCATGTCACCTGAGCCTTATTATAGGTTAAATATACATGTGTAGACAGAAGATGCTTTTGAGAAATTAATTATAATAATGATTTCATGCTGCCCAGATGACAGTCATGAAATATTTATTAATTAAACCTTATTGCTAGAAGTTTTGTAAAGCTGATCAACTAGCCAAGTTGACCTACCTCCATCCTTTGTTCTGACAACAAGAGGCAGGCTACTGATGTAGGCCCCACCAAAAATGGTCAGAGTTACTGTAACTGTGTAGTCTGTGTTGGGCAGCAGTGAGGTAACCACTGTGCCAAACACTCCTACAGCCACATCAACAGATACATTGTTCTGGCTACTCCAAGCTAGCACTGTCTGAGTCTGGATCTCTCCTTGCAGCTCCACTGGGCCTGAAGAATACATGGCAAATTGTTAAATAAACAATAGTCTAATTTGTATGACCTTAAAACTAATGTTTAGGCTTATCATATTAATGAACATTATTTGAAAAGATGGCAAAATCATTATTAAATTTGTTTTTTAATAAAACTTTGACTGACAATGGTTTAGGAACAAAACAAATCAAATCTAATCATCTGAAAATGTCACATGTTTCATTTGAAATTTGAGGGACATTCACATAACACACTGATGACCTGCTGGACAGAACTATCTAGCAGGACTGGAAAACAATGAGAAAACAATTACTGGGCACTGTCCAGTTAACGATGATGCTCTGGTGATCCATGACCCTTGCCGTCACATTAGCTGGCAGCCTGGGCAGGCCACCAAAGGTTGTGGCCTCTGTGGAGTTAGGGCTGGTGGCCTGGCCAATGGTGTTGTACACTGTGGTACGGTAGACATAGGTGGTGAACATGGGCAGGTTGGTGTCCCCATAGAACAGGCCTGGGCCCTTGTAAACACTCTGCCATTGGCCAATGTCTGTGACAGTAGCTGTGTGATGACAAAAATTGTACAGGTAATCCATTTATGACCCCTCACCAGTGGCGGAACTAGAAAAAACGGGCCACCATACAAAAAAACAATTCTGGGCCCCCCCTATATATATATATATATATATATATATATATATATATATATATATATATATATATATATATATATAAACATTGGATACTCGTTTCTGGCCTAATCAGGTTTTGAGTAAAAAGTCTTTTTTTTTTCTCAATTTAAACAAATTACAACATGTCTTGTGTGTGAGTACATTGGTCTGTTTTGAATTTTTTTTATTTTTAAAGTTAGACTCTAGAACTAGTTTTTTTTTTCTAGAACTATTCTATATGTTTGTTATAATACTGGCTACCCTTAATTTTAGCCGGTCAAAGGAATATAAAACGTGAAGGCTTTGTATGTGTAATGGTTTTTCGTGTTATGTTTATTTTTTCTTTCATTTGTATTTATATTATTTGTTTTAAATATATTTCCTTCTTATGCTATCTCATTCTTTAGTATGTATGTTTTTAAAAATAATAATGAAGAGGAGTAATTGCTTTTTAATTTGTTTAATACAAATATATTAAAAGGAGCTAATGAGCATCCCTATTTAACTATTTAGAAAAGGGAAATAAGTCATGGAAGTGTTTTGAACGTTTGCCTACCTTACACACTACATCTCAGGCATATATTTTTTTTTACGCAACAGCATGTGTTAGCAACTGTATAACATCACTACTGTATGTCTGTTATTTACACAATCTTTTACCGTCAAGTCAAAAATGCAAGAAAATTATTTTTTTTAACTATAAAAAATGTATTATGGTCGGCAATGGGCCCCTAAATGGCGTGGGCCCCCCCGCAATGCGGGGTCTGGCGGCACTGTAGTTCCGCCCCTGCCCCTCACTACACCCCATCCACATGCATCCACTTTCAACAACTTCCCCCCCCCCCTCCCCCATCAGGGATGTGGGTGTCCACAGAAATAAATTTAGTAGACATCCCAAAACTTACTTCCAGTTGTAATAAAGATCATAACATTAATAAGTTGTACAGTTCATTATCTTTCATTCTATTTACTTTATCATTCACTTCCCAAGAGGTACAAAGAGTAATTATTGTTTATTGGGTGGTCCATAAATGAAGTCACAAGGAGTGGTTAGTAATTATGTGACTATTAGAAGGAGCGTTTCTGAAAGTGTGACGACACTTTTACAATATTGTTATAAACTGAATTTTGGACGTTATTTATCATTTTTTAAATACTTTTTTTGTAAATTGGAATAAAAATCTATCAAGTTAAATAAGCTCAGTACATTTTTTCTTAAATCGCTGTTTTATTAAAAAAATGCAATTTTAAACACCAGTTATATAGATACAAGTTTAACATCCCTATTACGTTACTTTTAACACAGCATTTACCACTGTTACTAATTAAACTATTATTATAAGCAATACCACTTATTATTTCATGGAAAAATATAAGTGTACTTAACAACTACAAATGGAAAGTGTACATAAAAAACTACAAACTGTCAAGTGGCTGTCGCACTTTGACCCGTGACAACTCGTACGAAATGTTTGGTCCATTGGGGGAGGCAACTGGTTGCCACAGGATGGAGATCCTGGATGAAGATATAGCTGTAGCTACGGGAGCCACCTGACCAGAGGGGATGCTGGGACTTGTTGTAAATACTGTGCCAACACTTTCTGTACACCCCCCAGCTGTGGACATAAGGTTCACAATAAAAAACAAAGCTAACTAGAATTATTAACATTTTAAAATTGAAAATATTATTAAGTCCCTTGATGGTGAAATTATTTTTTTAAGTTCATTTTTTTTTTATATCTAATAAATAAATAACCATAAACAACATGTTAGAATGTCTGCCCCATTAATCAATTCTAGATAACAAAAATGTTGTGTTATCTTGTAGGCCTACATAAAAACAAACATGAGTACTAACTTGTACAGGCTGTGACTGTGACTGTGTACTGAGTGTACGGTGTTAGAACAGACACAAGGAGGGTTGTCTGGGATGTGTTGCGGATGTCAAAACGTGGATCAGGAAAACGGATGACATAATTTTCTATCTGACCATTAGGCTGCAGGGGAGGTAACCACTGAACCAGCACTGATGTTGGAGTTAGGCTTATGATTTGTGGGGGGTTCACACCAGCTGGTCCTAGAGATGAGTAAATGTTTTTAAATCATGTGTAAAGAAAATAAATGAAAATCAATATAAAAGTGAAGTGGTTCAGAAGATAACTAAATAACAATATGCTGTTAAAAAAGTTCTTGTCTTTGATCTTGTATAACAAGGGTTAGAAAACTACATTTAACTGCAAGTGTTACATTCAGGTGATCCAACATTGGAATCTACAGGTGACCTGCAAAATGGCAATGACTAAGACTAGTGTTTAACAAACAGATATGAAACAAACAAGACTGACTAGATGCTCCAGTAATGATCTGTGTCCATGGTCCCTGTGCTATGCCTGCTCCATTCTGTACATTCACACGGTAGTTGTACATGGAGTATGGTGTCAGACTGTTGGACTCGTCTATGTAGATCTAGAAAACAACAGAGTTATCCAGTGTATACTTCAACATAAAAAGCAATGTTAAAAATCATTTTTTTTTATTGTACATGATTTAGCCTATACTACGTCATGCAGAAGTTCAATAGTATTTTAAATATTTACAGAAAGATAATTAGGGTTTTTAATAGCAAATTAATGGGGTTTTAATTCAATCAATGTCAAGTTTATAGTGTGGTGTTCAAAAGTAAACAGAAGGCATACATTTTTAAAACACTAGATTTCTAATTATTTTTTAAGCTTTACTTTCAGCATTTTTTTGAAAAGTGCAAGGCTACTCAAACCACAAAATATACCAAGAAACATATTTTGTCCATGTTCAAGCCAACAATAGTCTTTGGGTCCCTCACAGCACACATGGCAATAGGCATGTCTATTGAGTGTGAATATTGACTTGTCAAGTAACAACTAACATCTTTGTTGTAGAAAATATTAGTTGAACTAGTCTTGACAAACCAAGTGTTATAGGTAACAAATGTGATACATACCATTGATAGATCTGGTGTTATAGGTAACCAAGGGGATATGTACCACTGATAGATCAGGTGTTATAGGTAACAAAAGTGATACATACCATTGATAGATCAGGTGTTATAGATAACAAAAGTGATACATACCATTGATAGATCAGGTGTTATAGGTAACAAATGTGATACATACCATTGATAGATCAGGTGTTATAGGTAACAAAAGTGATACTTACCATTGATAGATCAGGTGTGCGAGAGGTAACAAATGTGCTACCTACCATTGATAGATCTGGTGTTATAGGTAACCAAGGGGATATGTACCACTGATAGATCAGGTGTTATAGGTAACAAAAGTGATACTTACCATTGATAGATCAGGTGTGCGAGAGGTAACAAATGTGCTACCTACCATTGATAGATCTGGTGTTATAGGTAACCAAGGGGATATGTACCACTGATAGATCAGGTGTTATAGGTAACAAAAGTGATACATACCATTGATAGATCAGGTGTGCGAGAGGTAACAAATGTGCTACCTACCATTGATAGATTAGGTGTACGAGAGGTAACAAAAGTGATACCTACCATTGATAGATTAGGTGTACGAGAGGTAACAAAAGTGATACCTACCATTGATAGATCAGGTGTTATAGGTAACAAAAGTGATACCTACCATTGATAGATCAGGTGTACGAGAGGTAACAAAAGTGATACCTACCATTGATAGATCAGGTGTACGAGAGGTAACAAAAGTGATACCTACCATTGATAGATCAGGTGTACGAGAGGTAACAAAAGTGATAACTACCATTGATAGATCAGGTGTACGAGAGGTAACAAAAGTGATACCTACCATTGATAGATCAGGTGTACGAGAGGTAACAAAAGTGATACCTACCATTGATAGATCAGGTGTACGAGAGGTAACAAAAGTGATACCTACCATTGATAGATCAGGTGTACGAGAGGTAACAAAAGTGATACCTACCATTGATAGATCAGGTGTACGAGAAGTAACAAAAGTGATACCTACCATTGATAGATCAGGTGTACGAGAGGTAACAAAAGTGATACCTACCATTGATAGATCAGGTGTACGAGAGGTAACAAAAGTGATACCTACCACTGATAGATCAGGTGTACGAGAGGTAACAAAAGTGATACCTACCATTGATAGATCAGGTGTACGAGAGGTAACAAAAGTGATACCTACCATTGATAGATCAGGTGTACAAGAGGTAACAAAAGTGATACCTACCATTGATAGATCAGGTGTACGAGAGGTAACAAAAGTGATACCTACCATTGATAGATCAGGTGTACGAGAGGTAACAAAAGTGATACCTACCATTGATAGATCAGGTGTACGAGAGGTAACAAAAGTGATACCTACCATTGATAGATCAGGTGTACGAGAGGTAACAAAAGTGATACCTACCATTGATAGATCAGGTGTACGAGAGGTAACAAAAGTGATACCTACCATTGATAGATCAGGTGTACGAGAGGTAACAAAAGTGATACCTACCATTGATAGATCAGGTGTACGAGAGGTAACAAAAGTGATACCTACCATTGATAGATCAGGTGTACGAGAGGTAACAAAAGTGATACCTACCATTGATAGATCAGGTGTACGAGAGGTAACAAAAGTGATACCTACCATTGATAGATCAGGTGTACGAGAGGTAACAAAAGTGATACCTACCATTGACAGATCAGGTGTACGAGAGGTAACAAAAGTGATACCTACCATTGACAGATCAGGTGTACGAGAGGTAACAAAAGTGATACCTACCATTGATAGATCAGGTGTACGAGAGGTAACAAAAGTGATACCTACCATTGATAGATCAGGTGTACGAGAGGTAACAAAAGTGATACCTACCATTGATAGATCAGGTGTACGAGAGGTAACAAAAGTGATACCTACCATTGATAGATCAGGTGTACGAGAGGTAACAAAAGTGATACCTACCATTGATAGATCAGGTGTACGAGAGGTAACAAAAGTGATACCTACCATTGATAGATCAGGTGTACGAGAGGTAACAAAAGTGATACCTACCATTGATAGATCAGGTGTACGAGAGGTAACAAAAGTGATACCTACCATTGATAGATCAGGTGTACGAGAGGTAACAAAAGTGATACCTACCATTGATAGATCAGGTGTACGAGAGGTAACAAAAGTGATACCTACCATTGATAGATCAGGTGTACGAGAGGTAACAAAAGTGATACCTACCATTGACAGATCAGGTGTACGAGAGGTAACAAAAGTGATACCTACCATTGACAGATCAGGTGTACGAGAGGTAACAAAAGTGATACCTACCATTGATAGATCAGGTGTACGAGAGGTAACAAAAGTGATACCTACCATTGATAGATCAGGTGTACGAGAGGTAACAAAAGTGATACCTACCATTGATAGATCAGGTGTACGAGAGGTAACAAAAGTGATACCTACCATTGATAGATCAGGTGTACGAGAGGTAACAAAAGTGACATTCTCTGAGTTTCCAACTTTTCTTTCAATGATGAATTGCATGATGACCCCATTAGGTTTGCCTGGTGACTGATAGGAGATCTGAATGGCAGATGGACTCAGTGCTCTCAGGTCAGGCATCTTCAGGTCTTCAGGTACTGTGTCAACATAGTTTATCACAACATCAGGGTCTGTCTTACTTGAGTGAGGGGAAAAGAACTCTAACACACTGTACGCAACACTATACTTAGACCTCTAGCGTTCTTGGTACACCCCCCCCCACCCCCCAGCCAATGTGTTCACTCACTCACCCACCCACTGTGTCTAACGCCCAGGTAATGTGTACATCCACCAACTATATCCACCCACCCACTGTGTACACCCACCCACCCACTGTGTGCACCCACCCACCCACTGTCCACAACCCAATACTTACAGTCCTCCAGAGTTCTGATGCCAGTAGATGGCTGGCTCTTGGTACACCCACCCACTGTGTACACCCACCCACTGTGTACACCCACCCACCCACTGTGTACACCCAACCAGTTATTGCATCCACCCACTGTGTACACCCACCCAGTTACTGCATCCATCCACCCACTGTGTACACCCACCCACATGTACACCCAACGAGTTATTGCATCCACCCACTGTGTACACCCACCCACGTGTACACCCAACGAGTTAATTACTGTATCCACCCACCTACTGTCCACAACCCAATACTTACAGTCCTCTAGAGTTCTGATGGCAGTAGATGGCTGGCTCTTGGTACACCCACCCACTGTGTACACCCACCCACCCACTGTGTACACCCAACCAGTTATTGCATCCACCCACTGTGTACACCCAACCAGTTATTGCATCCACCCACTGTGTACACCCACCCAGTTACTGCATCCATCCACCCACTGTGTACACCCACCCACGTGTACACCCAACGAGTTATTGCATCCACCCACTGTGTACACCCACCCACGTGTACACCCAACGAGTTATTGCATCCACCCACTGTGTACACCCACCCACGTGTACACCCAACGAGTTAATTACTGTATCCACCCACCCACTGTCCACAACCCAATACTTACAGTCCTCCAGAGTTCTGATGGCAGTAGATGGCTGGCTCTTGGTACACCCACCCACTGTGTACACCCACCCACCCACTGTGTACACCCAACCAGTTATTGCATCCACCCACTGTGTACACCCACCCAGTTACTGCATCCATCCACCCACTGTGTACACCCACCCACGTGTACACCCAACGAGTTATTGCATCCACCCACTGTGTACACCCACCCACGTGTACACCCAACGAGTTAATTACTGTATCCACCCACCCACTGTCCACAACCCAATACTTACAGTCCTCCAGAGTTCTGATGGCAGTAGATGGCTGGCTCTTGGTACACCCACCCACTGTGTACACCCACCCACTGTGTACACCCACCCACTGTGTACACCCAACCAGTTATTGCATCCACCCACTGTGTACACCCAACCAGTTATTGCATCCACCCACTGTGTACACCCACCCAGTTACTGCATCCATCCACCCACTGTGTACACCCACCCACGTGTACACCCAACGAGTTATTGCATCCACCCACTGTGTACACCCACCCACGTGTACACCCAACGAGTTAATTACTGTATCCACCCACCTACTGTCCACAACCCAATACTTACAGTCCTCCAGAGTTCTGATGGCAGTAGATGGCTGGCTCTTGGTACACCCACCCAGTTACTGTATCCACCCACCTACTGTGTACACCCACCCACTGTGTACACCCACCCACTGTGTACACCCACCCACCTACTGTCCACAACCCAATACTTACAGTCCTCCAGAGTTCTGATGGCAGTAGATGGCTGGCTCTTGGTACACCCACCCACTGTGTACACCCACCCACCCACTGTGTACACCCACCCACTGTGTACACCCACCCACCCACTGTGTACACCCACCCACGTGTACACCCACCCACTGTATCCACCCACCTACTGTCCACAACCCAATACTTACAGTCCTCCAGAGTTCTGATGGCAGTAGATGGCTGGCTCTTGGTACACCCACCCACTGTGTACACCCACCCACTGTGTACACCCAACCAGTTATTGCATCCACCCACTGTGTACACCCAACCAGTTATTGCATCCACCCACTGTGTACACCCACCCAGTTACTGCATCCATCCACCCACTGTGTACACCCACCCACGTGTACACCCAACGAGTTATTGCATCCACCCACTGTGTACACCCACCCACGTGTACACCCAACGAGTTAATTACTGTATCCACCCACCCACTGTCCACAACCCAATACTTACAGTCCTCTAGAGTTCTGATGGCAGTAGATGGCTGGCTCTTGGTACACCCACCCACTGTGCAAGCCTCCACCTCAAACATGTAGCTGGTGTAGGGGCTGAGGTTGTCCAGCCTGTAACTGGTCAGATTCCCTGCCACCTGGGGGTGACAAACAATATATGACACAAGAGTCAGGGGGTAGGGGGAGGGGGTGAATTTCAGCCTCAAAACAATGTATGACACAACAGTCTTGAGAGGATCACAGCTAAGTTACCTCTACAGAACATGTGGTCAGTAGAGTAGATGCAATAGAGTTCATCTGTTTATGTGGCCTCAGCAAATGAATGGATAGTGTGGTCAGTTGTATGCCCATCCCCCCCTTTATTTTCACTAACATGTGTCATGTACCCAATCCTAGCTGGGTGGACTCACTGGTATCCTACAGACTTGGGTCTGGGATCTGAACTAGAGACTTTTGGTTAAGTAGTTGTGTACTCTACTGTCTGATCAAGCTGTCCAGTATCTCAGCTACCATGCAATACATAAGTAAAACAGTGTTCACCTGTGTCCTTAGAACAGTGTTGATATACAAGTTGTAGTTGGCAATAATTCCATTGGGAGTTAGTGGCACTGTCCATGTGATGTCCACATATCTGGCCTTGAACCCAGAGATTAGAGGTGTGTTCATGTAGGCAGGCTCTGAGAAAGAAAAAATCTTTAAGTTCAGCAGTGAATAAATTAAGGAGTCATTCCCTCCCTGACAACTTGTATTAAACAAAACAGGTATTGCACAAACTTACTGTCTTGTTTAGTGACAACACTGGCCCAGTCAGATCGGGTGTCACCAAGACTATTGCTGGCAACTACCCTGAACTTGTACTCAGTGAAGGGCATCAGATTAAACTTGGTGTAGGCAAGTGTCACCGTAGGTCCAAACTCACTGGATTAAAGAAGTAACATCACAGAATTAGACTACATTTTTAAATACTGGGAAATTACTGGATTAAAGAAGTAATATCACAGTATTAGACTACATTTTTAAACACTGGGAAACTACTGGATTAAAGAAGTAACATCACAGTTTTAGACTACATTTTTAAATACTGGGAAACTACTGAAAAATTACAATAGATGAAATAAGCATTCAAATCTTTAATATTTTATACTCTTTCTTAAGTATGGAGTAAATAAATATCTATGTAATATAGAAGGCAGCATTTAGAATTCCCTCTTCAAATATGTTGATAGGTTTGATAAAGTAATGAACTGATAAAAAAAATGTAAGAAAAAATATTACTCTTGTATGATAGAGTTCTGTGTGGTGTCAATAAATTGTAAAAGATATGCCACCGTCTCATTAGCATTGACACGCCCCACTGGCTGCCAGCTCACTTTAATGGACCGAGGAGTGTCAGATACCAGAGTGGGTGGGGCCATGCCATCTGGCGCTGGAATAATAAGAGAAATGGATGGACAAAAGTTTTCAATCAAGTTTTGTTTAAATGATTTATAAATTATGAGGAAAATAATAATTATTTATTTTATAATGGTAACAACATAGGCCGTTTAAAAAAGCATATTAACATTTTAGTAACAGTAATGGTTGGACAAAGCATTGACTAAAGTTTATTTAAATGATCTATAATTGTTAGCATAAAAATCTGAGAATAGTGTGTATAAATAGCTTACTTCCTGGTGGCATGGTGAGTGCCACAATGTTGCTGAGTATGAAACCAACAGAGTTGGATCCATTCACCTGCACACTGTAGGAGGACACAGGCAGGAGTTGTCCTATCTGGTAGATAGTGTAGCCTTTGGTTGAGTTGAACAGCATGCGGCGCTCTGATACTGTTGTGTAGTTCCATGTGGCTGTTACCAAAAAAAATATTCTATTCAATTTTTTTAACATTTTAAATTTTTTTAGTATCTATGGTGGATTTTTAATTGTAAAAATATTCTTTTAAAATAGGAAACTCTTCAGTTATAATAAATCTATAACAACTCTTGGCAATAACTGAGAAAGTTAATCTGGCAACCAAAATAAAACTGACCTGGACTGGTATAAAAAAGCCCAGTAAAGAAAACTTGGAACATCATTAGCCCATTGGGTTGTTCTGGCATTGTCCATGACACATTGGCAGTCCTGGCGTCTGCTACAGCTGCTGTCAACACAATAAAACCTATAGGTGCTGCCTCTCTAGTCCTGGCTTCCACCTACAGACACAACAAGCAAGAGCCTACATGATACATGACTTTCTATTAGACAACATGGTTTACCAGTAAATGTCAACAATCTCTAAAGGCCAGCCTCTCTAGTCCTGGCTTCTACCTACAAACAGACACAACAAGCAAGAGCCTACATGATACATGACTTTCTATTAGACAACATGGTTTACCAGTAAATGTCAACAATCTCTAAAGGCCAGCCTCTCTAGTCCTGGCTTCTACCTACAAACAGACACAACAAGCAAGAGCCTACATGATACATGACTTTCTATTAGACAACATGGTTTACCAGTAAATGTCAACAATCTCTAAAGGCCAGCCTCTCTAGTCCTGGCTTCCACCTACAAACAGACACAACAAGCAAGAGCCTACATGATACATGACTTTCTATTAGACAACATGGTTTACCAGTAAATGTCAACAATCTCTAAAGGCCAGCCTCTCTAGTCCTGGCTTCTACCTACAAACAGACACAACAAGCAAGAGCCTACATGATACATGACTTTCTATTAGACAACATGGTTTACCAGTAAATGTCAACAATCTCTAAAGGCCAGCCTCTCTAGTCCTGGCTTCCACCTACAAACAGACACAACAAGCAAGAGCCTACATGATACATGACTTTCTATTAGACAACATGGTTTACCAGTAAATGTCAACAATCTCTAAAGGCCAGCCTCTCTAGTCCTGGCTTCTACCTACAAACAGACACAACAAGCAAGAGCCTACATGATACATGACTTTCTATTAGACAACATGGTTTACCAGTAAATGTCAACAATCTCTAAAGGCCAGCCTCTCTAGTCCTGGCTTCTACCTACAAACAGACACAACAAGCAAGAGCCTACATGATACATGACTTTCTATTAGACAACATGGTTTACCAGTAAATGTCAACAATCTCTAAAGGCCAGCCTCTCTAGTCCTGGCTTCCACCTACAGACACAACAAGCAAGAGCCTACATGATACATGACTTTCTATTAGACAACATGGTTTACCAGTAAATGTCAACAATCTCTAAAGGCCAGCCTCTCTAGTCCTGGCTTCTACCTACAAACAGACACAACAAGCAAGAGCCTACATGATACATGACTTTCTCTTAGACAACATGGTTTACCAGTAAATGTCAACAATCTCTAAAGGCCAGCCTCTCTAGTCCTGGCTTCTACCTACAAACAGACACAACAAGCAAGAGCCTACATGATACATGACTTTCTATTAGACAACATGGTTTACCAGTAAATGTCAACAATCTCTAAAGGCCAGCCTCTCTAGTCCTGGCTTCTACCTACAAACAGACACAACAAGCAAGAGCCTACATGATACATGACTTTCTCTTAGACAACATGGTTTACCAGTAAATGTCAACAATCTCTAAAGGCCAGCCTCTCTAGTCCTGGCTTCTACCTACAAACAGACACAACAAGCAAGAGCCTACATGATACATGACTTTCTCTTAGACAACATGGTTTACCAGTAAATGTCAACAATCTCTAAAGGCCAGCCTCTCTAGTCCTGGCTTCTACCTACAAACAGACACAACAAGCAAGAGCCTACATGATACATGACTTTCTCTTAGACAACATGGTTTACCAGTAAATGTCAACAATCTCTAAAGGCCAGCCTCTCTAGTCCTGGCTTCTACCTACAAACAGACACAACAAGCAAGAGCCTACATGATACATGACTTTCTCTTAGACAACATGGTTTACCAGTAAATGTCAACAATCTCTAAAGGCCAGCCTCTCTAGTCCTGGCTTCTACCTACAAACAGACACAACAAGCAAGAGCCTACATGATACATGACTTTCTCTTAGACAACATGGTTTACCAGTAAATGTCAACAATCTCTAAAGGCCAGCCTCTCTAGTCCTGGCTTCTACCTACAAACAGACACAACAAGCAAGAGCCTACATGATACATGACTTTCTATTAGACAACATGGTTTACCAGTAAATGTCAACAATCTCTAAAGGCCAGTCTCTCTAGTCCTGGCTTCTACCTACAAACAGACACAACAAGCAAGAGCCTACATGATACATGACTTTCTATTAGACAACATGGTTTACCAGAAAATATCAACAATCCCTAAAGGCCAGTAACTAGTCAAGTCACCTGAGCACTGTAAGCACAGCCCCGTATTGTGCAGGCTCTGACTCTGAAGACATGATAACTGTATGGCAGCAGCTGGCCAATGCTGTAGGATCTGTTTAGACCTGTGTACACCACCACACCATTCTGTACCAGACTGTAATTTGTTATTGCACCTGTCCAGTAGAGAATAAAATAGCATAGCACTACATTCAACATTTAAAAAACATTTACAAAAGAGAGAAGAATTTTATTCTTTTGTAACTTACAATCTTGATGGGGTAAAAAAATATGTAAGGAACAAAATAGTGTCCACAAGAGCAGGGCTGTGCCCCTATAATATTTACCAATGTCAATGAGTCAAACAGAAAGCTGTCAATGGCTTCAATTTACCTTTTGCTGGATCTTAAATACTTTTATTTAACTAACTTATTCCTAGCATCTGTAACTATAATTTATTAAGAATTTTAAAGCGTAAGTGAATTAAAGAAACTCACCATTGGGATACTGTGGAGGGTCCCATGTGACAGACAGCTCACTCGGGCTGGGGGAGTTGACCACAGGTGCTGACACCCCATCTGGGGCGGACTCCTCTGTTGTGGCAGACGAAGCATTCCCCAGGGTGCAGCCACCACCTGTACAAGCCTGTAGCAGCAAACATTGAAATCATTATGTCTATCTGCTGATCTCATGTTTCATATTCCACAACATTTCTTTAGACACTGGTACAGAAAGGTGTCAAGAGAGAACAGAAACTCAGACCAAAACTCACTGAGACCAAAACTCCAATGTTTATTCATTGATAGAGAGCTATTTAATCAGTAAGTTAAGTCTTTCTTGACCTGTAGGGCAAGCTGTATGTCACTCACCCCAAGTGTGATGTAGTACGTGGTGCCAGACAGCAGACCAGTGATGACGTAATACTGCAAGAGCATGGTGCTGTTGTAGATGACCTGACCCCTGGTGCCCGCCTCTGTGGAGCTGTACAGCTGGTAGGACTCCAGCACTCCGTTTAGCTGGAAGGGCTTGTCCCAGCTGGCATTGATGCGGGATGTGCCTGGGGAGAACAGAGGCTTTTATCTGCCTGGGGAGAACAGAGGCTTTTATCTGCCTGGGGAGAACAGAGGCTTTTATCTGCCTGGGGAGTACAGAGGCTTTTATCTGCCTGGGGAGAACAGAGGCTTTTATCTGCCTGGGGAGAACAGAGGCTTTTATCTGCCTGGGGAGAACAGAGGCTTTTATCTGCCTGGGGAGAACAGAGGCTTTTATCTGCCTGGGGAGAACAGAGGCTTTTATCTGCCTGGGGAGAACAGAGGCTTTTATCTGCCTGGGGAGAACAGAGGCTTTTATCTGCCTGGGGAGAACAGAGGCTTTTATCTGCCTGGGGAGAACAGAGGCTTTTATCTGCCTGGGGAGAACAGAGGCTTTTATCTGCCTGGGGAGAACAGAGGCTTTTATCTGCCTGGGGAGAACAGAGGCTTTTATCTGCCTGGGGAGAACAGAGGCTTTTATCTGCCTGGGGAGAACAGAGGCTTTTATCACCATGTTAGTCACTGTTTTTTTTATAAATAGCAGGGAGAATTTATTTCTATAAAAATATCAAGACTTTCTATCTATATAAACATGCCAGGGAGACTTATTTATTACCCCATGATTACACCAACAAGATTTGTGAAACACTAGAATAGAGCACAAATTTGTCAAATATTTGATCTTTTTTAGACAATGTATTTGCAGAAAATATCTTTTGTTCTTGTACATCTATTGTGAAGTACTGACAAGCTACACCATAATAAACATTTTAAAACCTCTCAAGTGAAAGTTTATAAAATATACCTAACACAAGCAGCCGCAGCTGGCCCACAGCTGTAGGTGGCAGCTGGGATGTGCTCAGGGCCACAGTCGGCCCTTTGGTGCAGCCGGAGGAGGTGCAGGCAGACACGTAAAACCTGTAGGCAGTGTACACCTGCAAGCCTGTGACGTTGTAGCTGAGTTGTCCCCCCTTGTAAATCTCCTGCCCCTCCTGATAGAGGAAGAAGCCAGTGATGGGGCCATTAGGGTTTAATGGCATGGTCCACTTGACGATCAGGTAAGTTGGTCCAGCCTCTGCTGTAGGTGCTGACACGTTTTCAGGGGCTGGACAGTTTGGTTGGATCAGGAATGTACAAGTCAGTGTTTGTTACAAGAAATTAGACTAACATTAGAAAACAAGTTATTTTTACCAAAAACATATTTAACAAATGTATATGAAGTTTCAAAATCATTCTTTTCTTCAGTGAAAATTGTATTCATTTTTAAACATTGGTTTATTCTTTTATACCAGGGGTCGGCAACCTTTTGAGACAGAAGAGCCAAAAGTTACAATTTACAAAATTTCCAAGTTTTTAAAGAGCCGCCAACATTTTTATACTATTATTATTAATATGATCTTTAATTAGGATTTTATATATATATATATATATATATATATATATATATATATATATATATATATATATATATATATATATATATATATATATATATATATATATATATATATAACAATGTATGTGTGTTTGTGTGTGTGTCTTTTATGCATTACTACACCTTTCATCCGATCGCCATGAAACTTGGAAAAATTGTTGAGAATACTCCCAGGGGGGTAGAGGTGCGATTTTTCACTGTATATGGTAAAAAAAAAGTTGTATGCGGTTCGACACAGTTTATCAGTGCCATGAGTAGATAAAAATACGAGAAGATTGCTGCGAAAAAAAAAAATTTCTCATGGGCGGCGCCCGGGTGGTGCATTTTTTATCAATACACGTTTTGGCGCCCAGAGTTCCAGAGCGGCTATGTTAGCACTTGGCATCCGTTAATCGGGCGTTCTGCATAGCGGGCAAGGGGTACTACTATATTCAGCGGCAAAACTGCAACAGACGCAACCGCCGGCGCCTCGTCCATAGGGCGACCCTGCAAGCACTATAACGCCTACATTGGTTTTTTTTTAAAGGCTGTACACGATAGACACAATGGGCAACAATACGTTCATTTTAAACAGCGCGATAGACTATGGATACTATAGGTTGTTATAGTCGCTCACTGAATTGAATTAGGCGCATCCTCCGGCGTCACTGCAGGGTGCGATTTGGTGCCCAGGGCTATCCCGTGAGCACTAAGCGCCTACCTTAGTTTCAAGGAGCACCCTACAATACGACATTCGATAATTAAACTTAGCTAGGGGCTACGCGACGCCCCAGCGGTAGTGTTATCGGATTCACGAGAGTGCCACTTACCGTCGGTGAGTGATTAACGGTGATATTACGGTGAGTGATTAACTTACACTCAAGGCTTTCACACAGCACGCCATGATGGTGGGCGCTAGTGCCCCGATAAATATGATCCAAACGCAGGCATTTTTTTATATTTAAATAACTCAGTTTTAGGACACAAAGAAGTAGGTCTACATTGAAATATCGAGTCACTAAACATTCTAATAGAATAGCGAGTTTTTACTGTTTATATTTATTATTATATTGTTCATTACTGTGTGTCGCAGACTAATACTTTTATGAGCTTTAAAAATAAAATAAAATAATTATTTATATTTGTGCATCGAGCTGAAGAGCCGCATCTTGACATCAAAAGAGCCGCATGCGGCTCGCGAGCCGCAGGTTGCCGACCCCTGTTTTATACCAAATTCTAGTTTTGTGTAGTAGCTATTTTGAAAACAATCTCAGTTTGGTAAAAAATTAGCTCAGATTTTTAAAAATTATATGCAGGTTAAAAAAAGTGTACTAAACCATTTTAAAAACTGTTTAAAACTTTTTTTTGTAATTGCATAGTTTGTCTCACTGTTCACAAAGCAAAAAATTATATTTATCAGAGGTATTTTAGTATAACTGCTCAGACTGCACTCTACCTTCTATGGGCATGATGACCTGCATTCCATCAACACTCTCGTTACAGCCACCAGGTGTACAAGCTTTTATCTTGATCAGGTAAGTCGTGTCAGGAATCACACCTGTCATGTTGGCTGGAAAACAAACAGAATATTTTTAATAAACCTTATTTAAACCAGTCACTAAAATGACATGTAATATAAACCTGGTACCACTTCACCCTATTAAAACAACACAGGTTTTACCTGCAGACTTTCTACCTGGCTTTTAAAACCTTATTTCTTACCTGCAGTCACACTGACATCAAGAGAATCCATGGACACAAAAGTATTATTCTCAGTCACAACATATGCCATGATGACGTATTTGGTCAGCAGACCATAGGTGATCTCAGGTTCCTGCCAGATGACCTCCACCTCTTTCCCACTCAAAGGTCGAACACTGGTGGGACCTTTGACCCCACTTGGGGCTAGAAGAGAAGATTTAAATGCAGGCTGTGGTCCAATTTAAATTTATGAGATATAAAGATACATAATATAAAAATATGAGGCTTAGGCTTCTTGAAGCGTTTAAAGCATGAGAGATAATTCTTAAATACCCTTTTATCTTAAACATTTAATTTTCTTTATGTTTAACATATGATATCAGTATGTGTATGTTGTCTCACCTCCTTCCCTAGTGCGACCATACGCCCATGAGCTGTATCCTGTACCTGCACTGTTGTTGGCCACTACACGATAGATGTAATCTGAGGGATAGGGATATTTATAGAGGTAGGGGATGTTTTTAGAGGTAGGGGATGTTTTTAGAGGTAGGGGATGTTTTTAGAGGTAGGGGATGTTTTTAGAGGTAGGGGATGTTTTTAGAGGTAGGGGATGCTTTTAGAGGTAGGGGATATTTATAGAGGTAGGGGATATTTATAGAGGTAGGGGGATGTTTTTAGAGGTAGGGGATATTTTTAGAGGTAGGGGATATTTTTAGAGGTAGGGGATATTTATAGAGGTAGGGGGATGTTTTTAGAGGTAGGGGATATTTTTAGAGGTAGGGGATATTTTTAGAGGTAGGGGATATTTATAGAGGTAGGGGGATGTTTTTAGAGGTATGGGATATTTTTAGAGGTAGGGGATATTTTTAGAGGTAGGGGATATTTATAGAGGTAGGGGGATGTTTTTAGAGGAACAGGTACAATTGTCAATAAACAATAATTGAGGAGTAAACATAGACAACTGTAAAGGAATAGGTAGGTTTTTAGAAGAGCAATCACATTTTTATTGATACACAATTCAAAACACATTATGCACAAATGTGAATCATTGAACAATAACTTAAGTTACTGAACAAATGTGAAGTGATAATCTGCAGAATATATTTTAAATATGAAATGACTCCTGCTCTGGTCATCAGTAACCCTCTGATATAAACATCCTCACCTGTGTAAGGTAAACATCCTCACCTGTGTAAGGTAAACATCCTCACCTGTGTAAGGTAAACATCCTCACCTGTGTAAGGTAAACATCCTCACCTGTGCAAGGTAAACATCCTCACCTGTGTAAGGTAAACATCCTCACCTGTGTAAGGTAAACATCCTCACCTGTGTAAGGTAAACATCCTCACCTGTGTAAGGTAGCAGACCTGTGTCAAAAGCCACTCTCTCCTGGCCCAGGTACACCTGGGTGATGAGGCTGTCCTGACAGGTGAAGGTGGCATCGTGGTAAGGGGGGCAGCCATCCATGTTGGTGTTGGCCACATCCAGCACTACAACTGATGAGTCCGTCTCGTACTGTTTGGTGTTGATGGCAAAACCAGAGAAACAGCCTCCAAAACCTTGAGGATGTTGCAACAAATTTGGATTTAGTATTTTGATTACCAATAGCAATGAAGTATTTTGGCTTTAAGACCTTTGTTGGAAGCATTTGCTGCTCCATTAAACAAACAGCTATATCAATGACACATCTATGACAAGTTAAACACAAATCAAGTGACAAGCAAACCTACCAACATAGCCAATACCTTCCAGGGGTATGGGCAGCCCATTTTGCTGGACATACTTGAGAGCATCTGAGCCAGCTTTGAGCCCACCCAGGTAGATGTCAGAGATCAAGGCCAAGTTCATCATCACATTAGGGTCTCCCACTGAGAAGTTTCTCTCTGTGGGGACTGAGATGGTGGCCTGCTGCCCCACCTTGCTGAAGATGAGTTGTCTCCACTTGCCGTCACACAAGTTGGTGTCATTCTTGTCATACGTCACTACTGTACGGGTGTTGCTGTCACTGATCACAAATCTCAATTTACCTTTTTCTAAAGCACTGAAACATGTTCAAATCCTTAGACATGAAGAAAACATTAAAGGCAATACAAAAGGTTTGACTTGATGAATATACACCCCATACCTGTACATATAAATGTTGTTGCCCCCATACAAAAGGTTTGACTTGATGAATATACACCCCATATCTGTACATATAAATGTTGTTGCCCCCATACAAAAGGTTTGACTTGATGAATATACACCCCATACCTGTACATATAAATGTTGTTGCCCCCCATACAAAAGGTTTGACTTGATGAATATACACCCCATACCTGTACATATAAATGTTGTTGGTCCCCATACAAAAGGTTTGACTTGATGAATATACACCCCATACCTGTACATATAAATGTTGTTGCCCCCATACAACCAAAAGGTTTGACCTGATGAATATACACCCCATACCTGTACATATAAATGTTGTTGGTCCCCATACAAAAGGTTTGACTTGATGAATATACACCCCATACCTGTACATATAAATGTTGTTGGTCCCCATACAAAAGGTTTGACTTGATGAATATACACCCCATACCTGTACATATAAATGTTGTTGCCCCCATACAAAAGTTTTGACTTGATGAATATACACCCCATACCTGTACATATAAATGTTGTTGCCCACATACAACCAAAAGGTTTGACCTGATGAATATACACCCCATACCTGTACATATAAATGTTGTTGGTCCCCATACAAAAGGTTTGACTTGATGAATATACACCCCATACCTGTACATATAAATGTTGTTGCCCCCATACAAAAGGTTTGACTTGATGAATATACACCCCATACCTGTACATATAAATGTTGTTGGTCCCCATACAAAAGGTTTGACTTGATGAATATACACCCCATACCTGTACATATAAATGTTGTTGCCCCCATACAACCAAAAGGTTTGACCTGATGAATATACACCCCATACCTGTACATATAAATGTTGTTGCCCCCATACAAAAGGTTTGACCTGATGAATATACACCCCATACCTGTACATATAAATGTTGTTGCCCACATACAACCAAAAGGTTTGACCTGATGAATATACACCCCATACCTGTACATATAAATGTTGTTGCCCCCATACAACCAAAAGGTTTGACCTGATGAATATACACCCCATACCTGTACATATAAATGTTGTTGGTCCCCATACAAAAGGTTTGACTTGATGAATATACACCCCATACCTGTACATATAAATGTTGTTGCCCCCATACAAAAGGTTTGACCTGATGAATATACACCCCATACCTGTACATATAAATGTTGTTGCCCCATACAAAAGGTTTGACTTGATGAATATACACCCCATACCTGTATATATAAATGTTGTTGCCCCATACAAAAGGTTTGACTTGATGAATATACACCCCATACCTGTACATATAAATGTTGTTGCCCACATACAACCAAAAGGTTTGACCTGATGAATATACACCCCATACCTGTACATATAAATGTTGTTGGTCCCCATACAAAAGGTTTGACTTGATGAATATACACCCCATACCTGTACATATAAATGTTGTTGCCCCCATACAAAAGGTTTGACTTGATGAATATACACCCCATACCTGTACATATAAATGTTGTTGGTCCCCATACAAAAGGTTTGACTTGATGAATATACACCCCATACCTGTACATATAAATGTTGTTGGTCCCCATACAAAAGGTTTGACTTGATGAATATACACCCCATACCTGTACATATAAATGTTGTTGCCCCCATACAACCAAAAGGTTTGACTTGATGAATATACACCCCATACCTGTACATATAAATGTTGTTGCCCACATACAACCAAAAGGTTTGACCTGATGAATATACACCCCATACCTGTACATATAAATGTTGTTGGCCCCCACACAACCAAAAGGTTTGACTTGATGAATATACACCCCATACCTGTACATATAAATGTTGTTGCCTGCATACAACCAAAAGGTTTGACTTGATGAATATACACCCCATACCTGTACATATAAATGTTGTTGCCCCCATACAACCAAAAGGTTTGACTTGATGAATATACACCCCATACCTGTACATATAAATGTTGTTGCCCCCATACAAAAGGTTTGACTTGATGAATATACACCCCATACCTGTACATATAAATGTTGTTGCCCCCATACAACCAAAAGGTTTGACTTGATGAATATACACCCCATATCTGTACATATAAATGTTGTTGCCCCCATACAAAAGGTTTGACTTGATGAATATACACCCCATACCTGTACATATAAATGTTGTTGCCCCCGTACAACAGAAACAGAAAGCCTGTATGTAGGGTTGTCCTCAAACGGAATCGCACTTCGATGCGGTCTCCACTCACATCACACACAGACTTGTCATCACAGTTCTTCAGTACCAAGTAGCCTAAAAGCAACCACTCTTATCAACATATATGGTGATAAACTGTAAAATTTCATAAGGTACAAATATCTTTGAAATTTTGTATTATTTGTTTAAATTAAATTGTTACCTTTCCCCATAAAGTGGTAGCCTTTCTCTAGATTGATGGGACAGCCCTGCCAGTTGAGGAAAGCCAAATCATTGGTCACTCCCTGTGTCCAGTCCAACCTTCTCCACAGCTCCTCAGGGTAGATTTGCTGGAGTATTTCAACACTGTCAATACAGCCCTGTAGGAAAGTGGTCTCTACCTGGAGGTTTACATAGGTTTACATTAGCTGTATGTATGTTTATATTAGCTGTATGTATGTTTATATTAGCAGCCTGCAGGTTTACATTAGCTGTATGTATGTTTATATTAGCTGTATGTATGTTTACATTAGCTGTATGTATGTTTATATTAGCAGTCTGAAGGTTTATATTAGCTGTATGTATGTTTATATTAGCAGCCTGCAGGTTTATATCAGCTGTATGTATGTTTACATTAGCAGCCTGCAGGTTTATATTAGCAGCCTGCAGGTTTACATTAACTGTATGTATGTTTATATTAGCAGCCTGCAGGTTTTAATTAGTAGCTTGTAGAAAATATAGCAGCCTTCAGATTTACATTAGCTAGTTGTGGGTTTTCATAAGTTACTTAAATGTTAACTTAGAAATTTTGTATAGCAAGGCTAATATTAGCTGCCTATAGGTTATACAAACTTGATGAGGTAACTGTTTAGATAATATTTGTACAAAAAGTCTTTATTTACATAATTTATATAGATCTAATGCAGAATCTGCTTCTAAAAACTGAGAGATATAAAAAAAATTTAAAATATATATCTCACTCTCCGTGATCCATCATTACGTCGCAGGATAAAGTCCGGAGGAAACCCTCCAACATAGACAGCAACTGTTGGACCAATCACATTGCTCTCTGCACAGCTGGCGTCTCTGATGTTACCAACACCTGGGTCAGTTATGTTGGTTCAGTTATACAAGGAGTGTTGGTTTAGTTATACAAGGATTGTTGGTTCAGTTATACAAGGATAGTTGGTTCAGTTATACAAGGATAGTTGGTTTAGTTTTACAAGGATAGTTGGTTTAGTTATACAAGGATTGTTGGTTTAGTTATACAAGGATTGTTGGTTCAGTTATACAAGGATAGTTGGTTTAGTCATAAAAGAATTGTTGGTTAGCTAAACAACCCTTGTTGGTACAGTTGTACAAGGATTGTTGGTTTAACTGTACACAAAATTGTTTTATGAGCACAACTTAAAGCTTTCTAATTTATATAACACTTATCACACTAATTAACTACGTTTATTTTATGAAACAAAACTTAATATAATGAAATACAAATAGTTGAAAAAATTTATTTTTAAAAATTCTTTAGTTGATAGAATGAAAGCACAAACTATACCAAATAATTGCATATTTTTAGATCTAGATGAGAAAAATAAGAGTATATTTTTGTGAAATGATAATAAACGTATATTTGTACAATACTCAATAGTGAAGTTCTTTACCTGATGTTGATGGAGATAAATTTTGCTCAAGGATATTGTTGTTTGTTCAGAGTAATGAAAAAAGCGAAGTTTTTCCTAAAATTACTAATGGGAAACAACAGGAGGCTATAAAATAAAAGACCTGGAATGATGGCTTTAGGATAAAGACAAGTTAAGAATGTACCTCTCCATTTTTCATCGACCACCACCTCGCCACTAGTGCCGTTCCTGCGAGCTACAAAAGAGTGCCATTTCCTGTCATCATACAGTAGTCCCTCATCATTGGTGGTTGTTATAAAGCCTATATTGGAGCAGCCTGAGGGCATATGGTGAGGCCAAGAACTCATTTAAGCTGGCTAGCAGAGTGACATTTTTATTGTGTTTACTGTGTGTTTTTAGTATAAATGCTGGTTTATCTGACCATTTAAAATTTAACTCTAAATGTCTATCCAAAGAGATTTTTTAATGGAATACATTTTTCTAATAAATACAATTATTTTAGAAACCAGCCATATTTTCAGAGAAGTTTTGTAAAGAAATGAAGCATAATATAAGTAGAATACACAATTTATAAAATAGTCAGGTACAAAAGTTTATTTAATAAAAGCAAGACAACTCTCCAATAGTTATATTTAAAAGATAAAGTGAGTTCTCCCCCTCTCCAATTACAAGGTGAGCATTCGTCTTAAGCAAAGGTACCAGGTACCATTTTTAAAATACCTATCTACCTTAAGAAAGTTATAGCATGCCATCCACTAGATATATCTTTTCTAGATAATTTTTTGCCATTACAGTTATGCTAGAGTTCATATAAATCCAAATCAAAATTATTTTATAGCTGAGATGTTTAATTGTTAAGAGGGTTAGTTATCATTCAATTTTGGAGTAGTAATATTTGTACATCATCTATTAAGGAAGAATGAAAAAGAGTCTAAAAATTGAAGCAAGATATGAGTTATTTACAACACAGCATCAAGTCAAATAGTTGACATGTAGGCTATATGAAAGCCAACAAGAATGAAGAAATGGTAAATTAGACTGTTGCCACATAACAAGTAAAGGTTACAGGTATAGTATGCACTTTGTACAGTTAGCGGTAATGATTACATTTAATATTATACATGGATAATATGCAGAGGTTATGATTACATGCAATATTATTTAAAGCACAGTAATTTGAGGTATTGAGAAATAAATATCTGGAAATACACAAGAGTTTAAAAATGATCACAGAATACAGACAAGAGATATGGTCACACAGAAGAGAATTAAATGTCCCTGGGAAGGCTGGCCACACCTCTGAAGTAGCCATCAATAAGGATGGTCCCAGTGGTGCGGACACGCTGGACACTGATAGTGTGGAAGCCAGAACTGAGCAAACTAACCCAGTCAGGATAAGCATCGTAGTCCACCTCAGTAACCACTGAGCAACTCCCTGTCATAGACACCAAACTGTATCAACATGGTGGTCAAATCTTATTTTGTCAGGTGGTCTAAAAGTTATTTTATTTACTTATACCAATTGGTGGTCAAAAAGTTAATTGTGAGGTGTATCATTTGAATACACATCTTGCATAAATTTGGTTTCTGTCAAGAATTTCATGATATATTGTATATTTTAAATTGTAATTTTTTTAAATCTGAGTATAATGATTTTGACATTTTTTTCTGTATTGACATATTTTTGTATGCATAAAAGCTATGTAGGGTTCCAAACATTTCATTTGTATGTAACTTAAAGGAATAAAGTTGTCTACCTTGTGTATCAAACATAAAGCGTGGCCGCCCATTAACAAACTGGACAGCCAGAAACTCCTCTTGTGTGCTTGTGGCTGTGAACAACAAAATTCCTGTTCCCTTCTCCAGACGAAACCTGAACCGAATGCCTGAAACATTGGTTGGGTCAAAGGTTCATCATATGAAAATCAACTGACCTGTTAATTGGTCAATTTAAACCATCAGGCCTAGTTGCATATTCAGAATCCTAATTCAGATTTTTTTTAAAGTTGTGTACAAACTCACCAGTAAACTCAACACTTTGAGGAATGACAGAAGATGGAAAAGAGTAGTAGCCTCCCCCTGTAAACCTAGTCCCCCTGACCACTGAGGCGGGGTAGCTGAGAGCAATGTTGGTCTTCTCCACCTTGTAGAGAGGTGAGGGTCCATTGGGGAACAGCGGCTCATCCCAGCTGATCCTCATTACAGTTGTGTTGTACCCATCCACAGATGGCCGCTGGACACCTTCAGGGGCTGGGGTAAGAACATTATTTTATAAGAACATTAGCTGAAAACTAATCTAATTAAACTGTGAAAAATTAGGCTTTTATTGATATTTTTTATAATTAAGTATTTATTTCATGCTCTTACATTTCTTATACTAACTTTGTCAGCCTAAATGGTATCATCATTTTTGTGGGCTTAACATTTTAAAACCATATAAAAGTACATACCTATTAAAATATAACCCTGCGAGTAGGGCCTTCCCCATTATAAGAAGCTATTAAAGTATATACCTGCCAGTAGGGCCCTGCCAGTTATAAGAACCTATTAACGTATATACCTGCAAGTGATGTCCTACCTTTTATAAGAAGCTATTAAAGTACATACCTGCAAGTAATGTCCTGCCTGAAACTGCTGTACTGTTGACACACCCCTTACTGTTACAAGCCCCCAAGATAAAACTGTGCTCTGAGTATGGCGTCAGTCCAGTTTTAGAAAACTTGAGCGTGGTTCCATTTCCTTCATAGATCAGCTAAAATAGTTCACACTTAGGTTCAGTCAAACACAATTTTATCAAGAGTATATTTGCTTGATATTACAACATATTCTAGTAATGGTTAAACTAACTAATAGAGGAAGACACATTTGAAATATGTTTTGGATGCAAAAGTTTGGGTTCAGAGTCATTAAAATTGATTAGTAGGTGGCACAGTAAATCAAATCCCTACATCCACAGATCAGCCCAACATCTGCTGTACAATTCTGGGTGGCTACACAAATGCTTCACTTGGTATAAAAACAGACCAGCTCTATTATCTCTTCAGTTAATGGAGAGGCTGGAATGTTTTTATATGTATTACATCCCCACAGAAAAGTGACTTGAAAACAATCTTACCGTCCAGACAAATGGTGGGCTGTATGGGTCCACCAAGAGGTCGACCTTGAGGTTCTCATACAGGCGATAGATCAGGACCAGCCCCTGCATGTCTTCAGGGAGTGGCACTGTCCAGGTGATGGACAGCTCAGAGCTACTGATGCCCTGGACCAGAGGTGGGGACAAATATTTGGGCACTGAAAGTAAAAACATCAACATTATGGAACATATATAAGTGCACCAATGGTTGAGGATTATCTTAAGCTGAAATTCTTTAAAGTGATGTCTCACGCTAAGTTCCCAGGCCCATGTCTGTAGCATGTCTCTGAATTTCCTTCCCCTCCCCTACACTTACACAAGCCCCAAACCAAGATGGGTAGGCCTATCTCTAGATAGTTTGGGAAAGCTAAAATGACAGGGCATAATCCTAACCATATGGACAGACAGACCTCAGTGGATACATTACTACTTTTCTTTTTAATTTTCCCTTTTAAACCAAATACAAACTAAACCTCCTATATCAGCCTAAATTTTGGAGCAGGGGGTGTCACAAACTGTATCTATTGTATCTATTAAAAAAATGCCAGTTAAAACAAATCTCCACCAACCCTCCTCCATTGTTCTCCCTTGATTCCAACTACTGGTAGCCTTCCCTGCATCATTCTCTGACGTGACCCTGAACTCGTACACTGTGAAAGACAACAGGTTGGCCACCAGATATGTGGTGGCTGGTGGGGACAATGGGTTCCCTGCTGCACTGGCCAGAGGGTCATAGCGTCCACTTGGATTAAAAATTCTAGTTTCTGGAGGCTTGTACAGACCATCTGATCCTAGTGGACCCCGGAAATACAGCTCGTAAAAGCTAATTATTCCTGGGAAAAGTGAATGGATTAATTAATTGATGGATCAACAATTAGCTTGTCATTATGAATATGCAGGTATAAAAGTCATGTTTGTAGGATTTTAAAGTCAAGTGGTATAAATTTCCAGGTTATAAGAGGTCAAGGTGTGGTATTAAAGTAATATTTGTAAGAGTTGAACAGCTGCCCTACTCACCATTAGGTAGCAATGGTGGCAGCCATGACACATTGAGGGCCGTGCTATTTATAGCCTGTATAGTTGGAGGCAGTTGTCCCTCAGGTGGAGCAGACTGTGTGATGATCTGAACAGGGTTGCCATTGGTACATCCTCCATCTGTGCAGGCTCGGGGGATCAAGCTGTACTTGGTGTATGGTGACAGTGTTGTCAATACCGTCTGATTTCATTAGTGGGGTTTAAATACTTTTGTTTTAATTGTTTCATAATTGCTCTGTACTCAATTCTTTATGAACTATTTACTTGAAGCAATAATATATAATAACATTACACAAGGTTAGTGACCCTGACAGAAGATATGACTGAGCATATGAAGAGATTATGTGGTCAATTCTATACCCAACTTGTTTCCCTAATGTGAGTCAGGTGCCCAGCTGAGCTGGATGGAGCCAGGGAAGAACAATGGATTATTTTTAGAGTCCAGGATATGAACTCTAGACTTTTGGGTTTGGAGTTATGTGCTCTATAATCAGGCCATGCCATCCCATATTACAGAAACATTGGACTCAACAAAGGCATTTTTTTATAAAGTGTCTACTTACAGAGGTACCAGTCCCTTCCCATTCAACTGTTGTAGTGTTGGATCCAGTTTTCATGGAGAGGATGACATACTTTGACAGGGGACCATTTAGAATGGAGGGTGGCACCAGGGAACATGCAGCACTCCTGGCTCGTATGTCAGTCACCTGATCAGTTCAATTTTTTAATCATCTTATGATATCAGGTAACAAACGCCACTGAGCTAATTTAACAGAACACTAATGTCAGCCAAAAAAAATAAACAGTTGAAATTTTTTAGCAGTTATTAGTGTTAAAATGTTATGCAGTTACATTTTCTATAATGCCAAAAAAGCCATGTATTGTGTTTTTTAATCAAATTAACTTTAAAACATCAAAGAATTATTTTTAAAATTTGAAAATATGACAAAAATTTCAGTTTTTCTACTGAATTTAGTTTTGGTTTAGGTTGATTGTGTAATAGCTATGTATCAATCTTATATAACAAGGATTTGATGAAATACAAAAATCTCTTCAGCTTTGCAGAAAATTAGTAATGTTTACTTGAAACAGAATAAATAAAAGATGAACAAGTTAAGTTATTCCTAGTGTGATTATTAAAGTACTCACAGTCAGGTTCATGTCAGCACTGGGATTGCCTGCCAGAGTTTCAAACACAACCTGCACACTACGAGATGAACCTACAGCATTTCTAACTTCTATGTTGTAACCATAGTAGGTGAAAGGCTGGAGATTTCTATCCCAGAAGGTCAGGGCTGAAAGTTGACAACAATAGTCACTCATGTGTTTCTTTTTTTTTATCTGAGGCTCTGTTTTCTATCATATTAGTTCATTTCTGACCAAAAGTAAATCAAAGTTTTACACCTTAACTACACAATTAAAGAAAAATTAAATATAAACTGAGTGTTGTAGCTAGTGTTTGGTGAAGTGAAGTAACAAATAAGTATCTAACTGCAGCTAGTCATAAGTTATGAAAACTCTATGAGTGTGGAACTTACTGGCAGCAGAAGTGTTGGCTACCCGTGTGTTATTGCGGTAGATAATGTACTCCTGTATCTCCCCATTGGGGGAGTCAGGTTTCTTCCATGTTAGTTCTAGGGCTGTGGATGTCCTGTTGGTGACTATTGGTGGGGGCTGTTGGGATGGTGCTGTCAAGAAATAACCCACATTAACATTAACTTAGCACAGTAATTTTAGATTTTTAAATATGAACTTAATCTGTAAATATTTAACTTATTAGAGATTATCTTGTCTTAAGAACAAAGATCATCAAAAAGATGTAAAAAACAATAAATCTCTTACACTTAATATATTACATCTGTGTCTGTGTTTCCTGAAAGATAAATCCTATGAATATGTACTTTTAATGTAAAGCTTTAAATGAAGCTGGTGAAGTTACCTGTGCTGCATCCAAATGGATTATTGGCATCTAAAAGGCTGGATCCATTTCTACAAGTAGCACAGGTCAAGCCTTGGACAAGTGATTTACACTGGCACTGTCCAGTGGCAGTGTTACACGTGTTGTTTAAGCTGCCAGCTGGCAGACAGTTGCAGGCTGTGCAGCTAGGAAATAACACAAGATTGTAATAAGGGACACAACCAACAACACTAAACAATGGGACATAACTGTGCAACAAAAGTAAACAAACATCAGTAGAGGAACAGAATACTTAAATAAATATTTTTATCACCATGAATACTCCCATCACATCAAATTATCAAATCACATTCAATTCACATCAAATCACATTAAATTATCATCCCTTAGGGTATCTAGTTATGTCTTCCATAGTGATCAAAAATTAGTATCAACAATCATACATATAATTCATTGTTGGATACCACCACACTAATTGCCATTTTAAGGTAACTTACTTTTACATACAGCTAATAGTTTTAGAAAAGTAGCCATATTGCAAATCTTATTTTATCTATTATCTATTAAATTTTAGAAATAATGTAACAATATACATGTATTACTTTGCTCCAGACTAATAATTTTGTGTACTTACTATCCTCTGATATTAAATGCATAAAAAGTTGGCAGACACTGATTGCACTGCCGTCCAGTGACACCAAACTCTTCCTTACATTCACAGTTGCCATTGACTGGGTTACAGTAGGTACCAGACAGTGTGCCAGGGGCAAAGCAGGAACAGGGCAGGCAGCCATTAGAGGTGTTGGCATTGATGTAGTAGCCTGGTGATACAGCAAGGATGGGATTTATTGAATGTTCTGAGAGTTGGCATTGATGTAGTAGCCTGGTGATACAGCAAGGATGGGATTTATTGGAGGTGTTGGTATTGATGTAGTAGCCTGGTGATACAGCAAGGATGGGATTTATTGGAGGTGTTGGCATTGATGTAGTAGCCTGGTGATACAGCAAGGATGGGATTTATTGAAGGTGTTGGCATTGATGTAGTAGCCTGGTGATACAGCAAGGATGGGATTTATTGAATGTTCTGAGAGTTGGCATTGATGTAGTAGCCTGGTGATACAGCAAGGATGGGATTTATTGAATGTTCTGAGAGTTGGCATTGATGTAGTAGCCTGGTGATACAGCAAGGATGGGATTTATTGAATGTTCTGAGAGTTGGCATTGATGTAGTAGCCTGGTGATACAGCAAGGATGGGATTTATTGAATGTTCTGAGAGTTGGCATTGATGTAGTAGCCTGGTGATACAGCAAGGATGGGATTTATTGAATGTTCTGAGAGTTGGCATTGATGTAGTAGCCTGGTGATACAGCAAGGATGGGATTTATTGAATGTTCTGAGAGTTGGCATTGATGTAGTAGCCTGGTGATACAGCAAGGATGGGATTTATTGGAGGTGTTGGCATTGATGTAGTAGCCTGGTGATACAGCAAGGATGGGATTTATTGAATGTTCTGAGAGTTGGCATTGATGTAGTAGCCTGGTGATACAGCAAGGATGGGATTTATTGGAGGTGTTGGCATTGATGTAGTAGCCTGGTGATACAGCAAGGATGGGATTTATTGGAGGTGTTGGTATTGATGTAGTAGCCTGGTGATACAGCAAGGATGGGATTTATTGGAGGTGTTGGTATTGATGTAGTAGCCTGGTGATACAGCAAGGATGGGATTTATTGGAGGTGTTGGCATTGATGTAGTAGCCTGGTGATACAGCAAGGATGGGATTTATTGGAGGTGTTGGTATTGATGTAGTAGCCTGGTGATACAGCAAGGATGGGATTTATTGGAGGTGTTGGTATTGATGTAGTAGCCTGGTGATACAGCAAGGATGGGATTTATTGGAGGTGTTGGCATTGATGTAGTAGCCTGGTGATACAGCAAGGATGGGATTTATTGGAGGTGTTGGCATTGATGTAGTAGCCTGGTGATACAGCAAGGATGGGATTTATTGAATGTTCTGAGAGTTGGCATTGATGTAGTAGCCTGGTGATACAGCAAGGATGGGATTTATTGAATGTTCTGAGAGTTGGCATTGATGTAGTAGCCTGGTGATACAGCAAGGATGGGATTTATTGGAGGTGTTGGCATTGATGTAGTAGCCTGGTGATACAGCAAGGATGGGATTTATTGGAGGTGTTGGTATTGATGTAGTAGCCTGGTGATACAGCAAGGATGGGATTTATTGGAGGTGTTGGCATTGATGTAGTAGCCTGGTGATACAGCAAGGATGGGATTTATTGGAGGTGTTGGTATTGATGTAGTAGCCTGGTGATACAGCAAGGATGGGATTTATTGAATGTTCTGAGAGTTGGCATTGATGTAGTAGCCTGGTGATACAGCAAGGATGTGATTTATTGGAGGTGTTGGTATTGATGTAGTAGCCTGGTGATACAGCAAGGATGGGATTTATTGAATGTTCTGAGAGTTGGCATTGATGTAGTAGCCTGGTGATACAGCAAGGATGGGATTTATTGGAGGTGTTGGCATTGATGTAGTAGCCTGGTGATACAGCAAGGATGTGATTTATTGGAGGTGTTGGCATTGATGTAGTAGCCTGGTGATACAGCAAGGATGGGATTTATTGAATGTTCTGAGAGTTGGCATTGATGTAGTAGCCTGGTGATACAGCAAGGATGGGATTTATTGAATGTTCTGAGAGTTGGCATTGATGTAGTAGCCTGGTGATACAGCAAGGATGGGATTTATTGAATGTTCTGAGAGTTGGCATTGATGTAGTAGCCTGGTGATACAGCAAGGATGTGATTTATTGGAGGTGTTGGCATTGATGTAGTAGCCTGGTGATACAGCAAGGATGTGATTTATTGGAGGTGTTGGTATTGATGTAGTAGCCTGGTGATACAGCAAGGATGTGATTTATTGGAGGTGTTGGTATTGATGTAGTAGCCTGGTGATACAGCAAGGATGGGATTTATTGAATGTTCTGAGAGTTGGCATTGATGTAGTAGCCTGGTGATACAGCAAGGATGGGATTTATTGGAGGTGTTGGCATTGATGTAGTAGCCTGGTGATACAGCAAGGATGGGATTTATTGAATGTTCTGAGAGTTGGCATTGATGTAGTAGACTGGTGATACAGCAAGGATGGGATTTATTGAATGTTCTGAGAGTTGGCATTGATGTAGTAGCCTGGTGATACAGCAAGGATGGGATTTATTGAACATTCTGAGGGTTGAACCCAGTACTTTTGGTGTAATGGTCATAGCTCTATTGTCTTACTCCACTAGCACAAATAAAGATATTCCACTAGCACATACAAAGATATTCCACTAGCGCATACAAAGATATTCCACTAGCGCATACAAAGATATTCCACTAGCGCATACAAAGATATTCCACTAGCACATACAAAGATATTCCACTAGCACATACAAAGATATTCCACTAGTGCATACAAAGATATCATATGACTGATGTAAGAAAAACAACACAAACTAAATGCAGCTCTTATTAGGTTAAACATTTTTGCAATTTGATAAGAGAATTCTTGTGTAATACTAATAAAGTCTTCCAAAAAATGACAAGTGTATGTTGGCCTACTCACCCTGGGCACAAGTGTCACAGCGTCTCCCTTGTCTGTAGGACATACACGTACAGTTCCCTGTGTTCTGGTCACAAACAGACAGCGCCTCCACCAAAGTGCCTGGAACAAATCCCCATTAGAACTCAACTAACATTTAACTTAATTCTACTTCTGGAGATTGGCTAGCTATTTTCTAAATGTTAAACAGCTCACTTTTTAACAGATGTACTCATTTATATAAAAAATGGAGAAATGCATTTACTTTTAAAATATTGTCTGATAATAGTATTAAACCTATTGATAACAGCTACATATTACTGTTGCTAAAAGTATATAGCAGCCTTTAAAAAACAATAACATGAGGTGTGAAATGCCAATACAAGAAAACAGCCAAAATGTTTCCATCAAAATGTCAGAGTTAAGTAACCAACCAACCTGTAGGGTCACAGTTACAGGGCTGACAACCCAGGGGGTCTGAAGCATTCAGACCCCAGGTGCTGGCCTTACACTTGTTGCAGGACTGGCCTTCCACGTTGGCTTTACAGATACACATGCCAGTCGTCCTGTTACAGGTGGCTGTTCCATTGACTGTACCTGCCACATTACATGTGCACTCCTGACACCCTGAAGCAGCTGAAGACCCAAAGTTGTACGTCCCTACTTTACACGTATTACAGCTGGTGCCTGTGGGGAGATTTCAAGAGAACATTAACTCACAATTTAGGCCTGTATCCAAGACAACTTGCGATGTAAATTACAAGGACAATAACTTAAATTTTATTGAAATATTAAGAAGTACTTTACTGAAATTTAAAGTCCTTTCATAGTATCTCTAGGTTGTATTTTTATACAATTTCTCAGATTTTATTCATGTTATTTTATACTGAAACCTGATATTTTAACCTTTTTATTCATTGAATAACAGTGTAGGCATACATATTTCTTAAATGTTTGAAAATTTATTTGCTTTTTTTAAATAAGTTTTTATCTTCTAAAATAAAGCTCCTCTATTCTGAAATATCTACCTTCAACATTTTTCTTGCACAAGCACTGTCCAGTTTCCTTGTCACAGACTGTTCCATTCTCAGTCCCTAGAGAGTTACAATTGCAGGCCACACATCCACTGGTGAAGTTGAAGAAGCCATCTTTACACCTGTCACACTTGGTGCCCTCTACCCTGTCCTTACACACGCACAGACCATTCATGGGGTTACAGTAGATGGACATGGAGCCAAAAGGGTTGCAGTCACAACCAGCACAACCTAAAGGGTTGCTCGCAGTCAGTCCATAGTAGCCAAACTTGCATTCATCACAGCGGAGACCTTGGGTGAAAAATGCCAGGTGAGAATAATCTTTTTATCTAGCAATATTTCATAGATTAAAAATTTGTCTGTTTAACATAATTGCTTGTGTCTTCAGTAGGTGCCTATTTTAATACAGTGTGGTTATTAAACATTTATTTGTGATTGGTTTCCCTAGTCCAATTGTAACGTGTGTCACTCACAGGACCATTATATCTTGAACACAGAACCCTATCTAACCAACCACTGGGCAAACAGCTGACACACTTCTCACCTTGAACATTGACCTTGCACCTGCATTGGCCTGTAGTCTGACCACAGGACATGTCCCCTGCGTCCACCCCCACTGGGTTACAGTTACAGGGAGAACAGCCAACAGCTGATGTAGCGTTCAGATTGTAGAAACCCAGCTTACAGGTGTCACAACGCCTTCCTTCTACATTTGTTTTACAGGAGCACTGGCCACCTGACTGTAATCAAACAAAAACATGTGCATCAATAACAGCACTGGCCACCAGACTGTAATCAAACACATGCATCAATAACAGCACTGGCCACCAGACTGTAATCAAACAAAACACATGCATCAATAACAGCACTGGCCACCAGACTGTAATCAAACACATGCATCAATAACAGCACTGGCCACCAGACTGTAATCAAACACATGTATCAATAACAGCACTGGCCACCAGACTGTAATCAAACAAAACACATGCATCAATAACAACACTGGCCACCAGACTGTAATCAAACACATGCATCAATAACAGCACTGGCCACCAGACTGTAATCAAACACATGCATCAATAACAGCACTGGCCACCAGACTGTAATCAAACACATGCATCAATAACAGCACTGGCCACCAGACTGTAATCAAACAAAACACATGTATCAATAACAGCACTGGCCACCAGACTGTAATCAAACACATGCATCAATAACAGCACTGGCCACCAGACTGTAATCAAACACATGCATCAATAACAGCACTGGCCACCAGACTGTAATCAAACAAAACACATGCATCAATAACAGCACTGGCCACCAGACTGTAATCAAACACATGCATCAATAGCAGCACTGGCCACCAGACTGTAATCAAACACATGCATCAATAACAGCACTGGCCACCAGACTGTAATCAAACAAAACACATGCATCAATAACAGTACTGGCCACCAGACTGTAATCAAACACATGCATCAATAACAGCACTGGCCACCAGACTGTAATCAAACAAAACACATGCATCAATAACAGCACTGGCCACCAGACTATAATCAAACAAAACACATGCATCAATAACAGCACTGGCCACCAGACTGTAATCAAACACATGCATCAATAACAGCACTGGCCACCAGACTGTAATCAAACACATGTATCAATAACAGCACTGGCCACCAGACTGTAATCAAACACATGCATCAATAACAGCACTGGCCACCAGACTGTAATCAAACACATGCATCAATAACAGCACTGGCCACCAGACTGTAATCAAACACATGCATCAATAACAGCACTGGCCACCAGACTGTAATCAAACAAAACACATGCATCAATAACAGCACTGGCCACCAGACTGTAATCAAACACATGCATCAATAACAGCACTGGCCACCAGACTGTAATCAAACACATGCATCAATAACAGCACTGGCCACCAGACTGTAATCAAACAAAACACATGCATCAATAACAGCACTGGCCACCAGACTGTAATCAAACACATGCATCAATAACAGCACTGGCCACCAGACTGTAATCAAACAAAACACATGCATCAATAACAGCACTGGCCACCAGACTGTAATCAAACAAAACACATGCATCAATAACAGCACTGGCCACCAGACTGTAATCAAACAAAACACATGCATCAATAACAGCACTGGCCACCAGACTGTAATCAAACACATGTATCAATAACAGCACTGGCCACCAGACTGTAACCAAACAAACACATGCATCAATAACAGCACTGGCCACCAGACTGTAATCAAACACATGCATCAATAACATCACTGGCCACCAGACTGTAATCAAACACATGCATCAATAACAGCACTGGCCACCAGACTGTAATCAAACAAAACACATGCATCAATAGCAGCACTGGCCACCAGACTGTAATCAAACACATGCATTAATAACAGCACTGGCCACCAGACTGTAATCAAACAAAACACATGCATCAATAACAGCACTGGCCACCAGACTGTAATCAAACAAAACACATGCATCAATAACAGCACTGGCCACCAGACTGTAATCAAACACATGCATCAATAGCAGCACTGGCCACCAGACTGTAATCAAACACATGCATCAATAACAGCACTGGCCACCAGACTGTAATCAAACAAAACACATGCATCAATAACAGCACTGGCCACCAGACTGTAATCAAACAAAACACATGCATCAATAACAGCACTGGCCACCAGACTGTAATCAAACACATGCATTAATAACAGCACTGGCCACCAGACTGTAATCAAACACATGCATCAATAACAGCACTGGCCACCAGACTGTAATCAAACACATGCATCAATAGCAGCACTGGCCACCAGACTGTAATCAAACAAAACACATGCATCAATAACAGCACTGGCCACCAGACTGTAATCAAACACATGCATCAATAACAGCACTGGCCACCAGACTGTAATCAAACACATGCATCAATAACAGCACTGGCCACCAGACTGTAATCAAACAAAACACATGCATCAATAACAGCACTGGCCACCAGACTGTAATCAAACACATGCATCAATAACAGCACTGGCCACCAGACTGTAATCAAACAAAACACATGCATCAATAACAGCACTGGCCACCAGACTGTAATCAAACACATGCATCAATAACAGCACTGGCCACCAGACTGTAATCAAACACATGCATCAATAGCAGCACTGGCCACCAGACTGTAATCAAACACATGCATCAATAACAGCACTGGCCACCAGACTGTAATCAAACACATGCATCAATAACAGCACTGGCCACCAGACTGTAATCAAACAAAACACATGCATCAATAACAGCACTGGCCACCAGACTGTAATCAAACACATGCATCAATAACAGCACTGGCCACCAGACTGTAATCAAACACATGCATCAATAACAGCACTGGCCACCAGACTGTAATCAAACAAAACACATGCATCAATAACAGCACTGGCCACCAGACTGTAATCAAACACATGCATCAATAACAGCACTGGCCACCAGACTGTAATCAACAAAACACATGCATTAATAACAGCACTGGCCACCAGACTGTAATCAAACAAAACACATGCATCAATAACAGCACTGGCCATCAGACTGTAATCAAACAAAACACATGCATCAATAACAGCACTGGCCACCAGACTGTAATCAAACAAAACACATGTATCAATAACAGCACTGGCCACCAGACTGTAATCAAACAAAACACATGTATCAATAACAGCACTGGCCACCAGACTGTAATCAAACAAAACACATGCATCAATAACAGCACTGGCCACCAGACTGTAATCAAACAAAACACATGCATCAATAACACATGCATCAATAACAGCACTGACCACCAGACTGTAATCAAACACATGCATCAATAACAGCACTGACCACCAGACTGTAATCAAACACATGCATCAATAACAGCACTGACCACCAGACTGTAATCAAACACATGCATCAATAACAGCACTGGCCACCAGACTGTAATCAAACAAAACACATGCATCAATAACACATGCATCAATAACAGCACTGACCACCAGACTGTAATCAAACACATGCATCAATAACAGCACTGGCCACCAGACTGTAATCAAACAAAACACATGCATCAATAACAGCACTGGCCACCAGACTGTAATCAAACAAAACACATGCATCAATAACAGCACTGGCCACCAGACTGTAATCAAACAAAACACATGCATCAATAACAGCACTGGCCACCAGACTGTAATCAAACACATGCATCAATAACAGCACTGGCCACCAGACTGTAATCAAACACATGCATCAATAACAGCACTGGCCACCAGACTGTAATCAAACACATGCATCAATAACAGCACTGGCCACCAGACTGTAATCAAACACATGCATCAATAACAGCACTGGCCACCAGACTGTAATCAAACACATGCATCAATAACAGCACTGGCCACCAGACTGTAATCAAACACATGCATCAATAACAGCACTGGCCACCAGACTGTAATCAAACACATGCATCAATAACAGCACTGGCCACCAGACTGTAATTAAACACATGCATCAATAACAACACTGGCCACCAGACTGTAATCAAACAAATCACATACATCAATAGTAACCCAACTTTAGATTGGAAGAAACAGCCATGTATAACACTAACTACACCATCATTATTTATGTCTGTAGCCAGAGGAAAAAATAGAACCTAAGGTCTGAAGCACATATTAGTAAAGTAACCGTTTAGTGAATGTCTTAAAAAGCAAATAATAACATGTGTCAATCTATAGAGACAAGTCTTACCCTGACACAGTCCACATCTGTTGTGTTGAGTCCAGGCGTGAAGCAGTCACATGGCTGGCACACGCTAGAGCCATACAGGCTCTGACCAATGGGCCGGTAGTAATATTTTATACATGTCTCACAGAACTGACCAGAGGTGTAGTCTTGACAGTTGACACAAACCCCACCCCCTCCAAGGGTGTCACTGGCAGGAGATGGATCCAGTGTGACGTTGTAGGTGCAGCTTGTGGCGTGTCCGTAGCAGTTACATGCCTGACAAGGGTAATCCTGTAGGTTGTCTCCCTTTTTGAATGGCTTGTTGTTGAACAAAGGTTTGCAACGTTCACACTGAAATTATAATTATCTCATGTTTGTCAGCAAATTATATTCTCATATTATATTGAGCTTCATCAAATTAACAATATTTTCTATTAAATTATTATAGTTATATATGATTTACATTGTATTTTTCATCAATGTCTATATGAGATACACATTTTTAAAATCAGCATGTTATGAAGTGATCTGAAACACACCACCACAACAGTAAAGCAGCAACAAATATGATGTGATTTGATGTGACATATGCACATAACACCAATGTAAACACTTACTCTAGCACCTTCTGTGTTACTCTCAGGTGAGCAGCTACAGGTGTAAGGCAAGGTGCTCGTGTTACACACAGAGGCATGCCCATTACAGTCACACCTTACATAGAAAGAAAAATCTTCAATATCAGCTTGACAATATGGTAATCAAAATCTGGTTATTAAAGCATAATAAAACAGCCACTAAAGCTAAGTTTCTACTGGCCTATTCGGAATTTTAATATTAACTAATCTATGGTTTTATCAAAATGTAGAAATAAATCAGACCTTGAAAAGTAAAAATTACTTAATAAGAAAGACATGAATATATTTACTACTGCACCCTACCAGGCTGTGATGATGATTTCATATAGAGAAAAATACTGGTGGCGCAGGACATTGTCCACATAGTAGTGGTCCTCAAACTTTAGGCGCACCCTCCTCGCCCTGACAAAATCATGGAGCTCTGGGGTATTGTAAAAATCTGTGCTGCCTGGTCTAGCCACGGGGTCAGGGGCCAGAAGGTTAAAGGTTATATTTCCAAGGGAATATGGAATCACTGCTCCATTACTGAAATATAAGTTGAGTTTTAAGGTCATATTTTAAAAGGAATACGGAATTACTGCTAAATTACTGAAACCAAAGTTTATTTTATTCCCTTTATAAGTTCACAGCATGTAAAATATGAATAAAAACAGACAATTATTAGTTTATAACATTTTTTAAGGCTTGTAATAAAAAAATAGAGTGCTGGCCATTTGCCTAATTGACAGTGATCCAAGTTGAGGATTGTACAATGGCTTATTAGCTGTCCATGAACTAACAAATGATTGTGTTGGATGCTGGTCTAAAGTTTTAAACACTTGGCTTACAAGTGATTCGTATAGATTAAATTTTGTAAGTAATGAGAATGAGGCTGACTTACGTGCCAAACTGTAGACAGTTGATGCTTGTAGGTGAGGTGTAAGGCCCATTGTTGGCCAGATTAAACCTGGCACAGTTATCAGCATAATACTGCCACACCTGGTAGTCAGAGTTGGGCTCTGTTTGACGTGAGATGGTCACAGCTTTGGGAAAGGGGCTGTAAAACTGCATGACAACATAAAACACCTGCAAAAAAACAATAAATCTCATAAATGTGTTTTATTTCTATTGCATGTCAACATTAAAAAACAGGCAAATAAACATCACATTTTCATCTCTTTTGTATGACTACATCAACAGTTTTAATTTTAAAAAACATAAATCAAAGAATGTAACTACATTCAAATTCTTATGTTATTTGATAGGTTTTTTTTAAAAAGATGTTGGTTTACTTTACTGTTAGTTCAATAAAAATCAAACAGGCCAATCAATTTACCACTCACCTGAAACTGGTCCCCAAGATCAATATCAATTTCCACCTCACTCTGGAAACTGGAGATCCACATGCTGTTGCTGTCTCCATCATTAGCGTACTCCAGAGGGTGTGAGTTGGGGGAGATCCGCAGGGTGACATCAGTGGTGCTGGGCTGGGCTGTGTTCTTGATACAGTACTGGGTCTGCTTTGGCTTCACCCAGGGGTAAATACTCTGGCATCGACAGGCTGACTGGATCCTGACACTAGGGAACACCCCAGAGTATAACTGGGCTATTTCTCTGAGAACAGAATTACATTATTTCTTCAATGTCTAACAAACAAAATACAGATTATTTATTTTGAACTAAATAGCACACACACACACACACACACACACACATATATATATATATATATATATATATATATATATATATATATATATATATATATATATATATATATATATATATATATATATATATATATATATATATATATATATATATATATATTTATATTTATATATATATATATATATTCTATGACAAAGCCCTTACTGTAGAAATCTAATTGGAAACAAAAAATAAAATACAAAAGTAAAAAGCTTTATAATTTATTGTTATATTCCAACCAATATAGGAACTCATCTGTGCAGAGACTAACCTGTTTGATAAAGCATCTGTGTATATTAAAAAATCTTGAATACGACCAATAAATTGTGATGCTCCTGGACACAATATGAAAATATGTAGTTATATTTATATTTATCAAAGTAACAATACTTTTTTTTATCAATACTTGTACACATACACAAACAATTACACTCATACATACAAAAATAAACACAAACATACTACTACACACACAAATATGTTTATACACACGCAATGAAACTACACACAACCATACAATTACATCTTAAGGCAAGAGAACACTAATAAACTTAAAAGCTAGTACAAGAGATTTTTACTATAATATAACACATTATGTAGCATACTGCTAATTTGCATGTGATGTTTCTAGTCTTTCTACCCAGCATTTTAAAAAAGTGTTTGGTTATCAGTGTAAATCATGGGATAGAAATGACTTGAAAAGTTTTACTGCTCTATATGGACCACATAAGTGCATCAAATTCAGACTCATTTTACCCCAGATTATCCTCTTTATAAGTCCCATGGGATTGTGATGTCTGAACCTGTTTTTTAAAATGTGAGCAACTAATACTATTTCAACACAACCTTCCTTAAAGGCCAGAGCTTGCTACATCAAGGTTTCAACATGTTTTCATTAAAGTCTGGGCAACTCATACTATTTCAACACAACCCTTATTGGCAAAAGTAACCTACATCAAGTTTTCAACATGTTTTCATTAAAGTCTGGGCAACTCATACTATTTCAACACAACCCTTAAATGCAAAAGTAACCTACATCAAGGTAGATCTCTGTTTACCTGGGTACCTATGTGGATAATTGATCAGAAGATCAATACTAGGACAGGAGGGAGCCAAAGTTAATTACCTCCCTCATACTAATCTCTTTAATTATTTACCTGTCATTGATTCATCACACACTGACTGGGTCTACATTTGGTATTAATTATTCAAAAACCACCATCATTAAACCACATAACTAGGGGGAAACTGAGGTGAATAGATACAACTTTTTGACAAAATTCTATATAAAACCTAATGGATGGAAACAGATAAACATTAAAACAATTTTTACTTTGAATCAGAATCGTTTATAACCTAACCCAAATATATCAAATTTCTCACCATTTTTATTCTGCCCTATCCTGTATGTCCCGTCACTATCAGAGACTTGGGTTAGCAAGGTTCTAGTTAGGGTTGGAGCTAAGTTAGCTGCTGGACCATTGATAAACAGGCTGGCTGTCACATCATTTACCTTAGACATATTGATATTTTAAATTAAGTCATCATCTTAGTCTTTACCAGCTAACTTGAGGTAAGGATGTTCATACATAAACTTTAACCAAAATCTTTTGTTATTAAATCTATTGTCTAAAAAGTGTAACAAACTAAAATGAATGTATAAAGAGATTTATTTCAATAATTAAAAACATTATACCATCTAATCTGTTATAAATGCAATCTATGTATGTAACATAGTTAATTTATTATGGTTATTCATCTATTGAAATTTAATTATGCTTAATTGGATGTCGTCTAATGCATGTGTATCCAATGGTGAATTCATGTCGCAATGTACGTCCAATTTGCTAGGCTATGGAATTCAAGTTTGATGTAACATGGAGGTAAAAACTGACCTGTAAAGCAATGTGCGTCCACTTTTGATAAGCTATGGTCACATCAAAATAAGACTTGAGAGTATTTGTATCCACGATTCCATAAGAGAAGGATATCCCAGTGGCATTGACTTCAATAGCAAACAATGAGACCCCTGCTGTAGACACTTTCTCTAGCAAGGTACTAATGAAAATATTTGTAAAAACATTCATTGAATTACCTTGTGGGAAAAATGCATCATTGTAATTTAATGGATGTGTTAAAAAAAAGTCATTAAACATATTTGTCTTCAGGATATTTCTAATTGACTAATTTAGAAATAATTGTAAACAAGGGAACTCTACTTCACTTGCCCTATAGACCGTCAGGTTTGAAAAGGGAACTTTACTTTTAATTATTTGTGCAACATGGAGCTTAAAGCTTAGCAAAATAAAAAATATCATTATCATATAACATTGACTGACAATGATGAGCTAAAAAACTAGATTTCTAGTGACTAAGTAGTTTTTAAAGTTATATAGATCTAGATAGATCTATTTTATCATAGATCTACTAGATCTATATATATCTATATCTATATCTATATCTAGTATAATCACAGTTTCATAGTTTCATGGGACACTGGGCTGGTTTAAAAAAAATCCACCAAAAATGAATTGAAATGTACATTTTAGGCCAAGATCCAGATCTAGATCTAGATCTACTTTAAGAATGGGTGTTATTTTGCTTTGTATTGCGATAATCTAGCTAGACTAGAAATGTTTTGTATTGATTGAAATAGATAGATCAAGAGGTCGAGATCTAGAACTATCACTTTATTGTGACTTATCAATCAGTTCAGCAGACGACTTCCAAAATCATAAAAGTTGGATCTATGTAAGTATGCCAGATAATTTGCCGCTTCATGTAAACGCAATTATTTTTTTTTTTTAAGACCGGGTTAGTATTAGGCTGCATGTTAAATATTATTATCATATCTTACCATACATAATAAACATATTACATTGTTTTTTTTTAATGTGTCAAAATTGCAATTAAATGTAGGCTACCTCCCAAAAAAACAAAATATTGTCTTTTGCAAGTTGGTTTCAATAATTTGAATATTTAAACTTTGGTTAAATAAAATCTTAGAAAAAATTAATATAACTTAATATAAGCCCTAATTAAGTGCTCAAATTTAAAATGTGTGGTTTTTTAGTGGTGCTTTGACGCCGTGCACACACCTGGGAATATAGAGACCTGAAACGATGTGATACTGGGTCAAGAAATGTGACTGGATTTTTTTAAGAACAGTTTCTAAGTCATACTTAATTGAAATTTACTTTTCAAAATGACAAGTATACTTAATTGTGTAATATAATGTCTCAAAATTTTGATTTAGAAATTCACTATTGCGCCGTTGCATCTTTACCTAACAAATGTAATAATAGAAAACGCAAAGTGAACGTTTTCATAATTTACGTGCATTACTAAAATAAGAATTAGCTAAACATTAGCATTTAATGTTGGTTATGGGACCTTGGCAGTGGATAAGAAAAAGTTGATGCTCGAGTTCAGGCTAAATCTACGGTTGTTTACATTGCTGCCTTCAACTTCCATTGTATAGTACTAGAACGACAAAATAGACGAGGTACAGCTAGAAATAGGTTTACTTTAAGAAGTGAGTGAAACTTGGTGACAAAATCTTAACAGCGGGGTGGATGAACTTGACATGCACTACGATGAGGAAGAAATGGACAATATCAGATTTGAAGATGAAAACAATTTTTAGACCTTTAAAAAACAGACACAGTAAAGTGTACTGTGATTCCAAATGTCATGATTTCAATTTCACTGTGTATACACAGGAACACGAAAAAAAATCTGTCGCGACGCTTGAGTAAAGTAAATGTCAGTGTTTCTTTCAGACATTTTCTCCGGAAGAAACTCTGGTTGATGTAAATATTGAAATGTGCCTAGATCTAGATTTATCTGTGGTCAACATGAAATGTACGCAGTGTTTCTTCCAGACTTTTTTCTCCGGGGGGGGGGGGGGGGGGCACTTGAAATTTTCGGGGGGGGGGGGCGGTAGACTTTCTTCGGGGGGGGGCGGACACTGTTAAAAGTATATATTTTCTATATAAATTATATAAATTTCATTTCGTTCGGGGGGGGGGGGGGCGGTAAAAAAATTTCTGGGGGGCTTTGCCCCCCCCCCCTCCCGAAGAGATGCCTGGAAGAAACTCTGAATGTACGGTCAGTTAAAACTAAAACAAAACAAAAATCTCACCCGTCAATCCGGCATGTTAAACGTTTGGTCAGTCTCAAATTAAAATAACGTTTGGTCAGTCTCAAATTAAAACATTTCAAAAATCTCACCCGGGCTGCAGGGCATCAAGCCACACCCAGCAGGAAACGGTGAAGGAGACCACACCCTTAGCATCCACCCTGGGGGACATGGAGGGGGTGAGGAAACAGTTGGAGCCGGCTTGCTTGAACTGTGTTGAATAGTTTCCCGCCATGGAGCCAGGTCGTGTGTTTATGACGTCTGCTTCGATACAGGTTCCGAACCCAGCGCTAGTGGCTATGAACACAAAATTTGAGGTTTCATTCAATCTTTAATTTGTAGAGTAAAAATAAATTAAATCAACCTTTGAGGGGGGGGGGGGGGGAGGGAAGTTGCCGCCTCACATTGGACCACTTTTCATGAGAGTAGCGCTTTTTTCTGCGATTAATTTGAATAAACTATAAAACAGGTTCAAACTGTGGAGTCTCTGATCGGTTTCTTCCTGTTTCAGTCTAGGGCGAAAAAATACAAGAAAGACAACAGCGACCTCACCATACTTCACTTTACATTCAAAGACGTTTGTAAAGCTTGTGACTTGCTGGGTCTACTATTGTGTAAGCTTTATTTAACCTGTTGTGTTTTAGTAGCTTACAAAAGCATGTGTCTAATTCTAGCCAACAAAATGTACACAAAATAATAGTCACACCGTTTCAAGTTTCAATAGTGTTTATACGCGCCAAGAAGGTCGGGAGGTGCAGAACACCGTACCATTTACAACATCACTGCCACTTCAATAAGTGTATTCAAACACTGATAAATCATGCTTAAATTACATTTTGTTAAAACAATTGAAAATATGTAAAAGATAGAAAACGTAAATCATCGAGGGAAAAATCTTATGTTTTTTTTCCTTCTTTTTAATCAGGGGCTATTTCATTGAAAAAAGATCTTGACTTCTGAAAATTATTCCTGTAGAAAGTTTAGATATGCTATTTTTTAAAAAGTTGTTTAAAAATGCGAAGTTCAGGTCAATATGTTGTAAAGCTAAAAAAAAAAAATTGAAGTAAGTATAAAGCTGTTGCCAATGTAAGTATGCTTATGATATTAAGGGCGAGGACAAGTTTAAAATGCAAACGTTTCAAGTACACAAACACACACACTATATATATATATATATAGGCCTATATATATATATGTATATATATATATATATATATATATATATATATATATATATATATATATATATATATATATATATATATATATATATATATATATATATATATATATATATGTTGTGTGTGTGCACTTGCCGTTCACCCTACCCCGAAAAACCGGATACGCCTTTGCCGGACATATTAACTTGCCACGACTAGATTGAAGTAGCTATCAAACGAGCCACACACACGGAGGGGCTACAAACTACGGCCCCAGTTGGTGTAAGAGAACCAACACAATCCAGTAGGCTCCCATTGAATGCGCCGTAACTCATCTGATAGAAGAAGATGGCGCTGGGTGGGCGTGGGATGAAATCAGCTGATTGCACTGAGTGGCGCTGAACTGGACGCCTCAAGGACAAAGTAAACAGGAAATGTCAAGGGAGACTTGGAAGCTTACAGCAGAAAAACAATCGGACGATTTTGGGGAAATGCCAAGAAAATTGCCAAAGACCACCAAAACAAGGAACTAAGTTTTCCACTTTTGTGGCGGCCAATGTGCCCTGAGCACTGAAGGGAATTGATGAAGCTCATCTATCAACTAGCTGGCAACGGATTCAACGTTTCTTCAGTTGTAGGTGTTGACTTGTGTGTGAATGAGTGGAGATATAAGTATAGATGTTTGGTTGAAATATGGACGTTGGGTTTTGTATAAATGTGTGGCTGTGTGGGTCAATGTGGGGGCGTATGAGATGACACATTGAAAACATCTCTCTCTCTCTCTCTCTCTCTCTCTCTCTCTCTCTCTCTCTCTCTCTCTCTCTCTCTCTCTCTCTCTTGATCTAGTGTTGGGGTGGGCAAGAAAAATAGTGGGACAGTTGTTTTTGTTTGTTTTGAGCGTTTCTTCTTGTGCCACTTGAGTGTGTGGTCGAGGGGTAGAGATCTCAAGACTCGCCCTGTAGACCATCACACAACAATGGCGGGCAACTGACCTGATTGAAGGCGGCTGGCCGTGGCACTGGCCACACAATTTTTCTTTGCACAAATGTACTTGTGGTTATATGTGTGTTTGTACTTGTGGGCGGATGCAGAAAAGTACGTCAATGTATTTGTATGTGTGTTTGTATAATTATAAATTCAACCCCTAGACCCATCCCTCGCCTCTTCGTACATACACGGTGTCTGAGGGTGTTGAAGTTGGGCACCCTGTGCGTGACGTATACCAACCCGGCTACCTTGTCACGTGACTAGCCATCAACTTACCTATCATCATGTTGACCGCTGAGGGCAGCAGTGTCCTGCCCGGGCACGTGTCGTCACAGTAGCCCAGCACACACTTGTTGATGGAGTCGACTTTCTCCGAGCTCAGGCAGTAGCCGCTCATAGTAGACGCCCCACACGTGCTCGACGTTGGATTGGTTACAATGGGCCGTTCCAAAGCCGCATTGAATAGAGGTGGAAACCTCGAAACAGTGAGTACTTCCACGTTGAGAAGAAAAAATGTAAATACCCGCAGTAACCATTGATAACCGAAAAACTGTACACAAGGACGGAGAAAGGTTTCCATGCTCAAGTTGGAAACAGCTGATAAATTTCAATATTTTTGGCTCATTTTCCCATGAATGTTTTCATTTCTTAATTCCAGTTTTTTGCTTTTTAGCTTCACATTTTCTTTGGTTACATTATATCAACATGTCGGATCACTTGCGAAACATACTGACTGCTGCAAGTACATCTACCATCACAGTGTGCCGTAAAGAACATGTACACAACTCTACTTGAGTGAGTACACAATAAAAGTACGCAGTCTGTTGCCCTCTAATGTCTCCAGTATTCTTGGTTCCTGTCGTAAAAAATAAATTAAAATTTCAAAGCGGTGATTTAAACACAACAAAGTAAATATAATTAGAATCAATGCCCATCAATAACTCCGTGACGTAGTGAGTAACCGCACACACAAGCTGTGCAGACGGTAAATCTCATAAACAAACATGTCAGCCTGCAGACAACATTCAGTCGGCTGTGACCTGACGCGAGATCTGACGAGAGTTCACATTGCATTGGCAACTGCTCGATTGTATAAATGGTCAGATTTGTAACTCGAACTAGACAAAGGGATTATTACACTAATTCAACAAGTGTCCAAAATTTAATCTTGGCACAATAGGTGTGTGAGTGTTAACACAGGGGGGGGGGGGGGGGGTCGTGGTGCGAGTGAAATCCGCTAGCCTAAAATATTTTGAACAGTCGACATAGTTGGTCTCTGTTCTCTTCCCTTCGTGGTGTCACACTCCCCCCCCCCCCTTAATTTTATCTGTAAATTTTGCAGTTGGTGTCATCCCCCACCCCAACGGTAAAAGCTTTAAAGTGTTCACATTTGAAATTAAAGATGTGTATCTATAGTCGGTTGTTAATACAGCTGGGTGTAGAATTGTTTTCTCTATAATTTGCATGTTTGTGTCATGGTGTCACCCCCCCCCCCCACCACCCTCCCTTGCGGGGGTCGTAATTATGTATTTAAAATACTTTTAACTATAATTAACCATTCATTGAACTGGCAAAAAACAACAACATTTATTCTCTAAATCTTGCCATTTTTTTTTCTTGGTGTCACCCCCCGAAATGGTGTTACCCGGTGCGGTGCGCATCCCCCGCCCCGCCCTCTCTACGGCTCTGGGCTTACTCTGCATTAAACTGCTTAGCTAATCAACCATTTTGTTGTTGTTGTAGGTGCTGGTTTGCCAAAAAGCAGAAGTGAAAGTGAAAGTTGCAAACCTCTTTAATTATATTCATATGATGACTGGTATAGAAATATGGACGTTATTGACGGTTCAAGTAGAGTTTTACTTAATTTACAAGGCTAAATCGTTGGAGGAATATATATATACTAGCCGTCCCGGCCAGGCCCTGCTCTGGCTTCTGTGAAAAACCTTCCTGTTCAAGACCATTACCTGTGTGTTTAGTAATCATCATAAACCCGGCATTGCCCACCCAAACCACAACCAACCAAAACCAAAACAACAAAACGCAAACATAACGCTAACACAATTACAAATACAAACGAAAACAAAAACCTAACAACAAACCCAACCACAACCACAAACACCAATACAAACACAAAGAAAAAACAAACAAAAAAGCAAACGAAAACAAAAACCTAACAACAAACCCAACCACAAACACCAATACCAACAAAAAAAAAAAAAAACAACGAAAAAGCAAACGAAAACAAACCAAATTCAAACGCAAAACCAACCAAAAACACAAATACAAACCCACAAAAAAAAAAAACACAAACAAAAACGAAAAAAGAAAGAACAAAAACGAACCAAATCAAAACGCAACCACTAACGCAAACCCACCTAAACACAAAGAAAACACTAACGCGAACATAAACGCCCGGGGCGGAATCACCTGTTTTAGCTTAATGAACGACTATAGTACCCCAACTTATTCATAGTCTTTTGCACTCACTTAAACGAACGCGCCTGTTTCAATTTGATGAGCAATTTTAATACTCCAAGCTTATCCGTAAAATACCTACAACATTTGCACTTGATCAATCCCCGCTAATTATGTAATTATTTTTTTTTCCCAACACCAAAACAAAGTAATTAAAAAGTAAATTATTTTCGACTAATGCAATCGTTTTATAAAGGGAAGTAATTTTGTTTTCCTAATTTATCAAAGGGAAGTAAGTGCTATAGGACTAAATAAAGACATAATTAGAATTTTTGTAAAAGATGATATTTTTTTTAAACTTGTGTTTAATGAACATGCCGACAATTATTACTGTAATTTGAAAAATGAAAATGATTTCCCAACACTTTCAACGGTAATTTTTTAGCTCATAAATTTAGACAAATGCGCACGCTAATTTTCTAACACTTAAATTCGTACACTTCCAACGACATACAAATGCATTACATACAGAACTGAGCTTTATATATTAGATATATATATATATATATATATATCTTTAATTTAATTTCGTGGAAGACAGATTAGACATTTTAGGACCAAAAGACATAATTCGAAACCGTTTAACCGCAGACAAACCACACGCCAACTCAATCAACAACATTAAAACATATTTCAATTTAGTCGACACATACAGAGCGCAATATCCACACACCATACAAACCACCCACGGAAGTAACACATCTGGGAATAGATTCCGTCTAGACAGAATTTACGCCCCATCGAACATGAAAATCAACAAAGTAGAACACCTATTCTCAACACTACAGTTTAGCGACCATACAGCAGTTCTGACAACTTTAAAAAACGAACAAACACAAAACAAATCAAAACACAACACATATTGGAAGTTCAATAATACACTCTTACTAGACGAGCGCTACATTAACACTATAAAAGACTTAATAAAATTTTACACGCAGTCATCACCAAAATTTAACAAAATCCAACATTGGGAAGATTTAAAACAAGACATTAAGCGGGTATCTATCCAATATGCATGTAGCATTAATAGCGTAAGGGCCCACATAGAAACTAAATTAGAAAAACAACTAAGTATACTGAAAGGAATCAATAATAACAAAGAACAAATAGATGCAACAGAAACAGAACTTTCCAAAATACAAGAGCACAAATATCGAGGCGCGCAAATTAGAAGTAGAATCGAACAAATAGGCTCGGAAAATCCCACACACCACACTTTAATTTTAGAACAAAGCTTTCAGAGGGCAAAACAAATCACACATCTCATAGACAACAATAACCAAGAGACGACTGACCCTGAAAAAATTCAATCAATATTTAGAGACTATTATACGCAACTGTATAAGTTCGAAGAGACAAACACAGACATACAAGACAAATACCTTAAGTTTATTAAACCATTACATGACAGCGACAAAATTAATATTGACACCCCCTTTCAGCCAGTCGACATAACCAAAGCCATACTGAAATTAAATTCAAATAAATCGCCAGGGCCGGACGGCCTGACAAGCGAATTTTTTAAAGCCTTTTCAACGGACCTAATTTCTCTCCTTTTAGCTACCTTTAGAGAAATGTTTCTGCTAGAACAATGCCACGAAAATTTCAACAGATCATACATAACATTAATACGCAAACCCAAAACCGATCCTAAACAAACCCAAAACTATAGACCTATTTCTCTCCTAAACACTGATTACAAAATCCTATCCAAAGCTCTAGTCTCCAAAATTGAACCGCACTTGCATAAAATTATAAATGTAGACCAACAATGCAACATCACAGGTAGGAACATACAAAATCACAATCACTTAATTAGAGACATCATCCACTACACACACGAGAAAAACACACAAGCATGCATACTCAGTTTAGATCAAGAAAAAGCCTTCGACCGGGTAGCTCACAAATACCTTCACAAAATCTTAGAAGCAAACAATTTAGGACAATACTTTACGACATGGATAAAAATAATCTATTTTAATGCACATAGTCACTTACTGATAAACCATAATATTTCAATATTTCCCAACCCTTTAGAATAAATAAATCAGTCAGACAAGGCTGTCCCCTATCTCCAATCCTTTATATACTAACACTCGAACCCCTTTTAGAATGCATTAGAAACACTAGAGACATTAGAGGAATCGACATCCCAAATCAATTAAACAAAAAAATTCTAGCGTACGCTGATGATACAGCTTTTACGCTCCAAACCGAAAAATCTATCATACTAATAACAGACATGTTCCTTGACTTTGGGCTGGGTAGCGGGTCAAAAATTAACCTAATGAAAACCAAAATTATGGGACTTGGACGGTGGATCAACAAACCCAATTACCCACTAAACATGCTAGGTACCAACAAACTAAAACTTTACGGCATAACCCACTATAGTAACCCACACACCAACAACGATGATGAATGGAAACAAGTCTTAAGCAAAATCCAAAACACCATAGCACTTTATAAATTTAGCTCAACAACAATTTTTGCTAGGTCATCCATAATTAATAGGTATGTCATCCCAAAAATCACCTATATAGCCACGGCTAAAACAATCCCAAAGCCAACAATTAAACATCTGAATAAAATCATTAGAGAGTACATATTTCAGACCACAATTTCAAACATTAGCCACAACACTTTAGTACAAAACAAACTTCATGGAGGAATAAACCTGCACGATATACAGACCAAAATCAATACATTCAGACTAACACACATTAGCAGAATAATTAGCCAACCAAACTTTCACCCTCTAGCTCACTACTATATAGGCATTCAGCTAAACAAACTTACAAAAATCAATAATACAACTCCACATTACATAGGAGGAAAACTCAGTCCCTTTTACACAGAATGTTTACAAATATTAAAAAACAAGGAAAAACTTGTCCACAAAAAGTCACAAAACATTTACAAAAAGTTAGTGCAAAAGCTCTCAACTCCACTATACAACAGAATCCAATGGTGTAGGAAATACGCTCTAACAGACACAATGGACACCTTCAGAAACCTACACCTCAAAACCATCACACCCAAAGCCAGGGAAATAACTTACAGACTCATCTACAATTCAACACCCCTAGCAAAACAACAGAAACCATTTTGCCCACTATGCAGACAAAACACACCCGAAACCGAAACGCACATCTATTTAGAATGCCCCACCATACAAAACATGAAAAAGACGCTAGAAAACAAAATAATAAAAAACGAGACCTACAATATCGATATAGTCATAACTCTAAACAAAATCCCAATACAAAGAGATAGGACGGACCTAGAGCAAAAAGCAAGGACGGTAGCTATATATAGACAGACTATTTGGAACAGCAGAATAAAAGCAAAACACGACAAGGTACAGTTTACGGGACACGTACTAGACTTGATTTATCGTAGACGACTCGACAATGACAGCACTCAAACACATATACCATAATTAACAACACCAAAACGTAAAGAACATATTATACTGCTTTTGCCACCTGGAACGCCTAATCGAACTGACACATCCCCCTTTCATCACACCCTCTCCGCCCCCACACCGCCTCTAAACCTCATGATCCCAAAAATCAAATTTCCCCTCAAAACTGCATCCCCTCGTCCCCATCACCACCACCCCTGTGATGAAGTACTATGTTAAACAGTGACAATGATGTATTATCCAAATACATTTCTAACAACATCAATGTAACTCCCACCCCTCAACCCCCATGTCCCCACTCTGTGTCGCTTCATTTATCATTTGGCATTTCATTTTCCTATTGTTGCTTTTTGTGTATTGTTTAATTTATAAAGCTTACAAACATTGTAAAGCTTTCATTTGTTACTATATTACTATTATCATATATGTAAGGTACTGTGGTTCACAACGTACAAATGACCCCAATGACCCGTACTCCTTTTGTATTCATTGTATTATCACCAAATTAACACTTACAGTTGTTTCGTTAACTTTACTAATCTAACTCTTTTATGTGAACACCAATTTTTTTGATCTATAAAACTCCACTGTGTCCCTACACGTGATAGCTACACGCCTACCCACCCCTAACCTGTCGGTACTTAACATTCATCTAAACATAAACACCGACTTGAACATACCAACCTTTCACCCTCCCACTAATTCGCTCACACAGCAATCTGTTCGTCAAACCCTCCCCCCCACCCACACACACTACAAATGGTAACACATCAGCAGTCAGATAACACAGCACAAAATTTGACGCTTGGCTTGCCCTAAAACACGCAGTCACCCTCTCCACGCCTCGTCAGACACAGCTACCCACTCCCCCCCCCCCTCCCCCTCTATCCACTTACCCTCAGACATGAAAACACCACTTTCCCTTTAACTGTTCCAACGACCCCACCACCCACCCCAACATCAATTTCGAATATCTATTCATTTACTTTTTAAAGTTCTAAATCTTGTTTCTTTCCCCTCATTTTTTACACAGCAACCTTTTGAAAACTCAATGCGACCAGTACATAAATAAACACTCTTTTAACTAGTCAACTTAATTTGCTTCCCTACATTGAAAATGCTGCACTGGCCCTTTGTCATTCTCCAAAAAAATACCCTTTCCACTCCCCACCCAGACTTCTGACACGTTTATTTGACCTTCACCCCTTTTACTGCCATCTTTTGTAATTTTTGTTATAATCATATACATGACATCACGCAAATATTCATTATGTACATGTTCAAAACCCTTCTTTTTCATTTGAAACTATGTAAAAAAAAATGTGATGTTGATGTACTTGTTTTAATTGCAAATAAAAGTAATAATTAAAAAAAAAATAAAAAAAAAAAAGCCATAAAAAAAAAAAAAAAAAAAAAAAAAAAAAAAAAAAAAAAAAAAAAAAAAATATATATATATTTATATATATATAAGTCAACTTTTTAACTTAACACTTTTGTAAATTTGCAAATTGATGTATCATACTCACCACCACACATCCCCACTCACACAACTCACACACACCAGGCACACACATCTGTTCCTCTTGTAGGTGAATGTCACACAAGTGACGCGGATGATTGGTGATAAAAAAAAACACATACATTTGAATAGTCCTAGATCTAGTGGATAACATACACACTCGTGAATAAATTTAGCTCAAAAATGACACAAATCCAGCATATTGAATTAGATCTAGATCTAATAACAATCATCCAAGAACAATTAAAGCACGAACCAAATTAAAAATTAAGAAAATACTGTTCCACACTTCTGCGATTTGAAGTCCAACACAATAGAACATACAATCGGCGTGAACACAGAAAGTGACACACAAACCAGCGATAAACTTGCCGTGCTTTACCTATAGGCGAGGTGAGCAGATGGCTATTGATCTAAGTCAGGGACGGTAACTACGTTTGACAAATTCGGGCATATCCCAGCGTCTCACAGGTGAAGAATTCCGCTGGTCGTAGCGCTGGTTCAATTATTTAAACTGGGAAATATTGGGGTGGGTACTAACTGGCCTGCCACAGATTTCTAGGGCGGTGTGGTTGAATTGTATCAGACTGTTCAGACAGTGGGCAGAAGAACATGTAGCAGATGACATCAGTAGACTACACACGTGGGATTTGAGTTGTCAATCTTCTCTCTTTTGGTTGTCATTTTTTAAAGCTAAAATGTTTGAAGAAAATAAAAAGCGAGAGTGCGCTCCCCTAAACTTTCTCGTATATTCTTATAGCTTAAAGGGTTGGTATGGTAGCCTACTTCTAGGAAAATTGTGACAAAATCGTTCGTTTTTAGCAAAAGTATCTTTGAATGTGCTTTTCTATGAAAATACGATATAAAATTATCACATTCGGGTTTTTTTTTTGTGAAATGGGAAGTTTATATACGTAAGTATAGGATCTACTACATTTCTTATGGTATGTCCAACTAACTAAAATGGTACTCAAGTTATCGGTATTTCAGAAACCGGAAATAAAGTTAAGAATCTCTTCCGGATACCGGGAAATCATAAATGTATAGGATCTTGTAATTACAATTGAAATTTCATATACCTAACTGAAACGGAGCTCAAGTTAACGTGTTATTATTCTATTTTTTAATTATTTTTTTTTTGAGAAACCGGAAATGCACAATTTCTGGTTAAAAGAAATCGTTCAAAAATTGAAAGAACCTAAGTCTATTACTTACATTTAAAATTTCGTCCACTTAGCTGAAACAGTACCCAACTTATCGTTTTCAAACACACACGCACAAACAGAAACACACGCACACCGAGCGATAGACAAGATAACAAAAGTAATATTTTCCGACTGAGGCATGTGTAAAACGATATTTTGAACGATTACAATACAGTCCCCCGATACTCCGCAGACGAGAAAGTAATATGGTGTATGTAAATATATTGACAGTATAACTAAGCAAATAACGAAACATATATAAAGAAACAAATAACAGAACAAATATGTGATGTACAAAATATAGACGGCGTAGCACTTGCTTTATATCGAGGAGTGCTATGACGTCATCCAGTGTGGGATGGTGTTGACAAAATGTTGACAAGATGTTGCATGGATGGGGTGGTTGAACCTTGTTTTATTAAGCAAACACACATCTGACAAATCCGGGGGAGGGGGGTGGGAGGGGAGGGACGGATCATGATAGTCAAACGTAAAATACTTTCGCACAAAGATTGTTGATACAAAGTTGTGTTTATAGCCGTGATATAAGCACAAAGATTGTTGATATAAAGTTGTGTTTATAGCCGTGATATAAGCACAAAGATTGTTGATACAAAGTTGTGTTTATAGCCGTGATATAAGCACAAAAATTGTTGATATAAAGTTGTGTATAGCCGGTATGGCCAGCCAAGCGAGACCGGCGTGTAGTGACACGCTCGATCAGTTATTGGCGCAGATTGATGCGTGCAGCTGGAGATCGATGGGGGAGTTGTGCCAGATGGTGGCTGAGTCAACAAGGGGGGGGGGGGTGGGGGGTGTCTAACAATTCATTATTTACTTACAGGGAGAAGCAGTGTCATGTAGGCGTGTCTTAGGAGAGATGGCCAAGTTGTGGTGAGACAAGTGGCCAAGTTGTGGTGAGACAAGTGGCCAAGTTGTGGTGATACAAGTGGTCAAGTTGTGGTGAGACAAGTGGCCAAGTTGTGGTGAGACAAGTGGCCAAGTTGTGGTGAGACAAGTGGCCAAGTTGTGGTGAGAAAAGTGGCCAAGTTGTGGCGAGACAAGTGGCCAAGTTGTGGTGAGACAAGTGGCCAAGTTGTGGTGAGACAAGTGGCCAAGTTGTGGTGAGACAAGTGGCCAAGTTGTGGTGAGACAAGTGGCCAAGTTGTGGTGAGACAAGTTGTGGTGAGACAAGTGGCCAAGTTGCGGTGAGACAAGTGGTCAAGTTGTGGTGAGACAAGTGGCCAAGTTGTGGTGAGACAAGTGGCCAAGTTGTGGTGAGACAAGTGGCCAAGTTGTGGTGAGACAAGTGGCCAAGTTGTGGTGAGACAAGTTGTGGTGAGACAAGTGGCCAAGTTGTGGTGAGACAAGTTGTGGTGAGACAAGTGGCCAAGTTGTGGTGAGACAAGTGGCCAAGTTGTGGTGAGACAAGTGGCCAAGTTGTGGTGAGACAAGTGGCCAAGTTGTGGTGAGACAAGTGGCCAAGTTGTGGTGAGACAAGTGGCCAAGTTGTGGTGAGACAAGTGGCCAAGTTGTGGTGAGACAAGTGGCCAAGTTGTGGTGAGACAAGTGGCCAAGTTGTGGTGAGACAAGTGGCCAAGTTGTGGTGAGACAAGTGGCCAAGTTGTGGTGAGACAAGTGGCCACGTTGTGGTGAGAGCAAGTTGTAATGTTAATAGTTATGAGTTATATTCTGCAATGATGTGGTTTGCCTATAAAAATCTCATTAAACATGAAGCTGTACGTTTGTCACGTGATGTCAAGCAACTTGTGAATGACTGCTCACACCTGGACATCACGTGGTACTCATGTTTTGGTCGTGTGAAAACCGACATCATGGTCTGACTCAGTGTGAGGTGGTTGATTTGATCACAAACACGTTTAAAACATGAAACTGTGGGCCGGCGTCAAAGTTTTGCAGTGAGTGAGTTAGGGGTGGGGTTGTCACCATAGGTAGGTTCTTCTACTCCGTGATGGGGTGGGGTTGTCACCATAGGTAGGTTCTACTCCGTGATGGGGTGGGGTTGTCACCATAGGTAGGTTCTACTCCGTGATGGGGTGGGGTTGTCACCATAGGTAGGTTCTTCTACTCCGTGATGGGGTGGGGTTGTCACCATAGGTAGGTTCTACTCCGTGATGGGGTGGGGTTGTCACCATAGGTAGGTTCTACTCCGTGATGGGGTGGGGTTGTCACCATAGGTAGGTTCTTCTACTCCGTGATGGGGTGGGGTTGTCACCATAGGTAGGTTCTACTCCGTGATGGGGTGGGGTTGTCACCATAGGTAGGTTCTTCTACTCCGTGATGGGGTGGGGTTGTCACCATAGGTTGGTTCTACTCCATGATGGGTGGGGTTGTCACCATAGATAGGTTCTACTCCGTGATGGGGTGGGGTTGTCACCATAGGTTGGTTCTACTCCATGATGGGTGGGGTTGTCACCATAGATAGGTTCTACTCCGTGATGGGGTGGGGTTGTCACCATAGGTAGGTTCTACTCCGTGATGGGGTGGGGTTGTCACCATAGATAGGTTCTACTCCGTGATGGGGTGGGGTTGTCACCATAGGTTGGTTCTACTCCATGATGGGTGGGGTTGTCACCATAGATAGGTTCTACTCCGTGATGGGGTGGGGTTGTCACCATAGGTAGGTTCTACTCCATGATGGGGTGGGGTTGTCACCATAGGTAGGTTCTACTCCATGATGGGGTGGGGTTGTCACCATAGGTAGGTTCTACTCAACGCCTGTGATACAGCCACAAGTGTAAATAACAGAGGCGAGATGAAAGAAAAAGTTTTATTTACATGCAAATAACAGAGGCAGGCTCACAACAACCTCCTGGTCTCTCCTCAACTAGCACATCCTTTCTTACCTCCCATTTGTTCAAACACACATCAACCAATCAAAATGCTGCTCAAATTACATATTAAAAATATCCAACCAATCAAAGAACAGTTGACATAAAATAACCAATCAAAACACAACATTTAACAACTAATCGCTATCACTCCCACCTCCTCCCCCAGCACCAGACACATTTTCCACCCCCTCGCCTCCTCCCTTTTCCTCTCCCCCCTCCTCCCCCTCGCTGTCACTGAGTAAAGCTTTGGCTTTCCTTTTCTTGGCACTCAGGTCACCCCCGCCTTCTTCTTCAGATTCCTGGAGACAAACAAATGGGTGGATACATTCACATTTCTCTAGTGGATACACTCACATTTCTCTAGTGGAGACAAACAAATGGGTGGATACATTCACATTTCTCTAGTGGAGACAAACAAATGGGTGGATACATTCACATTTCTCTAGTGGAGACAAACAAATGGGTGGATACATTCACATTTCTCTAGTGGATACATTCACATTTCTCTAGTGGAGACAAACAAATGGGTGGATACATTCACATTTCTCTAGTGGAGACAAACAAATGGGTGGATACATTCACATTAATCTAGTGGATACATTCAAATTTCTCTAGTGGAACAAACAAATGGGTGGATACATTCACATTTCTCTAGTGGATACATTCACATTTCTCTAGTGGAGACAAACAAATGGGTGGATACATTCACATTTCTCTAGTGGAGACAAACAAATGGGTGGATACATTCACATTAATCTAGTGGATACATTCACATTTCTCTAGTGGAGACAAACAAACAAATTGGTGGATACATTCACATTTCTCTAGTGGAGACAAACATATGGGTGGATACATTCACATTTCTCTAGTGGAGACAAACAAACAAATGGGTGGATACATTCACATTTCTCTAGTGGAGACAAACAAATGGGTGGATACATTCACATTTCTCTAGTGGATACATTCACATTTCTCTAGTGGAGACAAACAAACAAATTGGTGGATACATTCACATTTCTCTAGTGGAGACAAACATATGGGTGGATACATTCACATTTCTCTAGTGGAGACAAACAAACAAATGGGTGGATACATTCACATTTCTCTAGTGGATACATTCACATTTCTCTAGTGGAACAAACAAATGGGTGGATACATTCACATTTCTCTAGTGGAACAAACAAATGGGTGGATACATTCACATTTCTCTAGTGGAGACAAACAAATGGGTGGATACATTCACATTTCTCTAGTGGATACATTCACATTTCTCTAGTGGATACATTCACATTTCTCTAGTGGAGACAAACAAACAAATGGGTGGATACATTCACATTTCTCTAGTGGATACATTCACATTTCTCTAGTGGAGACAAACAAACAAATGGGTGGATACATTCACATTTCTCTAGTGGATACATTCACATTTCTCTAGTGGAGACAAACAAACAAATGGGTGGATACATTCACATTTCTCTAGTGGATACATTCACATTTCTCTAGTGGAGACAAACAAATGGGTGGATACATTCACATTTCTCTAGTGGAGACAAACAAATTGGTGGATACATTCACATTTCTCTAGTGGATACATTCACATTTCTCTAGTGGAGACAAACAAATGGGTGGATACATTCACATTTCTCTAGTGGGTACATTCACATTTCTCTAGTGGAGACAAACAATGGGTGGATACATTAACATTTCTCTAGTGGAGACAAACAAATGGGTGGATACATTCACATTTCTCTAGTGGAGACAAACAATGGGTGGATACATTCACATTTCTCTAGTGGAGACAAACAAATGGATGGATACATTCACATTAATCTAGTGGATACATTCACGTTTCTCTAGTGGAGACAAACAAATGGGTGGATACATTCACATTTCTCTAGTGGGTACATTCACATTTCTCTAGTGGAGACAAACAAATTGGTGGATACATTCACATTTCTCTAGTGGAGACAAACAAATGGGTGGATACATTCACATTTCTCTAGTGGAGACAAACAATGGGTGGATACATTCACATTTCTCTAGTGGAGACAAACAAATGGGTGGATACATTCACATTTCTCTAGTGGAGACAAACAATGGGTGGATACATTCACATTTCTCTAGTGGAGACAAACAAATGGATGGATACATTCACATTAATCTAGTGGATACATTCACATTTCTCTAGTGGAGACAAACAAATGGGTGGATACATTCACATTTCTCTAGTGGATACATTCACATTTCTCTAGTGGAGACATGCAATGGGTGGATACATTCACATTTCTCTAGTGGAGACAAACAAATGGGTGGATACATTCACATTTCTCTAGTGGAGACATACAAATTGATGGATACATTCACATTTCTCTAGTGGAGACAAACAAATGGGTGGATACATTCACATTTCTCTAGTGGATACATTCACATTTCTCTAGTGGAGACAAACAAATGGGTGGATACATTCACATTTCTCTAGTGGAGACATACAAATTGATGGATACATTCACATTTCTCTAGTGGAGACAAACAAATGGGTGGATACATTCACATTTCTCTAGTGGATACATTCACATTTCTCTAGTGGAGACAAACAATGGGTGGATACATTCACATTTCTCTAGAGGATACATTCACATTTCTCTAGTGGAGACAAACAAATGGGTGGATACATTCACATTTCTCTAGTGGATACATTCACATTTCTCTAGTGGAGACAAACAAATTGGTGGATACATTCACATTTCTCTAGTGGAGACAAACAAATTGGTGGATACATTTACATTTCTCTAGTGGAGACAAACAAAAGGGTAGATACATTCACATTTCTCTAGTGGATACATTCACATTTCTCTAGTGGATACATTCACATTTCTCTAGTGGAGACAAACAATGGGTGGATACATTCACATTTCTCTAGTGGAACAAACAAATGGGTGGATACATTCACATTTCTCTAGTGGAGACAAACAAATGGGTGGATACATTCACATTTCTCTAGTGGATACATTCACATTTCTCTAGTGGAGACAAACAATTGGGTGGATACATTCACATTTCTCTAGTGGAGACAAACAAATGGGTGGATACATTCACATTTCTCTAGTGGATACATTCACATTTCTCTAGTGGAGACAAACAATGGGTGGATACATTCACATTTCTCTAGTGGAACAAACAAATGGGTGGATACATTCACATTTCTCTAGTGGAGACAAACAAATGGGTGGATACATTCACATTTCTCTAGTGGATACATTCACATTTCTCTAGTGGAGACAAACAATTGGGTGGATACATTCACATTTCTCTAGTGGAGACAAACAATTGGGTGGATACATTCACATTTCTCTAGTGGATACATTCACATTTCTCTAGTGGAGACAAACAAATGGGTGGATACATTCACATTTCTCTAGTGGAGACAAACAATGGGTGGATACATTCACATTTCTCTAGTGGATACATTCACATTTCTCTAGTGGAGACAAACAAACAATGGGTGGATACATTCACATTTCTCTAGTGGAGACAAACAAATTGGTGGATACATTCACATTTCTCTAGTGGAGACAAACAAATGGGTGGATACATTGACATTTCTCTAGTGGATACATTCACATTTCTCTAGTGGAGACAAACAAATGGGTGGATACATTCACATTTCTCTAGTGGAACAAACAAATGGGTGGATACATTCACATTTCTCTAGTGGAGACAAACAAATGGGTGGATACATTCACATTTCTCTAGTGGATACATTCACATTTCTCTAGTGGAACAAACAAATGGGTGGATACATTCACATTTCTCTAGTGGAGACAAACAAATGGGTGGATACATTCACATTTCTCAAGTGGATACATTCACATTTCTCTGGTGGAGACAAACAAATGGGTGGATACATTCACATTTCTCTAGTGGATACATTCACATTTCTCTAGTGGAGACAAACAAATGGGTGGATACATTCACATTAATCTAGTGGATACATTCACATTTCTCTAGTGGAGACAAACAAATGGGTGGATACATTCACATTTCTCTAGTGGAGACAAACAAATGGGTGGATACATTCACATTTCTCTAGTGGAGACAAACAAATGGGTGGATACATTCACATTTCTCTAGTGGATACATTCACATTTCTCTAGTGGAACAAACAAATGGGTGGATACATTCACATTTCTCTAGTGGAGACAAACAAATGGGTGGATACATTCACATTTCTCTAGTGGAGACAAACAAATGGGTGGATACATTCACATTTCTCTAGTGGAGACAAACAAATGGGTGGATACATTCACATTTCTCTAGTGGATACATTCACATTTCTCTAGTGGAGACAAACAAATTGGTGGATACATTCACATTTCTCTAGTGGAGACAAACAAATGGGTGGATACATTCACATTTCTCTAGTGGATACATTCACATTTCTCTAGTGGATACATTCACATTTCTCTAGTGGAGACAAACAAATGGGTGGATACATTCACATTTCTCTAGTGGATACATTCACATTTCTCTAGTGGAGACAAACAATGGGTGGATACATTCACATTTCTCTAGTGGAACAAACAAATGGGTGGATACATTCACATTTCTCTAGTGGAGACAAACAAATGGGTGGATACATTCACATTTCTCTAGTGGATACATTCACATTTCTCTAGTGGAGACAAACAATTGGGTGGATACATTCACATTTCTCTAGTGGAGACAAACAATTGGGTGGATACATTCACATTTCTCTAGTGGATACATTCACATTTCTCTAGTGGAGACAAACAAATGGGTGGATACATTCACATTTCTCTAGTGGAGACAAACAAATGGGTGGATACATTCACATTTCTCTAGTGGATACATTCACATTTCTCTAGTGGAGACAAACAAACAATGGGTGGATACATTCACATTTCTCTAGTGGAGACAAACAAATGGGTGGATACATTCACATTTCTCTAGTGGAGACAAACAAATGGGTGGATACATTCACATTTCTCTAGTGGAGACATACAAATTGGTGGATACATTCACATTTCTCTAGTGGAGACAAACAAATGGGTGGTTACATTGACATTTCTCTAGTGGATACATTCACATTTCTCTAGTGGAGACAAACAATGGGTGGATACATTCACATTTCTCTAGTGGATACATTCACATTTCTCTATTGGAGACAAACAAATGGGTGGATACATTCACATTTCTCTAGTGGATACATTCACATTTCTCTAGTGGAACAAACAAATGGGTGGATACATTCACATTTCTCTAGTGGAGACAAACAAAT